GCTTCAGCCTCTTCCTCCTCGCCTCTGTAGAGGATCTTGAAGTTAGGCCGTTTAGCCAGGGCTTCAGCCTCTTCCTCCTCGCCTCTGTAGAGGATTTTGAAGTTAGGCCGCTTGGTGAGAACGTCAGCTTCAGAAGCATCCAGAGAAGCTGCAGTATTGGAGCCTGCCGGTGCGGCGGCACCTACAGCCGCGAGCGCAGCGAGAACGAGGGTCAGAAGAGGCTTGGAACCGTGCATGTTGATCCAGGTGGGGTTTATCTTAATTGAGATATAGCGATTAGAATAGGAACGAGCCAAGAGAGGTCAGGCCTTATTGTCAGTGAGCAGTATCAGAGCACGCCTAGTTACCTGAGGAAGGTCGCGTACTTATACGTGGAGCCCATAGATGCCATGTGCCTAATCTAATCAGACAAAAGAGGCCCTGTTTCAAGGCATCATTAAGCGGGTGGAAATAGTGTGTCGTCCGCTAATAGACTTGCAGCGTTCAAACTTCAACCTCATTCGTGGAACTGCTTTCTAACCATCACCTTGTGCTGAAGGAGTAAGGAGCGTGATGAAGGGCGCAGCTGTTTTGACACCAGACTGGATCCGGAAAAAGCAGATCGTCGATCTCGATGAGTTGTTCATGTGGCGCAACACTGCTAGATGTAAAAGGAACTTGAATTGTGACTGGTATTAGGTCCCTTGCTTATAACTTGGTTCAGCTGTCCAACAACGCCAAAATCACGAAAGAATACGTCATCGAACTCAATAAGTTGTTTACTTTTTGGCGACACTGTTGGGTATCAGAGGACTTGGATGATTACTGGCAATAGCGAGCACAATTGTCAAGACGCAGCGGACACTACCTAGATTATCCAGCGAGCCTAGCATAATTCCACAGCAAAGCTTGCCTAGCAAGCAGGTGGGGTCAATTCATCTCTACACTGTGCCATATTCGAGACCTGCAAGGTAGACGAAGTAAGGCGGCTTGCTGGACCTAGCAAAATCATCAGGCGGGGTATGAAAGCGAGTCAGTCAAGTTCGAGTCTACACGGGTGGCTATTGAGTCATGATACCACATCGTCGATGCGAGGGAGGGATGGGGTATATGTGTGGATCGGGCCCTAAGTAAATGCCTTTAAATGGCTGCGTGATTGAAGGTAGTGGAATAGATGAGTCTTATCGTTTAAAAGAGAGGAAAAAGTAACGTTTCTCAGCACATTCCAAAGATGAAAATCCTGTAAAGACCAGAACAAACCAGTGACAATTCTGTGCAACCTTCACCCAGTCCCCGTCGTAAAGCTGTCCGTTATCTCCGACAAGTTTGAGATACGCCCGAGAAGGAATTCCATCAGCCTGTAAGCTGCACCTGGACTGTATTGGGGAACTTCTGATCAATCAAGCATGCGTTAGCCTTACTTGGAGCATGGGTGGCTCATGTTTGAGATAAGTGATAAGCTTACGGTGACCAGCGAGATCAACTGACGCAAAAGTCAGACCACGTTCTGTGTGTGAAGTTCCCAGTATCCCCGAGCCCGCGATTCTGGTGAATGGCGGCATTTTATTGGTACTCTCCCACTCCTCGTACCACCAGGGATGGTAAGGAACAAAGAAGGGGTCAGAAGGCCGATTCTGAAAGCCTTGGACGTCACTCCAAGTCATGTTCTGAATAGTAGCAAGAGTGCCGTTTGCAAGGAGAAGGAAGTCCAGCAGGCCATGAGCGATTACCGTGTTGTTCGTCCGTTCAATCACACTGGGAAGGGGGCCAAGTCCGCTCGGGACAGACTGGTCTTTGGCGTCCTCGCCCTGAAAGATAGTCATTTTGCCGCAGGTCTGGTAGTCCGTCGGGTACGCATTTATTGCTTTTTGTACGTCACTTCGGTTGAAGTAGTTATCTGGTCCCTTTCCTGCGTCGGATACTGGGAACCCCATCACATTCCACAGGTATGGGCAGAATTCAACAATATGGTAGTAATTGAAACAGGGGTTCACGTAATACTCCGCTTTCACTATTGAATTCCATATATCGCAACCCGGCCTCTCGTGGGTTGGGGCCGGCTGAAGAATGCCATCTGGTGGAAATCGAAGTGCCTGCTCCATAAATGCGGTATAGCCACAGTGTTGTGCTCTTTCTTCAATCTCGGATATGAAAGTGTCGTTGAGTGCTAAAATATGCCTGAAATGCTTCATGGCAAGGACGGCAGGCGCTGTTCAAGTATCTTAGCCCGGTGTACACAAAGCTGGCAGGGTCCCATCCCATCTCCCAAAGGAAATATCGGGTTCGAAGGATGGATCCAGATGAGTTATCCTTTGAGACCATAGAAAGCGTCAAATGGAGCGAAGAGGGCCGGTGAAGAAAAGAAACATACCATGGCTTAAAACAGTACGAGAATTAATCGAAGGATCAAACATAAGAATGCCAGAGACATTAAAATACGTTGAATTCTGTTCATCCAACATTGCCGACGCGATATATGGTATATACTGCCCAGCGTAGCTCTCACCAGCTAAATAGACTCTCCGGTTCCACAACTCGAAAGTGTCGACAAACCGGACCCAAAAGTCCATGAACTGACGAGCGATGTCAGTCTCATCTTTGACGGTAGATGGCCCAGGTGACATTCCAGTTCCGGCTGGATGGTCCACGTAAACAATATTCGTCAAGTTGGTCCAGGAATAGGGGTTCTGGATGGGCGCATATGTCCCAGGTTGCCAGAGAAATGGGCCATTTTCTTGAATTAATCCGGCCAGGGAACTGCATCCCGGTCCCCCATTGAGCCATATCGTGATCTATCCAGCGTCAGATCCGCGGTTGATTTAGCTGAAAGTATACCCAAATGACACAACAGAAGCGACATACTTCATCGCCAGCAGCTGCATTCGTCGTGCGAAAATACCAGAAGAATAGACTGGAGTTCCCGGAGGGGGTGTTGGGCAAGTATCCCGCATAGGACTCGCCGATATCAAAGTTAACTTCAGGAATGCCAGTGCCATTAACCACGAACTCTAGCATCGTTAGTTTCGTTGGGTCGGTACTCGAGTTTGAGTCCTACGTTTAGCTTTCTCGTTGAGACCTGAGAAATCTGCAGTGATGCTTGATATCCATGGCATAATAGCCCAGATGAAGCGTAACATGGCGATAACGGGGGAGGAAAAGATCATTTCGTATGAATTGGGAGTACCAGAAATTCAAGATAATACTATTATGCCAGCCACTGATCTGGGTCGTTTGTTCTAAAGAAAGCGGGTTGGCTCCTCCTGGCTTGGCTTATTTTGCTTCTGATTGATATGTTCCATTAATAAGATGGTCTACTGGCACAATTCCAAATTCTTGTTTTAGGCTGATATACATTTTAATCCTTTGTAATATTACGAAATCTGGTGCCATAACTGTTTGTGGACTTCTGAAAAAGAAAATTTAGGCGTCTCATCAGCTGCAAATGCCTCTGTAACTCTGCATTAAGGATTCTCACCAGTAGGGATGGTATTAGAATGCCAAAATGATGTGTCAGATGTAGACTGGCTGACCCAATCCACAACTAGACGGCTTGATCAGACCAAATCTGCATGGACATGGATAGAAAATAATTATATTTATCTGTATATAAAAGAAAACATTAGTTTTACTAACAAACTTAGAGTTATAGTGGATTTTAGATTTCGATACTGGTGATTAGGATAGTAGTGGTATGATATATTTATTTCCACGCCACTTGTAAATCTTAGATACTTTAAGGTCAGAGTAAGACGAGAAACATCCTATCATTTAGGTGAGCTACCATTAGACAGAAGTACCCCTTATCACTAATAGCGAGCCAAGTACTACAGCTTTGATAGATAAAACTATGCCATAAATCCACTTTTACGCCAATACTGGATGAAGAGCTTACCACGGCGGGATCTACCGCATTCAATGCCTTGAGTCGCGCCGAAATACTGGCTGTGTTGAGAACCACTCCACACGCCATGCGGACAAGGTGCTCCTCTAAAAAGGCGTCTACTCGTTTCGCGGAATTCGCCGCTTCGTCCCCGGCAAAGCTGCGCATGCGGTCCAACCACTCCTCAAAGGGAACAATATTTCACATAGGAATGTCCAACTCCGCCAGAGTAGCGACCAGGTCCGCCCGGGGTTGACGGACCGGGTTTTTAACATGTAAGACGGGGCCGTCAAGCCAAGTGCTTCCCGTATATTTCTTGACGACCCGGCCAGCGGAGCGATTTGCCTAGCTGACTACTTTGCGTACTCCTCGGTAGACCTCGCCGTAGTCGACCACGTCGGAGAAAGCTTTGTAGATGTTCCGCAGGCCGAGAATAGCGTCGTCATCGCGGAGCAGATCCAGGCATTGCTTGTGGTCCACCAGACGCTCGAAGCGGCTAAACTGAGTCTGTAATTGCTCATCTTCGTTCGAGACAAAGCCGGTCTGTCCCGACACGTGCACGCTGCTGTCATCCCAGTGTCCTGTCGTCCTGGACGAGTCGCTGGCCATCTTCCAGTTCCACACGTAACCGCCCKTATCCAGCGCCTCTGCATCCAAGCTCACTGTTACGAGTCGGACCCATGCACAGAGGGTTAGGATTGTCCAGTCCTCGTAGCTGCTGGGCCAACCGAGGTTGAAGACTGCGGATGGTCTCAATATCAAGTTCCAGCTGCAGGGTGCTCGGGCACAATGGTGCCGAGCCGGCCACTGTGTGCCCTGCCACATATCCTTGAACCCTGGAGTTGTCCATATAAATCTGGAAGCGGGACTGTGCATTATGGCAGCCGACAAACGACCATAGGTCATGCTCTGAGCGGACCTTTGTGGATGATGCCGTTTTCCCCACACGGTGAAAGCGAGTTGGACATCCTCTCTGGGTAGCCCACGAAGCAGGTGCCGTATCCCTGTCTGATTTAGTAGCCGGATAGGGCATTATAGGGACTGGGAATAAGCCTTGTCGGCAGGTTGGGCTCTCCATGCCGGTCGGATTCTTTCGCTCGTCTCACGCATCCGGAACCCGGCTGTCAAATCAGCGTGGCTCATTCTAGTTTACCATGCCTTACCCATGGAGGGCAATGCTCGCAGACGCGGGAATGGAAGCGCAGGGTCCTAGCTTAAGCGAATGAGATGGTACGTGCCAACGAGCCTCAGTATGAAAAATATGAATGGTTGTAAATAACAACATATCCTGCTTGATGCCAAGGACTATGGTACCCAAAGCAAATATCCTTGGCAACAGTTCCTTGTCAACCATGGTAGGGAGCAGTATGCCTAAACTAACTATTGACATTCTCCCTCATGAGCATTGTCTCTAACGAAACAATGTGTGCATCCTGCATACTTCCTACAATTTTCTTTAGGAGTGCAAGAACGAGAAGGACAATGTTGCCTTGGGCCCAGACCGAGATCAGACCGCGGAACTTCGGACATATCTGATGGCTTTTTGTTGTTGAGGAAATTTGTTGGGTAAATTTCCGCTGGAGGGTATAGGAGAGCCGGATCCCTGACAGTACGACCATCTACACCTTTGAATACTTGGGAAAGATGTTCCTTGTCTTCCTCAGTGTCTCGCGAGGAAGTATCAGAAAGTGCCTGGCTGATCTGTTGCGGGCTCAGTGGTGCATAGTTAAGAACAGCGCCCGATTCGTTGAAGTGTCTCAGGACCCCGTCGTCACCCAAGTGAATGAAGTCTGTCGGATTTATACTTTCGAAGGAAGACATCAAATCTCTCCAGGATGGTTCATCTGTCTAGAATAGATATTAGAAGACACGCAATATAGCATAATGCGTCAAAGGGGCACTCACCGGCGCAGCTGCGCAGGTAGCAGCAGCGGCAAGAAGGGCAGCAAAGATTTGCGCGATGGAGAGGCGCATTGTGATGTCGACTATTATAGTAAAGACTGCAATAAGGAGGAAGGAAAACCTAATGGGTGCAATAATGATGATATGTGATCTAGAAGTACAGTTAGGGTACTTACAGGTAACAGGAAGACAAATTACGGAATGGAGTCTTCCACGCGCAGACCAAGAGCCATCCGACTTTTGCTCGGTGGTGCAATGAACAATAGGCAGAAAGATAATCTCCGAGGTAACTCCAAGTATGGTTCTCCACGATGCCTTCTATCGGAGCCTGTAGGGCATCCGCGAAGTACGGGATATTGGACTGGGAGTGATATATGTCTGCGTCATCTGGCCCTAGCTCATTGGTTATGTTCCTCATACTCCTGGTCTACAGGGTTAGCCAGGCAGCTACGTAGCATTAATCAATAATAGAAGTTGATTGGCAATGGATAATATCTCATTGACCTGCTCTGTCTAATGCCTGCGATGCTGCGGCAATAAAGAAAATGCCCCTCTCTCTTAGATATAGTGTCAGAATTGCCGTGCGACGGAAAGGTTGCATTAGGACAAAGCCAACAGCAGATAATAAAAATTGGTTGGACGAAGAGCGTTGTCGGGGACAGTAATTTTGGATGCTGTTGTCAACATGCAGGTGCATCCGGGTCGTTTTCGAGCTACTAACTCTCCCACAGAGCAGATACCAATATTATCATCCTGTGTAGACAAGTACGTTTCCTGTACCTGGATTTGCAGGGTAGAGGGCAAATGACAGCAGAAAGATCTTTCCTTATAACCATGATACAATAAGGGTTAGCAAGAAACAATAACCCACTTCTTTCTCGGGCATTCCAGCTACTCTACGAGGAGGTCATCAAACATACTGAAAAAGGCTTTAAGAGGAACTATTCCAGCAATATAAACTTACCAAAGGTAAAAGGTAAAATTGGCATGCAATATCACAAACCAGTATGACAGACATGGGTAGAAATCTCTACCTCGGACCGATATCATAATCCGACCGAATAACAACGCCGCACGGTTTCAGTTCACCACTTTCCATTTTCCTAGTGTTCTCCTGGATTATTTCCTTGTGCTCCTTATTATCCTTCTCGACCTGTGCTTTCTCCTCCGCTGTCATCGGTGGCGGTAATAACGATGGATCTGGCTTCCACCACTGCTCCTGAGGCACTTTCGTTCCATCTGCCCCGCGAAACATGTCTTCCATTCCCTGGTCAAATGTAGTTCGATCGAGAAAAGCTTTGAGCAGTCGAGGTGGAAGGCCAATGGCGTCTATCACGTCGCAGTCTTCTGTCAGAGTTCGGAGGACACCATCGGTACCAATAACAAGGGGAGCGGTGCCGTCCGAGCCAAAGTCTAGGTTGCTGATAATGTTAGATAATTCTTTTTGGTCAGGGTGGTTGTTGGGATCGGGGCCATAGCGACTGGTGGCAGGCGAGGCTGGGCAAGCCATTTCTTCTTGAATTTGAAAGATTGGATCTTGATAATATAATGATTGATTATTGTAAGGTAGTCTGATGGAAATCGTCAGAATTGATCATAAGATAGGCTTAGATTACTGTTTATATAGAAGAGCAATGACAAGGCTGTCATGTGATTGAGAGTAGATCAGGGATCTACTCTACTATCAGCCAGGTTACAACTTACGGGTGACCACACCCTTCGGAAGAGGTCGGGTGAACGTGGCTGTGAAAGAGTGAATAAGACAGCCCCTGATGGTGACTAAAATTTAATGATAGAAGCTTGCGCCGGATGGACAGACTATCCTCATCTCACAGCTGGCTGATCACTTCTATGAACCCCCTGAACTGGGGCTGGCTTCGGTAGCATGGCATCCCTCCTATGTGTCAGTTTGATGCCTTTGCAGGAGACTTTGGCATGTCCATCAGTACCCCCGCCACCGTCCTCCAGAGTGCAGAATGGCACCTATCCACTTCGACGATCAATGATCCAGGCAGCCTCGCCGTCGTAATGAACGGCATCTCGTCCCTTGTCTGGATCCCCTTGCTCAACTGCCGGGGTCGTGCCCCATTGCAAGAACAGCCCTCGGCCTTTTCTTCACCCTAGGATGTATCCTTGCTCCGAGGTCACCCGTCTACTACACCATGCGGGCTCTGATGGACGTGACCGGGGACAGGCTCGTCGATTGGACTGGCTCTCATTCAGCATATGTTCTTCTTCCATCAGTACGCCCGCAAGATTGGCCTGTGGTACGCCGTCTTCCTTATCTCGCCCTTTGTGGGACCCATGCTCGACAGTTTTATGGTTGCTGGGCTGGGTGAATGGCGCCCGCTCTTCTGGCCGGTCTTTGCCTGGACCATTGGTCTTACGGCCACGATCGTGGTCTTTGGCGACTAGACCTACTATCGACGGGACATGCAGCCGGGCAGACAGCCCAGACGCTCGCGCAGTCATCTGTGACGGGTTGTGGGTGGGTGGCAATTGCGAGTCCACAACGACTACTTTGAATCAGTCCGCTCCTCGTACACTCGAATGTTCTTGATCCTCTTTCGCCCGGTTGTCCCGATTGTCTCGCTCGCCACGGCGTCTGCCACATCTGAATGCGCGCCAGGTGCGAGTATTCGCGTAACCATTCGGGACACCAGCTGTGATCGCCCAGTTCGAGCAAATGGAACCGGGGGGTTACAATCATTCTGGGCTTTACTGGACAGGACGGCTAGAAAGAATGAATCAGGATAAAAAAGTCTGTTTGAATGGGACAGCCCACAATGGGAGGTCTTCTGTACCTCCATGGCTGGGACATAAATCTTATGAAGTTCCACTGTCTGCGCGTTGAAGCTGCTGGTGGCGGGCCTCGGATCCCGAATCGAGTCACTAGAATGGCCATTTCTTGACATATCCCTGTCCCTTTGTCCGGGAGCATCAAGTCCGACGGACTTTTGCTCCCCACGCCGGAGCTCATGATCTTAAATCCTAATTCCGACAGGAATGATTGGGTCTTAAAAGGGGGCCTTCAAACCCCCTGTGTGAGTCCAAACTCATCACTACACATATTTCCATCAGACGATATCCGCACACTCTAATCATGGCAATCCTTCTGACTGGGGGCACGGGCAAAACATCGATCCGAGTAGCGCGCTTCCTCCAAAATGATAATATCCCATTCCTACTGGCTTCACGCCGCGGCCAGTCCGCCGCTCCTTCAGACATGCCTGCCGTCAAGTTCGACTGGCTAGACAAGGATACCTGGCGCATTCCATTCGACTACAAGTTTGTCAATGACCAGGTAATCTCCGCCATTTATCTGATGGAACCACAGGCGCCGGAGCCATGGAAGTCCTTAAATGAGTTCATCGACTACGCGCTGGAGACGCACGGCGTCCGTCGCTTCGTCCTCGTGGCTGGAAGCTCGGCCGAATGCGGCAAGCCGGGCATGGGCATGGTTTGGCAGCATTTCCTGGACAGGCAGGTGGACTATTGTGTGCTTCGGCCGAGTTGGTTTATGGGTGAGTAGCCACAGACTCTTGTCGGAAATCCTCGTGGAAGGGATAGTGCTGATGTTGCTCGCTGGTTAGAAAATCTAACCGAGGAGGCTCCGCGCCAACTCATCCGTGATCAAAGCAAGATCTACACTGCCTGCGGGCAGGGCAAAATCCCGTTTGTCAGCGCTACGGATATCGCGGCCGTCGCCTATCGCGCTCTGACGGATCCCGACTCACACAACTGTGACCACCGGGTGCTGGGGCCCGAGCTCTTGACGTACGATGACATTGCGGCGAAGCTGAGCCACGTCCTGGGACGAACGATCGAGCACGTTAAGCTTTCGGGAGAGGAGCGGTACCAGGGGCTGGTAAACGCGGGCGTCTCCGAGTACTACGCGGGCTTCTTGACGAAGCTGGAGGTTGCGGCCTCGACAGGGTTTGAGACACGGGAGAACGATGAAGTTGAAAGGGTGACTGGGCGACCTCCGAGGAGCTTCGATCTCTTTGCGCAGGAGAATCGGTCGGCGTGGGTTCCAGAGGGCAAATGATCACTTTTTACTCGTTGTTTGAAAAGGCCACTCCTACTAAAGCCTCAGAATTCATCTCCTTTCCACTCATTAAAGGTCGACAATCATAAAGTCGAACCTTGAGCCCAGATCATAATAGTCTACTGGGCAATTTTTCCACCTTGCTCGACAGCTAGGCTGAATACTGATGACATCGTCACACATACTAACAGCCTGAAGTGTTCCGGTGCCTAGTATACTGATCTTGAATTCAATATAATAGAGAATGTGAATTGTAGAGCCTAGTCTGCTTGTAAGTAATAGTGATGCTGTCAAATTTTTCCAAATCATTTCTGCCCATACGCGACCCCAAATATATAATGCATTCCTTCTCTTATTTTCTCAGCAGATGTCTGATTCTCTTCCTTCAGTGTTCTGATTTCTTCACTGGTATACGCCCCTACCCCGTTGTTGAGCTTTTCCAGCAGAAAGTTCTGAACGGCTATGTGTTCCTCTGATCGACTATGTTCGGCAATAAGTCTTGTCTCCGGGCGATTCTTCCAATAAGTCCATGCCCATGGATAAATCTTTTGATCAACAGCCCGTAGCCCTGCTGATCTCATGTATTCTGCAAGATGTTCGCCACAGAAAGGATCCAACCCTTTCCTCAATAACAGATTTTGAATCGCGAGGACGAAGGGGAAGGCGTCGTCAATGGAGCACTCATTGTGATCATATAGGTGCCAGCTGAGGTCCTGCATCTCCACCCAACCCCCTTGTTTGAGGAGCCGACTTACGGTGGAAGCGTACCTCGGCCAATCAACCATGCCGACGACTAGCATTCGACTAAAGATGAAATCGAAATCGCCCTCTTTGAGGACTCCACTTTCCACCAAATGAAAAAAGTCGCCTTGCAGGTAAGTGACATTGTCAGGCTTGGTCGACAAGTCAATTGGAGCCGCCAAGTCGACCCCAACGACTTCAGCGGACGGGAAACATTTTGCTAGGTGAGTAGTTACCACGCCGCTGCGGCAGCCCACATCTAAAATTTTCGACGGGCGACTGAGAGGCGCATGGTAAACTCGACCGCCGATTAGCTCGACGATGGCGTGATGCTGAGCATCAAGTCGATCGTTTTCTTCGCGCCTGATGCGCTTTTAGAAAGTTTGAGATTGAGGGGGAGGATTAGCACGAACCCATGCGGAAGATTGTAGGAATGTTTGCTAGATTTCGCAGCCATGTTAGAGATTTATTTTGGTTTACCAAGTTGATTTGAAACTCCCAAGGTCGAAAGAAGAGAAGAAGAGGTGGGGTGCAAACCGTGTATGACCTCGAATTAATCTACTAATCTAGAATCGGACTTAAGAGTAACGACCCACAATCAGGAGAAGAGAGGCAAACCGGGAAACTAAACTAAGTTGGAGACCTGAAAAAAATTAGATTTTGTCCAGTTGCTGACACCGCCAATGGGATCTCGGAGACTAGCTGAACAGGGAGTGATGATTTAAACCTCATCCTATTGAATAGTCGAACGCACGCGGCGTACAAAAAGGGTAGTATTTGCGCCTTGGGCGCGCTAACTAAAGGGCGGTAATGTCGTGAGACTCGTGACTAACTACCATCTACAGTGCTAATTTAGGGTCAGAGGTTGCTTTGGCTTTGGCTTTCCCGCGAACCCCTGCCAAATAAGCACTCTCACTCCCACGGATCCCAGTTAAAAAAAGTCTCCGGGAGAGATTCGTACGACGCATCAGATCCAGGCATGAGCGGTTTATTATGCTGTTGGTCGAAATTCTCTTCATTAATGCACAACTTGCTCTTTACGGCACTGGTAGAACATTGTGTGAGTTCCCAGGAGAGAAAGATTGAAATGCCGGGAACGAAATGCACAACAGAAAATCATAACTGCGCGTCCACCCTTGGGTCCATTCTGCCGCAACTAACCAAATAAGTTATCTCCGTGCAATATACCCGTCGCTGTCATACTCCCTATCATAGAGAAAAACTCTGAATCCGGCGTGGGAAGCTCCTCGAACACATTCCCTTCAAAGAAATTCTCCCTATCATCCACGCTGTTGCCAGTATCTCCGTTGCGACTAATAAAAGGAGCCGACCGCTGGAAATATGACCTCTGAATTGCGTCGATAACCTTCTCTAATACATGCAAAGTACCACAAATATTCAGATCCGGGTCTTCGACGTAGCGCTGCGCGTCACTGAGAATATGGACTGCGGACTGTAAAGGTTGAACACAAAGCGATGCGTACTCGTCAGGGCAATCTGACACCGCAAACATCATTATAGACAGAGATGTGAGAAGCAGTTTGATTGCTGTTGGTAACAGGAGTGGGTTGATTTCACCGGCATTGATCATTTCCAAGTGCAGATCGACCGATTTTGCGGCTGCTCTCACGAGAGTGTTAGCTGAGGCTCGGTTTGAGATGAGATCTCTTATTGACATATATGTGCTGATTTGAGTGAGAATCTTGATGTGGTGCACGCGAAGGCGGCAGAACCGTTTCAGTCCAGATTGAAGCCATGGTGGTGGGGCTGCTGTTGGTTCTAGGGACGTGAAGTCTCCTGTCGGTATCTTGTCGACGACCTTTTGTAGTTGGAAGTTGAGGAACTCAACCCTGTCCTCATTATTTCTGGATTGTGAAGCTGGGGCGTTGACGACGGTCCATGTCTCGGAGAGATTTCTGTCCAGAGAGATCATGGTCGATATATAGGAGTCATTCATTTCCTAACCGAGGGATGTTAGCCAGAACGACGTAGTCACAAGGCTTGAATGTGCTGATAGAGAATCATACTAATACAATTGCCGACAGATTTATCTCTCCATCATGCAGCGACCACGGCAGACCCGAATAAAAACTGCATTGCCTGTCCAGACGATATACACTGGCAAACAAACGCTTCCAGTCGGTAATACGCTGTGGGTCCACCTGGAGATCTTCAAAAAATCTGTCTCGATGAAGACCGAGCTCGAGACACAATCTGGCAGCCACACCGGCTATTCGCCATGCTTTGACTGGCCTTTGTTTGAGACTTAAATAGATTGACTGTGTGGTAGCCAAGGTTAGCCCTCGGTTAGTAGAGGATATGTAAGGGCTGAGCAGCTTACCAACAATGTTGCTATTATGACATCTTCAATCTGCGGTTTCTCTTGATCGAAGCAAGAATCTACGCTGCACACCAACTGGCCTTCAAGATCAGATGCCAAAGGATTTTGTGTGTTACCTCTGAGCAGCAATGCAATTGCAACAACCGCTTTTGTGATCTCCACATCGATCATATCCACGTTCGGAATTCGCCCGTAGAGAGTATCTTTCAAAAGTGAAAAGACGGCGTTTACAGCCTCAAAGCCCAGCTTAACGTTGATACAAGGAAAGAAAGGGTAGACCTCGTCCATGAATACTTTCAGAAGCTGACTGACCTTCTCGTGGCCAAGTTCTAGCAAGGGTCGTGCAGCTTGCAGTAAATTGATTAAAACATCGTGAAATTTTAAATCATCCCGAGCGACTGGATGCGGGCCGTCTAGAGAGTCTGGAGGAGATAGCAGGCCCTTTTCCCTCAATCTATCTTGCGTAAGGCTTAAGGTGTGTCCGAGATCCGTGGGAGTGAGAGGCTTATTTGGCTGATGTCCTTCATTGTTCTCTCGTCTTCGTAGTAGGCAAGACCCACGCCGAGACGGAGCGAGGCCAAAGCGGTCCATGGATTGTTGAATCTGGTCGCATATCCCGTCTATTCGTAAGATCGTGACTTCAGGGTCTTGATGAGCGGATTGTGGGTCCAAACTGCTATTTGGTGATTAGATTTGATGCATTAACGCAAATGATGATGGTGCCTTAGACCCAGGGGCCATACTCAGCAGCATCGGGCTGGAACGGCTCGTTGTAGGTACATTCGCTATGGAGCTCCTCACACCGGCTGCAAGGCTGGTTACCGCTGCACTTGACCTTTCGAACCTTACATAGGGAGCTATTTGAAAGTCAGCAGCCTAGCTTTTTACTTATGCATGAAGAGGACAAAATGTACCAAGCCATTTTTGCATATTTCTCCCTCTTTCGAGGTCGTTGCTCCCGCAGGGCCTCCAGCGACCTCTTACCGCGGGATGGTGCTGATGATGTGGCAGCTTTCATATTGCCATAGGTGCGAAGGATCAATAACAATATTGGAAGATATGAGAAGGGATGAGCCGCTTGGCGCGCTTTAAAGATGGCACCAGATCGACACCCCCCGGAATTACTCCTCAGTATGACTAATTCAGACTAGTCATATGCCCCTCTGTACCAATGAGTGCTCGGGCATATTCTGGGGTTCCCCGCCAGGCGTGGGGCGGGGGTGGGTTCCGTAACACAATAAGAGCTCGTGGCTGCATAAGCAGCACTTTACCCCGCATAGATGGCGATACAAGAAAGGGTTGATATCCGAAGGACCGGCGAAGTCAAAATTACCGAGACGGCTTGCCAAGTGTTGAGTTCGGCAATAACCAAAGTCTGAGGTGCCGATGTGAACGTCTTGAGTCAGGTTCGGAGCTCGGAGATGAAGACCACCCGTGGGAATTGTTACAGTTTGTAGAGCAGAACCCACCCAGAATGGTCATAGAACTTGTTGAATAATGAATCTCCCACTCTGTGTTTTTGTTTATCCAAGTAAAGTATAGTACTAGGTGATCAATCACTAGGTTAAGGTTAGCACTGTCGGGGCCCCTGGCAAGCTCAAGTCAGTGAGTGAGACTGTGAGTCTGTTGAAATACTGTAGGCAAACATTCCAATTCCTTCTTGTGGGTCACCGTCTAGTTTCATATGCTTTTTTTATTGTAACCACATGAATATTGATTTTTTGTTTGCTCCATTTTAGAGCTTCAATACCCTTATCAAACTCTCCTCACGGAAATGTGCAACGCGATGTTTTCATTATTAGACTGCTAGGCGATGACTTTGCCCAACTTTCTACTTATGAACTTTATTATGCTGAAAGCAAAATAGAACAGCAGAGAGAACACGTGTATCTCATCATTGAAATGCAATAGAGTGATTCAGAAGAGACAAGCGGGGAAACTCACTAATGGTAGCGTCCGATTACCTGGGTGAACGGTTGTACATATAAACGCTTCATCGATTAACGGAGAAGTATTAGTTTCTTTGTTAAAACTCAAGTGTGTTAAGGGTGTACTCAAACCTGCCTATGTCTTTCCCTTTGAGCGGCTTTGGTATCTTCCAGTGAAGGATGGGGCGACGGAACTGGCTTGGTCAACGCTTGCCTGCCGTCCACGGGGACCGTCACTTAAGAAAATTTGTGTGTCAGGCATTTATCTTCCTGTTAGGTTTGATAGTATTTGGCTAGCTATCAGATGTGTGTGAAATAGGAGATGTGTTTCCACGGAATTTCATATCGGCAACGCTTCCGGGGATGTAAATCCACAGCAGCTCCGCGGCAAGGCTTCGGCTCACAATGAAATCGCCCTAAGTTCCGCGGAAGCTTAGGGTGTCGGACATCAACACTTCCAATTCGATGCCGACTACAAATACATCCAGTATTTTAGAACAGTATAGTTGAGTATCTCTAAAGTTGCTCAAAATTTACTTCATCTGTCGCTAAAGACTAGTCAGGGACTTCTGCCAAACACCCGCATCATGACCGGACCTAAACTTGACTTTGGGGGCTTTCCTATCCCATGGACACAAACCAACCGTCCTGAAGATGAGACAGATATGTTTCCCTACCGAAAGCAGACAAGAAATACTAGAACGCTTCCGGTGGGTTGGAGATTCGCGGATGGCAAGCGTCCTCTTCACCAAGAAATTATATTTGATGAAGTGGTCGAGATCCCGCTGAGAGACGGAGTCAAGGTTCGTCAAATCCTAGAGACTAGCCGGAAACATGAATACTGATTTGATGCCCTTAGATCTACTGCGACATCTTCAGGCCTGTCACGAATACTAAAGTCCCGGCCCTATTGGCCGTAAGCCCATACGGAAAATATGGCCATGGTATGGAACGAACAGTGACACGTCGGCTTTGTTCAAGACCTTATGTTGATATTGTCACAAGGATTCCGTTTTTTCGACAATATTCCCTTCCGGCTTGGGCTACCGGAGAGTGCGACGTCCGGTCTTGAGAAGTTCGAAGGGTAAGTCAGTCCCGATCCGTACCACAAATAGAACATGCTGACCACGAGACGTAGACCCGATCCGGCTGAATGGTGTCCTCGCGGCTACGCGATCGTCAACGTAGACATCCGGGGTAGCTGGGACAGTGAAGGTAATCTGTATATCGAGGGAAGCCAGATGGGTATGTTGCGGCTCTCTCATCAGGGAGAAATCGACATGGCGAGTGTTGACAATCCACAGGTTTGGATGGCTATGATACTGTCGAATTCATCGCAGCTCAACCTTGGTGTAATGGTGCTGTGAGTATGTGTGGCAATTCCTGGCTGGCAACGGAGCAGTGGGCGACCGCTATCGAGAAACCACCTTCACTCAAGTGCATAGCACCCTGGGAAGGATTCACCGATAAGTATCGTGACCTGATATGCCGTGGCGGTGTTCCAAAGTACAATTTCGCTTCATTCATCTTCAACAAAACGATCCGCGGCCGAAACCTCAGGGAAGATATTGGCGAGGCACTCAGCAAATGGCCCCTCTTCAATGGCTACTGGGAGGACAAAGTTTACGACACCAGTGGTCTGACGCTACCAATTTACGCGCTTGGGAGCTATTCGTCGGGAAACCATGGGGCTGGTACGGTGAGAGGCTGGAAGCAGGCTGCTTCGAAGGACAAATGGATCCGATTCCACCCAACCCAGGAGTGGTTTGATCTTTACACTCCCAGGTATATTGATGATCTGCAACGCTTCTTCGATCGGTACCTGAAGAACATCGAAAACGGGTGGGAGAATACTCCTCGGGCTAGGGTCTCCATTCTCACATATGGGAATCGCTTCGAGGCTGTAGGTTGGAACCAACGGAGGACTTGAAAACCACCTAACATGTTGATAGGGACCCATGTGGGACGTGCCTTTCAGTGACTACCCAATCCCGTTGACCGAGTACCGTAAACTATATCTGCATGATGCTGGAAAGCTGGGCACATCACCGCAAGGTCACGAGGGCTCCGTAGCCCATTACGCGGACAGCTACCAGGCCAAACCCTCTGAATTTGTGTTGAGCTTCGACAAAGCGACCACTCTTGTGGGACATTCAAAGGCCGAGCTTTGGATGTCTTGCAAAGACAAGGACGACATGGATGTTTATGTCTCTATCCGCAAGATGAGCAAGGCCGGCGAAGTGTTAGAACACGTAAATGTTCCGTGGGAATCTCTGCCAGCAGGGGCCAACACCCAACATGATGTTCCGATGACGCAGACTGTCAAGGTGAGCAATTTATTTCAAAAAAGGCAATCGAGACGCCGCGCTGACCGAATCTGTACTATAGTATACCGGACCGACTGGCATTCTCCGGGCTTCGCATCGCGCCCAGGTCCCAGAACGGAGCACCGCCATGATCCCGTACCACCCACATGACAAGGAAGAGAAGGTACGTCCAGGTGAGATTGTAAAGCTCGAAATCTCTCTTTGGCCCATGGGCATTCACTTCGAAGCCGGAGAAAGCCTGCTATTCCGTGTCCAAGGCTTCATTGATACGAGCGTGGATTTCCCGAGCCACATCGACAAGAGACTCGACAACCTGAATGAAGGACGCCACATACTTCACTTTGGTGGGAAGTACGACTCGACGATCATCGTACCTGTTATTACCCTACCAGCGCAATAGGTTGTCTACTACTAGCGGTAGTCCGCCAATAGGGATCACACAATTCAACCCAGATTCTCTGCACTCATCATTATCATTCACTGTTCCATCTCCTCGAGTATCCATGGTAGACGTGTGAGACTCGTGCTCCATGATTAAAACAGATGACCACTCAATAATTAGATCAACTTTTCAAATAAATACAACTTCCGGTCAAAGATTTATATTGCTAGTGATAGTCGCAGTATTAACGTGTACAAGAAGTGCGACCGCCCTCGAGCTGAGAAAAGTAGATGAGAAGGGGGATTTGTGTAGGTTATTAAAGAGCAAAATCCTAGTGAATAGAAGGGAAGCGAGGGGTAAAAGTGCAATCTTCTAAGACTGTAAATTGAGGTTTTAAACACCAAACCGAAGTCCATACACGAAGAAAATGCGAGCAGTTACAGTCACCTATATATGGAAATGGCTCTGAAAGTGTCTAGAATTTCTTGAAAGTCACCTCCATTGACGTTCACTGGTTTCCGGCGAGGTCTCGAATCATAATATCGGGAGCTTTTCCAGGTATATATGATAGTCTCATGTGTATTGATAGTATTTCTCAAGTACCGCCAATTCCGATTATTCGAACATCTGCTGCGTCCTGCTTCCCATGGAGCTCATAAACACCATCTTTCTTCTCTCGTCACAGGATTTACAGGCCGTATAACTAGAAGGGAGGTAGTACACCAAATCCAGGGAGGATAAGAAGAGAAATCTTGTGTTCTCAATTTGACACAATGGCTTCTCCTACAAAACTCTGGTTAGACAAATGTGGTCCTCCTCAGGAGATCTTTGGGACGTGCATGTAACACGTCTACTCGCCCGTCTCTCTGTCCACATCCCAGTGAATATGTTGCATCACGCGCCCTTTGAGAGTGGCGTGGCGGATCTGCTTACCCCAGATGTACAGAGGAATCCATAATGCCAGGACAAGGAAACTGAAGCCTGCCATAGTGCTAAATGCTGCTGTGTACCCATCCCGATCCACCCATGGGTTAGCATAGAAGGACATGAGAAATGTGATGAACGCTAGGAACACTATCAGTCAGCATCGAGCGTTCCAAAACATTACAAGGTAGTTAACCTTACATTTGAAAACAACTTGGCTCACCACGACCTCCCCAGCAATTGGCCKGTAGCAGTCAATTGTATAGACCACACTGATACCAATCGCAGCACTACATCCGAACGAGACTATCATTATCAGGTCAGCAAGCTCTCTTTACTCAACCCATGCTGAAGGCAAATGCCTTACACAAGAATATTCCCAATGTAGGTATCATCCAATGAGCCTGGTAATTGATCCCCAGACCATAGAGAAGAAGTGCTCCTGGATAAGTGATCATAGCGATGCTGACGGCCGGAAGACGCATCTCTGGCTCGCGAACGCCACCGTTCCTCGAAGTTGCGCGGTTGGCGACCCAATCCGAGAAGTAGCCACCGAAGGGTATGCCTAGCAGATTACCTATAATTCCCGCGATCCAGATCAATCCCAATTGCCAGACTGTAAAATCGTAAACCTGCGAGAAGGCCGTTGCGGCTGTAGTACCTAGGATGACAAAGATGCCTATTCCTATTCCGAAAGCCACCGTGGACCACAAGACTGGTGGTAGAAAGAGGACAAGCACAGGACGAATGGTAACTTTCCATATGCTCTCATGGGTGAGAGGAATACGGTTGAAGGCCATCAGTTGGATGAATGATTTTTTCTTAGGCGTTCTGGCCCCCTCGACGCACCCCTCTTCAGACAAACGGGATATTTTCTCATTTGCTACTTGCTCTGTTCCACCGACATTCCTTTGATATGCGGTCTCGGGCATGGTGAAGAGAATCAAGACCATCGTGGCAAGGACGACGGCAGCGCACAAATAATGAAACATTCTCCAGTCCTGCGAGATTGACATGACACCGGATATCAATAAGCCCAAAGCAGCACCTGTTCCGAGCGCCGCCGAGTACATCCTACAAAGCGGTTTGTAAGTCTGGAAGCGTCGAGACAGCTCGGGACATGGATCATCACATACGCCGTTATTTTCCCTCTTTCATGAAGGAAAAAGATGTCTGCGATCGTCATGGGAGCCACACACTCAGCGCTGCCGGCGAACCATGCTGCTATAATCCTCGACGCTAACAGGCTGCCATAAGAGGTGGCACGCGCCGACCAGATGCAGCAGAATCCGAAAACGAGAAATGAGAAAGTGTAAACCGCCCGACGACCGTATTTCACTGCGAGTGGGACCCACAAAATGTTGCTCGCACCTGCCGCCACAGATGTCGTGGAAAAGAGTAAAGCCACCTTGCTCACTGCAGAGGAGAATGCTGCGGTCGATGCCGAAGACAGCGTAACGGGATTACGGGAATTAGGCGGATACACGCCGTAGAGATCTATGACTATCTCAACTAACATTACCCCAGGTCCAGCTGCAAAAAAGTTGACCCAGGTCAATGCTGCGCAAGTAAGAACGGCAACATATATCTTGAAAGGCTTCGGCCTTTCACAGTCAAGTTAGAGTCAACGTATTTTTAGGGCTTATGAGAGACAGGCAAAGATGCAGAAAGTCCTACCAATTGAGAGGGTCATTGGGATCGGACGACGGCTGGGGCACAAGAAGTGTTGCTCCAGTAATTTCATCTTGAAGTTGAACATGGCCAAGCGTCTCCGTGGGTTGATGGTCATGAGCAGTGCCGACAGAGCTATTGAGTTCTTGCTCGGGATGAGGCATATTGAAAGATTCACGGCATGAAGTTGAACTGCGTCAATCTGAGCAGTTCAGACAAGTCGGAGGTGATATGGCAAGGACATCTGTATCTGCTTTAGTTCTAAAGGCCTGCTTCGAAATCCGGGGAAATAAAGTTTGTGCGGGGAAACACAATCAATGTCTGATCAATTGGAGACTAGCTAGATTCCGCGGAACGTCTCGATGTCAAGAGTTACTGGACATTCTATCATAACCATGGCTGAGCGAATGGTAGGCAAAACTCCCCAGATATCCTGTGCGCTCCAATAAAACTTCTGGTCTGAAATCAACTATGACTTCGTGATTGTGGCATCGCAAGGAGCCCAACAACCCAACAAGAGGGGCAATCGTTTTATTAGCACACGAGTAATTATCACCAGTGAAAATGGTCCAAACGAGCACATTCTATGAAATTATCGAATTCCCTGGAATAAACATCCCATAAGTGACTGGGTTCATTGGCGAAATAGGAATGGACTGCCAGGCAGCACCGTTGAACCTGCGTCTTTGAGTTGGGATCCATTGTCGCAATTCTCTCACAGGATTGCATGAAACCATATTCTGCATCTGACCTTTGGAGACTTAGTGTGTCTGTTGCCTGTAAGATATCAGTGTGTCACGGTAAATGCTTATTGTAAGTACCGGTAGGTACGCATTCCTTGGACTTCCTGTACCTAATAAGGAGTATAATCCCGAGGAAGATAGTGGGTTCGAATCTAGGTGTGAGGAGCTCGATCAGAGCGTTTCCAAAGTGAGTTTTGCCCAAATATCTCTCTTCCGCGGAATGCCTGGACAAACAGTAAATTCACGTTCCACGGATCTGCAACCATATCGGGCCAGCGAAGCCAGAACTGGTCGCAACAACTACGAATATCTATGTAATATTCGCGCGGGTATATAACCAACTTTAAACCTCTGCTCTTCAAGCCTCAAACTCTATATACTTATTATATCCTGATATTTCACAGACCGCACTCGAACGCGATGGCAACCTTAGGCCCAGCCACCGCACAAGCTGAACTCATGATTCCAGCCGAAAAGAGCCCTCATACGAACCACTTCGGGCTTACCTCGCCCTGGGAACACTATTACCGTTCTGACACTGCTCCTCAGGGCCGCTTTGAGTGTGACCTGGACGAGATGGTCGTCTTTGGCGATATTCCTCCGGAAATCAGCGGTACCTGGTATCGAATGCTCGTTGATCCTCATTTTTGCCCGCAAGTGGGAACCCCATTTGTGGATGGTGATGGGCATGTCTGTGCCTTTCGTATCCAAGACGGCAAGATCTCCATGAAAATCAAATATGTCCACACCGAGAGATGGCTTCTAGAACGAAAGGCTGGTCGTCGCCTCTTTGGTCGTTACCGAAACCCCTTCGATATTCACCCGTGTGTGCGATATGCGAATGACACCACTGGAAACACCAACATCATCTACTGGGGAGGGAATCTCCTAGCGTTGGCGGAGCGGGGATTACCCCACGCTCTGGACCCAGACACCCTTGAGACCAGAGGCCCTGATCCATACGGCGGTCAGGTCGCTGCGATGACCTTTGCGGCTCATCCTAAAATCGATCCCCACAAGAATGAGCTCGTTACTTGGAGCTATTCAGCCAAGGGCCTCAGAACTCCGGACATTTGTACCTACTCGGTTGATCCCAATGGACGTATCTCCAATGTACACTGGTTCAAGCAGGATAAGCCTGGATGGCCGCACGACGGCTGGATCACGGAGAATTGGATTATCCTTTCCAATATGCCTTTTGGCGTCAACACGGATGAGGTGCTGAAAGCTGGGGGCGATTACTGGGAATACATTCCCGATCAACTCTCGGAGTTCTTGGTCACTCCACGCTATGCGAACACTCCGAACCATCCAGACTGGAAGCCAGGCGAGTTCCGCAAGTATACCGCTCCTCACGGTCTGATCGTCCACACCGGCAACGCATGGGAAGAAGAAGGTGGCAGCTTGAAACTTGAAAGCCACTTCATCAGCTTCAACGTCTTCCACTTTTTCAACCCGAAAGATTATGAAGGTCCAACAGCCAAACCCAGCGCCAACTGGAATCGCTGGACTATTGACCTGTCCAAGCCTGATGGGACTGCCCTGCCTCCCCCTGAGACCCTGTTGGAGGGAATGTTGGATTTTCCCGTTTTTGACGAGCGTAAGACGGGCTACAAGACCAAAATCGTCTATCTGGCCGGTATGACCACCCCGGAAGAACAGGAGAGACCCCGTTTCAACCTCATCATCAAATTGAACACTGAGACTGGCGAAAAGTTGATCTTCCATGTCGACGAGGGGAATGCCGCGGAGCCAGCGTATATCCCTCGAGGGCCTGATTGTGAAGAAGGCGATGGCTGGGTCATATTCTATATGGAGAGAGATGTGTCGCCCAAGGGGGAATTGGTTATCCTCGACACTAATGACTTCTCGAAACCAGTCGCCATTGCGCAGTTGCCTTTTCAAACACGCGTCCAGGTTCATGGAAACTGGGTTCCAAATCCCCATCCTGAGACGCCTTTGCCAATGTTAACTGGTCCCGTCAAAGATGTCGTGCCCAGTACTAAGTACTCCCAATTGAATAGGCTTCCATAGAACGCGCAATTTATTTTGATAAATTTCAGCTCTAGGGTACCTGGCTTGAAGATTCCTACGTAAATACCTAATCTGAGGAGTCTCCGCTTGTCTACTGAACTGGGTGGAAAGGATATTGTAGAATGCCTTCCAAGGCAACGATCTGAAAATATCAGGACGCCACTGACTAGTATTTGAGCGTAATCGACAAGCTGGTCAGTAGGGCCACAATGGATAGGCCAATCGATTTTGCTTGTTCAAAACCATAACTTTTGCACGAGGGTAAATCAGACTACTTCTTTTAGGTGAATACAACGAGGTCAAGATTCTGATCGAGTCTGGGGTAATTCCGAAAGCTGTCAATATTAATGTCCGGTGAAAAAACATTCATGAAAAGGTGCTTGAATCAAGGCCACAACCAAAACTCTGGTCCTTCACGAAGCAGTTTCGGAGGCAACTCAAATGCAGCTAGTCGGACAAAAAAGAATCTAAGATGACCTAATCAGCATGTAGAGAATCCCAGCCCGAATTCATCACTGTCCAGTCTAAACCTGGCATCATTGATCTTGCCCTGTGTGGTGATCTCCATGGAGTACAGAGCTTGAGCCTTGTGAATGAGATACTCTGTAACATGTTGAAGAACGGAGTCAAAGTGGGGCTCACGAGTACATTCCAACTTTCATGTTGACGCTTTCCGCGGCTCGTTCCGGAGGTGTAGATCCCTGGTCACTACGCTACTGCCCCCATGTTTTGAACATCCCCACTTTCAAAATTGGTTGGTCTCACCGCGGAAATGTCGGAAACGGCTTGGGCGTGAATGGCTGTAAGTAGCTACGTGATAGTTAAGACTGGCCTCAAGTCTACTGTATTCTGGCACAGAAATTTCAAACAACCGCGTGGCGTTTGCAATATGATTGCCCAGCTTGCATACCTTCAATATGATGTACCGACTCTAGTCACCACAGCATGCGCCCTACTGATCCTGCGCTATCTACTCAGGGCTCTTTTCGACCCCTTGCGTGATGTCAAAGGCCCAACGTTCGCACGATACACACGTCTATGGGAAATTTACAATAACTGGCAAGGACAACTTGAACATGTCACGGTCGCTCTACATAAACAATATGGTACCTCGATTTACCCCATCCAGAAGTGTAAAATCTAAGTTTCTATAGGTTCTATTGTCCGGCTAGCACCCAACCGTTACAGCATTAGTGACCCGTCGGCAATTCGCACCATTTACGGCACCGGCTCAAAGTTCAGTAAATCGGATTACTATATTCCCTTCGGTGCGCCCATAGACCACAAGGATGTCTTCTCAGAGACAAGCAATGAGAAACATGCGTCAGAACGCAGGAAAATCTCCAATATGTACGCCATGAGCTCTTTGGTGTCCTACGAGCCATTCGTAGACAAAGTGAACGGCCAATTCATGGCCGCGTTGGCCGACCATGCCCAGCGTGGTCGGGCGCTCGATTTGTTCACCTGGATGCAATTCTACGCATTCGACGTCATCGGTGAGATCACCCTCGGGCGATCGTTCGGCCTACTCGAAGCCGGCCACGACAAGGACGGACTTTTGCGTGCTGTCCATGTCGGCTCCATCAGTTACGGTTCTATGGTGGGGCTAATTCCTAAAATCCATCCCTGGTATCTCTGGCTTCAGAAAGTTTTGCCCATCGAGAGCCACTGGAAAGTGACGCAACGTGTTATATTGAGAGAGATTGGTGCCAGGTTGGAGGGAGTCAGTACCAGCGATCGCAAGGACTTCCTAGCCAAGTGTGTCGAATTGAGCAAAGCTGGAAAGCTGGATCAGTCCACAACCAATAATGTGCTTGGTATGAACATTGGCGCTGGCTCTGACACAACTGGGATTAGCATGAGTGCTATCATCTACTTCCTAATGAAGCATCCGAGCTGCTTACAGAAGCTCCGCGATGAAATTGAGACAGCTGATAGGCAAGGAAATCTCTCTAACCCCGTTACTTTCCAAGAAGCTCAGAAGCTTCCATACCTGCAGGCCACCATTAAGGAAGCCTTGAGATTGCATGCGGCAGTCGGCCAGATTCTTAGCAGAGTGGTCCCTGATGGTGGTGCACAGATTGCTGGCAGACACTTTCCACAAGGTGTAAGTCCCGAGCACTGACCATCCGCCAGGTCCTCTTGAGAGCTAGCTACTAATCTGAGAATCGCTAACAGACTGTGGTGGGCGTAAATGCATGGGTGGTCCATAGCGATGAAAACATCTGGGGCAAAAATGCGCACGAGTTCCGACCTGAGCGTTGGCTGGTTGAGAAAGAGCAACTTGCCTTCTTGGATCAAAATTATTTGGCAGTAAGTTCCTTTTTCTGACCGACGGTATCCAACTATCATATCGAATGGAATTCGTGTTGATACAGTATACAGTTTGGCGCCGGTTCAAGAACATGCATCGGCAAAAATATCTCACTCCTCGAAATGACAAAACTTTTACCTCAGCTCGTTCGGCGTTTTGACTTTGTCCCTGCTGGCGACAGCGAATGGACGACTACTAGCGGGTGGTTTGTTAAGCAAAATATTCAAGTAAAAGTCATTGACAGAGAACGTGCGACCAACATGTCTATCAGCTCCTAAATTGGTCGCGGGGCTTAATATAGCGGAGAATTTCTGAGATTAGCATATCCTACTTGTTCAACTTCCTTTCTTAAAATGCCATCTTCCTGGAAGGCTTATTTCGGCAACTTGCCGTTCTAATTCATAGACTTAGGGACCTTGCGCACTCGGTAGAGTCAGAGTCCTCGGTTGATGACTCGCGATATTCTTTATTGCACTGGTGCAATTCCGATTCCGCGGAATGTAGGGATAAGCGGCATCAAGCGACAATTGAGTGAACATAAGCCTACATCCTGAGGTTATCGTCGAAAGGGGATTTTTAATTTGATCAGACGATTCGTGCGATAGAAGTTGACCTGAACTTGAATCAATGTATATCTTCACTATATATCTGATTTGACATGAAAAAGGCGTTTATAGTAGTTATGACCCAGATTCCTTGTATAGGCGCACCATTCCTACCGTATTCGCGCATCCAACAAAGCAGAACGACCGCTTTGGACAGCATCCACAGCCTCGGGCAACCTTGCTGCGAGTTCCTCGACGGTACTGGCTTGGCCCGCCCAACATTTGCCTCCTGATGCGCCCAGTGCAATAGTCCCGTAATCTGGATTTGGATCGAATGAAATGTTCAGTTCCTTATTGCTGACTTGGGACCCCAACCCATCAGGGTGAACAAGAAGCAAAGACTTCCGAGGTGCGTTCCAACCTGGAAAGTATGTTGTCAGCCCGACCTCTTTCCAATGTAACTCAGAAGTTCCTTTCCCTCGACTTACCATTATTGTTGAGCACAATAGTCAGCACTGGGATCTCATACCTCTGCGCAATCCAATACACACTGGCTGGAATCGAGAAGAGAAAGCAACCATCGCCGATGATCTGGCACACAAACTTTCCTTTCCCTCCGTAAAGGGATTCCGTGGCCATTTTTATACCAAGAGCTGCGCCGCCCGACCAGCCAAGTCCACCGGCACCCGAACTAAACACGCTTCCTGGCAGCGTTGCCTGTAATTGATCAGCCACGGTGAATGTGTTGGTGACAGCTTCGATGACCCAGATAGTGTCGATCGGACACGCCTTCCGGAGGTTCGAAATGAGACAGTCGCATCCGAATGAGCCGTCTGGGTTCGACTCCGCCTGTGCAGCTATGGCGTTTAGCTTTCGTATGTAGGACACCTGAAGGTCTGACCACCGGGTTTCATAGTGCTCATGCTTTTTCTTGATTTGGTTTGAAAGTTCTGTTTTCAAATGCCTGACGATTTGGTCCAGGGCAAACTTGGTATTCACACGACAGCGCAGGATCGCGTCGATATAGAAGACTGGCATCTGGTTTTTCAAAGGGTCAATATCGAAATGAAAGATTTTGGCACTGCTGGCAGGCTTGCATTGTGTGTTGATCCAAGGTACATCGCAATCTATGACGAGTATCACGTCGGCTGTGTGGATGGCGTCGTCCGATCCATATCTCACACTCAGCCAGCCAGGGTGATCAGCAGGGAAGCAGAGATCCGAACCCATCGTGTCGAGAACTCGCAAACCCTTGACAATGTTTGCCAACTCGACGAGTAAAGGCACCACGGTAGTATCACGCCCACTATAGCCAGTAATGACGAGAGGCTCCCGAGCAGATACCAAGGCTTCGGCAACCAGGTTCAGCTGCTTCGATGTCAACCCCCCAAGCTCCACGGGACACCAAAACTCCTGCCAAATCTCATACGGCTCCATGACCTCTTCCATAACCTCTCGGGATCCTTGTAAGTAAACAGGACCTCGAGGCTCGCTTTTCGCAAAGCTCAAGGCTCGATTCACCATTTGTTTAATATTCTTTCCCTTCTTCAGTTCGGCGGTATAGCGACAGTATTGTGAGACGATTGCTCTCTGATCAGGGACATCTTGTAGCCAGTGGATGAACTCCGTTCTGCTACCGGGGTATTCGCCTTCAAGGGTACAGGGGGAGAGACCGGCGAAGATGAACACAGGCGCGCGGCCGACACTGGCATTGTGAACGGCGCAGCCGAGTGCTTGAATGCCAACATCGACGTGCACAATGACGGCTTGGGGTTCTCCAGTAACACGAGCGTAGCCGTCTGCCATCGAGAGTGCTACCATTTCACTTGGGCAAGTGATAAATCTAGGGAACCTGTCTGGCCTCTCTTGTTGGCCTTTGACCATGGCTTCCATGATCGCAGGATGATCAGATCCTAGATTTATGAAGCAATACTGTACGCCGGCCTACCCCAGAAAATATTAGTACATCTCCGTCTAGATCGAGGTTCCCGCGGTATAACTAGACAACACTCACGGCCCAAAGCGCCTCGAACATGGCCGAAGAGGCTGTATACTCCCTGTGATGATTATCAGCGTGTTGAACGTGATGCAAAGAATCCTGGCTTTGCTTACATTTTGCGTAAATTATGGAATTAATTCAACAGGCGAAGCACAAAAACCTTCTCAATCTCTACGCCTTATACTCCAGGAAACCAGCCTGTACGAGTGATTTAGAGGGGAGCATTGAAGCGACTTCGAGAGTAGACAAAATACCTTCTGGTAGGGTTCCGGCTTACAATCACGGCACTCAGATCTGGAATTTATCCTAAAGAGACACTATCAGCGGCAGTTTTTGCTAGAAAATAACCCAGTGTTTACCGTCGGACTTGCCTTGCTGGTTGCACCGAGGCGGTTCCGCGGAATCGGCTGCGGCCGTTAATGCGCAAACGGAACCTATGGATATGCTTAATCCCACGGATATTGGTAGCGTTGAGACTGCATATTAGCTGCCTACATTCTAAGTGTTTCTTTTGAAAGATTAGACATATTCAACACTTAATGCTAAACAACTTGCTTCGCAAACATGGCAAGCGTCGACTACGTATTCAAGACGGTCAATTATGGCGCCCAGACGGTCAACCTGACAGCTACTGTGCACCTACCTGAAGGCAACACTTCTGTGAAGGCGATTGGTGAGTCCTAAAGACACAAACTTATGAAACCTCCATGCTGATCCTACACACGAAGCGCTATACTTCCACGGAGGCGGCTACATCGTCGGTAGCCGAGCAATGCTACCAGCTGCGCATATCGAAGCCTTGAACGAAAGTGGTTTCATCGTCGTATGTTCGGACTATCGTCTAGGCCCTACCATCTCCGCCCTAGAGGGTCCAGTCAGCGATTCAGTTGCCGCGTATGAATGGGCGCAGGACGAGCTTCCCACACTCCTAGAGAAAGAACATAATATCCGAGTGGATGGCCAAAACATTGTCACCCTCGGTCACTCTTGTGGTGGTGGCCTTGCTCTGTTGATGGTAAGTATAAGTCCTACAAACTGGCTAGTGATCATTAGCTGAATCAATTCTTGTATAACTAGGCTTCTCGCCCTAAACCACCCAAGGCCATTCTTGATCTATTCGGATTCAAATACCTCCGTGATCCCTTCTATCACACCGGCACGAGCACTCAACCCCAACCTGGTGCGCCTGCTCTACCCTCCGACGAATTCATCAACCAAGTCTTTAACGAGGTCCCTCCGCCGACCGCCGCACGTCCTCCATTCGGTCCTTATGGACTCGATTTGAGCACGCCGCGACAGGCTTATCTAATCACTTCAGTTAGGAAGGGTACCCAGTTTGACGCAATCATCGCCGAGGACGAGTATGATCGGGTGGACCCTGGGAAATTGTTGACGACTCCCAATTTCCCACCGACATGTTTCGTGCAGGGAACGGCGGATGTCGTTGTTGACGCAAAGTTCTCCCAGTGGGCATATGCAGAATTGCAGAACAATGGGGTACAGAGTGAGCTGTATCTTGTCGATGGTATGGCTCATGGATTTGACGCTAGATTGAAGCGTGAGGATGCTGCTTTTGGGCCTATCCAGAAAGGCGTGGATTTTCTGGCGAAGCATGTTGTGGGCTGATAAGAAACGTAGTTTGTTAGATGTCTTGTTTTTGTTGATGCTATCAAAGATGTCCCAACAGGGAGTAGCCACATAGATGTTTCAATGTATGAGAGTAGAATATGAAAACCAGAAACAAATTATCATTTCATCGATGAATAACTGGCGTAAAATCCCCCATCATCGCCACGAACAGTGATATGATACAATTATGGACATGCTTATGATGACGCTCAGAAATAGACAAGGAAGAGACACCCTGGCTCTTAGAGCTCCTTCTTCAGGAAATGCTCCGGTTTGTGGGCAGCCTCAGAGCCAACGTGCACATAGCACGCTCCACATCTGGGAGAGACCCAAACTTGATCTGCACCTCCTCGGCGACGTCATGGGTGGCGCGAAGTGAGGCCGAGTCCTTCACGACGATGTCGACCTCGACAAGCAGACGATGGCCGGAGATGTAGGCGCAGAAGGGGTCAGCGATGAGGGGGGCGTGGGTCATGGCTGTGAAAGAATGATTTGCAAAATCTGCTCAAACTCCCCGTTCCTTGTCCGATTGCGATAGTTTTGCCTGGAGCTTTGGACTCTCTTCCCTCTCTCCGCCAAGTTCATCTTGGAGCTTCTGATTTTTTTCCGCATATTTTTGCCAATTGACATTGGAATCATACTTTCTCTCCCGAAGAAGTTCACGGCGTGAATTTTGTTTCCTAGCTTGTTAGGAAGTCTTCCACGACTCAGATCGTACAGCCATGCCAAGCGATCGACTTCATGACCCCAGTTCATACATCGCCCTTTTTACTCTGAGCACATTGAGAGGACCAAAAAACAGGCGCAGGAGATACTCGGTACTTCCGTCACTTCGCAAGACACCTTCTACACGCCTCTCAGGTATAACTACAATGACAGATACAACCTCAAAGKGGCAGCATTAGTACAGTATACGCGCCGGACAATGGAGGACTATCTAGAGGATGATGTGTTTGCGGAGAAGCGTCAATCTAGGTGATTTTCCACTACTGTCTCTACATATATTCAGATATAACAATTGCCCTTGAATTTACTGAGTAAGATTGAGCCAGTGAAGCCAATGAATTAGCAATATAAAAATGTTTTGTTATAGCTCTCAACAAAACTGACACATAAAAATGACCCCCTCTGCAGTCAGACTCAGCTCCTCCAATTTTGACTAGCCCTGTCAAGTACCATAAAATGCCACACACTCATCCTCACTTTGCCCCTTATACACGACATTTTATCATGAATGATCTACTCCTCATCCATATTCGCGTCAATCTCATAAGCCTTCAGCTCCTCCGGGATATCCGCGTAGCTAGCGTTCGATTCGTAATACTGATGGAGGGCTTCTTTCACATTTTGCGGGGTCGTTGGGCCAATGTCAAACTGGTGTTCCTCGTCAAAGGCGATAATGTCTGGTTCGACTACATCGCTGGCGGACAGAATCTGGACGTCGGATACTTCCCCTGCCAATGCGGTGTCCCTCCTGCACGAGCGACAGTCGAACCAGTAGGAGCCGCGGGAACTGGGATTACTGAGGCATAGACCCAGCCCGTGGCCGCTCTTTTTGACAATGCCGCAATTTTTCCCCCGGTTATGGGTGCAGATGGACCCGATTGCAGTCGTTGGAAGGCCCAAGAAGCGGCTAGCTCCATAGGATCGCCCTGGTCGGCTGTCGCAGCACGCCTGTGCTCGAACATTCCGGCATGCCTTGAACCGGCCGCCACATCCTGCGTTTTCGTAGTTTCGGATAGTGACGGCGATTGTGGACTGAGCCATTATAGCGAGCATCACCAGGACGAAGGTTAGGGAGAGATGCATTTTGTAGGATGGGTGAGATAGGGTTAAATAATGGCTAACTGGTAGAATAGAAGGCTGTAGATGTGACTATGTGGATAGACTATACTGCGAAAGAGAAGAGGGGCCAGCTGCCTATAAATACTGGAAGGGAAATGTGCATGTTACTTCGCGTAGGTCCTTTCTACATCGACTAAGCCGAGGATCTGTCCCGCTTGACGGAGGGCGATCTATCATGGTCCGAAATCTGTATACAGTAGGCAGCAGTATTATCAGACAGTATCACCTGCGCCTAGTTGGGGGCCGAAGTAGGGCCCCCTACTTGGGGGCGTACTTGGGGCCCTAGTTGTTCCAGGATACCCCGGGATAGAAATGGAGACAATAATTGCCATACTACCCTACATATGAACGGTAAATTTTACTCTGCCAATCAAAGGTTTCTGTTACTAGACAGCTAGTTGGTTATTACTTGATATCAGGCCTAAAAAAATACCGCACTGCCTGCCTGTCAGCTGATGGTTGCATTGATTGCTTACTGTGGCTGAGTATCTCTTTGTTCTTCCTGTCGCCCTTCCTTCCCTCTGTTTCCCTCCGCACAAACATAACCCATCGCCAATTTTTGAGCCTGGAGAGCAAAACAAGATCTGCAGAAGACAATTATTATTTCTCTAACCACCAAAAATAACTCTCGCAATGCCCCCAAAAGACAACTTGCCTCGATCCGGGGATGAAGCCCCGGACATGCCGTCTGTCGCGCCGGATGTCCTATGCCTGGATGGCCATCTATTCCGCATCAACTATGATGTTCCAGAGGAAATCACCCGGCAACTGGAGGAACTGTACGACCGCGATGCGAAATATGAGGAGATCCCGGGGCACCTGAAAGCATACGAAACCGAAATGGAAGACACAGATGTGGAAGAGGCGAAAGAGCTAGAACGGCTGTCAGAGGAACAAACCCAAGACAAAACCTCCAAAAAGTGAAGGATCGAAGCTGTAACCCCACATACTCCGCTCATTTGGAAGGTATTATACGGATGTGCTGAATGTTGTTGGAGTGTGCCGCCTGCTCAAGTCTAATATGACGCCATTCCAATCCCCGGCTATCAACATATGTGTGATCATGCGTCGTTGGGAGGATACTTCTGGAGGAAGAAAGAGAATAGTAACACCATGGACAGTTCTCTATCGCACCATGCAACTGATATTTTGTCCCCTAAAGCAAATATAATTGATTGTTTCTTATTGCGAGGTGAGAGGAATCAGACTAGGGAATAAGGATGTATATTCCTTAGTGCTATACTTCTTTTACCTACCTTGACAACGCAGCTTTATATAAGAAGCAGTAAAGATGATCTCTTTACTGATAATACTCTAGATAACCTAGAATCAAAAAAATAATCAAAGAATCCGCTGTCCTGGTGCAGCTCGAACCAGCGGATTCCCTTGGCTAGATAGGCCAAATGCGGAACATTTTATGAAGTGTGGCACGGCCATATTATCTCTTATGGTCCATGGGTTAGAGACAAAATACATTAAGTGGTAAAGAGACTAAATATTCATCCAGAGCTTCAGGGACCGACTGCCTGCAGCCACGCACAGGGAACTAGGATATAGTCCTTTATGATGTGAACAGCCTCTTGTATATGAAAGCTAATTGAGTGTCTTGGCAGTTCATGGGAAAGATAGCAAGAAGATTTTGGATGAGAAGAACACGTAATACAAAACATGAAGATATATCGTTGATAATACACCACATAGTTTCCCCTTCCTAGGCTAGAACATGGCCCGTACAGGACCTCACAGTTAACCAATCTAAGCCATTCTTGTGTAAATGGGTTGTTGCTTAGCCTTGTTGTTTTGCAACCTCGTCTGGCGCGCGCTCTGGTAGCTTTGCGTGGTTTCAGCCTTGTGCAACCACAATCGCTCTCGTGGCCCTTTTTCAGTTGAGACTGGACCTCGAATGCTTGCTTCACATCCAACTTGAAATTTTAAATTAATGGACATCACGTCCTCATGTTGTCCACAATCCTATAACAAAATTGACACCTACTGTTACAACGTTGACTTGCAAATCTCCTGGTCTTTATTAGGTCTGATGTGGCTGTTTTGCACTTCAGCTATAGACAGCTGTATAAATTGGTGTCACCTATTGTTCACCTGCGAAGAGATTTATCTGAATCACTGATACTCCAAAAGACTATCCTCTGCTCTGGCAGCGAAGAACATGCGAAGGAATACCTAGACACTCAGTTAGAGCCCATCCACAGTTAGAGCAGCCTGTATAACAATTTCTCGCTAAGGCTGTAGAAACCAAGGCTGTTCCTGCAAGGAGACAAGAGAACTTCATAAAAAAAAAAAAAAAAAAAAAAAAAAAAAAAAAAAAAAAAAAAAAAAGAAAAAAAAAAAAAAAAAAAAAAAAAAAAAAAAAAAAAAAAAAAAAAAAAAAAAAAAAAAAAAAAAAAAAAAAAGGGTAGAAAGAATCCGAGAATTAAGTGGATATATTAATGGTAACTTGTGCTCTATTTCCTCAGATCACCCTGAGATGCGGATATAAATAATGATAACTAACTTCTGTAGACAGTTGATTACATACAGCATACTGCGCATTGATTGAAGTCAATGTGTTATCATGACTTGACTAAAATAGAGTCTTTTTACACCGATATTGCTTGTCTGCTGTGTGTTTACGGATATGGGCAAAGAATATTACTCTCCACTCCCTATAGAGGTACATTAAGAGCTCCTCAACTCCCACAGGACCAGTCCCATGGGATTCCCCATGTCGCCGTGAATGGGAAATGGGTGTGAGCCAAGGTTCTAATAGGCGGAAGTAAGGAGGCCAAGGAACTTCTGTTATAGAATCCTATTCCAAATTATATTCTGAGATAAGTCTGGGCGGGAGTGATGGTGTCATGGATTGGACATAGTTCCGGTAGGGAAATCGAACCGATATTCTTGCCCCCAATTCTATTGCTCTGTATTCTGTTTCAAAGTTTTGGTATATTGGGTTATTAAGATAATAAAGCATTTAAAAAGCTAGTGTATACAGAATGTAAACGCTCACAGCTGGTTTATATGCGCAGCTTACATTGTATTGAATACATTGCTCTGAGAGATTTTGATGGGGTGTGGACATGGTAGGTATGTATGACGGGTAGAGCAACAGATAATTTGCTAGCATTTAAGGCAACGTAGCTCCACTAAAGCCGGAGACGCCAATAGGGTTCAATCATTTAGAGTTCCTTTTAAGGTTCGGCGAGAGGCGGATCGAAAGCTGGCACATATATGTACAACCCTACCAGAGAGCATCCGACTGATTGATGTAATCCAAGTGAATGGTCTGGGTCATTCTAATTACAATAGTTCATTAGAATAACAATTAATAATTGTCTAATCTCAGTATCCATGGCTACAATGGTACCAAGGCGTTTGTCCATATGATGAGAATGTTATACTTTGGTGGTCTTTAGGTTGACAGATCCCAAGGGCATAATAGGCTGGTTTCAGTAAGTCCCTGCAAAGTAGCTATAAAGAGACCTCGAACAGTTACACAAGTGTAGTCATAGACACTCGACATGGACTGATTGTATTCGACATACCACATCGGTCATATTCCAGCCTGCCTGTTGCTGTTGAAAATGTCACTCTGACAAGCACTGGGCTTGATATTGTCCCCTAACAGAGGACTGGATTCAAGCCACTTTTGGAACTGTTGAGATCCCTCTCGAGATTTCTAACCTCATCATGACATGCCTAAGAGAACTTAGGCTACTCCAGCAGAGGGTAGATCAGTTCGTCTTTTCTCAATTAAATCATGTATCTATAGAGCCTGATAAGCTAACAGCCATCCAGGCATACTTTTTTGCGTCACTGTAGTAATAGGGGCTACCTTTTTACCGGTTAAAGAATACTCTATGACGCTTCAATTCTCTAAAGTATCCCCTAGCAGTGAAAAATTTGGAGCTCTGGAAGACATAAATACTAGTTCTCCCTGCTCTCCTCCAAGAAAAACGATTTCCTTGCCCTTGTTAATCAATTCAATTTTCGCCACTCTTAACCTGATTAAACACTGTTTGAAGGACCGCTTCTTCATCACAATGCACTTCATCAAGACAGCTCTGGTCACAGCCATTGCACTCTCCGCGTCGAGCACATTTGCGCGCGTAATGGATACTACTTGCACTGTATAGTGGCCACATTATTTAGACCCCTGTTACTGAATGCTATTTAAGACAAACTTGCTCTCTATTGCCTTAATAAGCTTAATGCGTCGCAGTTTGTGGGCTATGGTCTGTTCCACTAACTTGATTGTACTGAAATGTCTAGGTCCGTTACTGCCTTGCTCGGGATGGCTGTTACAATCAGTATATTGAGTCAGGTGAATGGGACCGTTTAGTTAGGCCGTAAGTGCTGTGACCCCACTGTAAACTTCAACCAATTAGCGCACTGACGAGGTGAACAGAGGACCTGTAGAGAGCATACAATCTACATGCGACGGCGAATTAGAGGGGTTCGTTCTTCTCTTGCTCACCTATTCTGCATATATATTCTAACACATGCACCAGTAATGGAAGATACACCTTCAGGCGTGGAGCAACCATTGTTCGCCCTCCCTTCTGGGCTCAAGATATCCTGTGTGAAGAGTAATCTGAGGAACACTACATCTAGGTCCACATATCTTAACCATTATGTGGAAGATTACTTCATCAACATGATTCTTGGGGAGTATGAGCCCGAGTAAATAAGGTAATAATAGTTTTCTTGGTTGATTTCATTGCGTTCATTTTGCAGGCGAAAGTCTCGGTATGGGCTTTTTCCTTCTCTCAAGAGGTTTTCCCCGTATCCTTTTGTGTAAATGCAGAGACTTCGAGTATAAGAGCTGAATTTGTCTTCTTTATGAACTGAATCCAACATTTATAGTTTTATTCTGATCTATAGCTCGCCGTAAATCACATAATAGTTCTATATTGACCGGGGAAGCAGTTGTTGATGGCAAAATCACAACCATCACTAGGCCGTTAAATGATGGCGAAGGCGAAATGTCAAAAAAGTAATTACTAAAATCCGTGGTTGAATGCCCGGAGTTGAAGAGAGTGAGGTGAATAGAGTCTGAGAAGGACAACAGATCTTTCCTAAGCAAATGCGCAATTTCGAAGCGTTGACCTTAGCAGTTAAGCTTACTCTTGAGTTCAAAGCATTAGACTGACATCTGTTATTCTCTCATGGTTTCCATCGCATTAATAAATAACTCTAATAAGTTTGCAAACGTACAAGAGCGGGCCCGAAAGCAATTATCCATAATTTCATTGGCAGTACTATGGTCCCTTCTCGGATGGTTACCAGGCCGCAAGAGAATGATCGTAGGTGGGGCTGAACAACAGAGGTCATACTCAGTATTCGAAATAGACTTGTAGGTTACCTCAGACTAACCGAATCCCCTGTAACCTACGTTTCTATCGCCGGAAAAGGAATCCCTGAAACATCCCACAACGTCCCATCCAGGACATGCTCGCGGACCCAGTCCTGGCACAGCTCTATATCATCTCCACTTCGATCTGGTGGCACAGGAACAGAATGATATACGAACAATGGCTCCGATTCGGTGGCTTCGTTGACAGATTCAGCAGTACGGACCTGCCGAGACAGCCACAGCTGGCTTAAGAAGCCTCTATGCCCTAGTGGGAGTTGGAGAGCTATATTTGACTGGTCGGTCCCATCAGAGTTTATGATCACGACTCGCTTCAAAGGTGGGAGTTGGCGGATATTAGACGGATCGTAAGGAAGAGGCTCCCTCAAGCCGTCCGCCCGAGTGAGGACAAGATGGGTCAAGTTTTGACATCGCTGGAGGCCGTCCATGAACTCAGCTGATGACACGTCTGGGTTGTACAATGCGAGACGTCGAAGCCGTGGCCAACTTGACCATACAGCTGGCTCAGATCCCCCTTCAACTGTGCTGCAATATAGCTCATCTCGAACAGAGCAGAACTCCTCAAGCTCCTTCAAGCGGTTGAATGCCGCCCGAAGGGTCGCACGAATCCCCTCATCGTCATCCTCAGGGTAGAGGGAACGCAGCGGCATATCTATGACAAGGCGCCGGAGACTGCTAGAAATATTGAACAACAACCGATCCACTTGTTGAACAATCAGGGGACTATCGAGTCTGTTATCAGGGAACGGAGACAGAAATAGTCCACCAGGTGAAACTGCATGCATGAAACGGTCTTGTCCGTTCCTTGTCTCAGCAGCGAGCAGCTGTCTAAGATTGATGAGGCTCTCAAGCCGTCTGTCCGAGTCAATGTAAAGGCAGTGCTTGAAAAGGAGCCGCCTCGCGGAGCGATATGTGAATCTGGACACAAGCGTGAGACTGATCAAAGTGCAAGTCACCGGATGTGATGAGGGAAGTGCAACTGGTGGTCTACTTGGAATCAGGCATTCGATAATATGTAGTATGAGCTCATTTGGAAGTTGTGACATTCTGAGCTATCGCCAAGGTGTTAAAACCGACCAGCTTGGGATGGGCGAGAGCTGGGTTTACTTGGGTAGTCTTGTTGTTGACTTAGGGTGGACAGCTACTGAAAAGCTGTTAAATAGAATAGCCGCAAGTGTGGAAATGCGTAGTGAACATCGACAGTCTCGATGTCATCCGTTGTAGTGTATCATATTAAACGGATAATTTCAATTGAATGATCGAGTAGGTTCTTAGAGAGACGGAAGCCGTATTGAGACACTGGGAACGGGAAGAATAATTTTCCCGCAACCATTAGCTGGTGGAGCCACTTTTCGACCCCATGAAACGACGCAAAGAATAGTGAAGGCTAGCAAAAGAAGATAGGTTTTCCAAAAGCAGATTATTTGGATAAATTCGACGATATTATCTGCTCTCCGGCGGACGCCGTTGAAAATGCTAGGAAATGGTTGTCACAAGGAAGAGTATGTACAGCGGGAGGAACTCTACGCTTTCAGGGTAGCGTTGGGGGACAGTAGTCTTATAGAATGCTGCAAAGCGTTAGGGCGTTCTAAGGGCATTGACCGATGGACAGGGGCGGAAAGGTTGAAGGCTATATACCGTTCAAATTTCGGTAACGCATACTGAAAAATATCAGGTAGAAAAGGAGGCTTACATGATGGAAGATCTCAGCTCATGGACTTTACAGTGTACTCCATAAATGGGTGCAGCCTATGGAGATATGAAATGGTATCCAGCGGTAAAATATTATCATATACTAACAGACCACCCCCTTGTCAACTGAGGCTTGTGAATATAGCATAGCCAAGGACTCATGAAAGATAATGAGTCTTTAATGACCCTACGAATGAGTTCATAGCCAGCTGGTTGGTACAGTACAATCGCATGGTCACTAGATAGGCAGATGTTGATATAATTTACTGCTTACCCATTCGGGCAGTGGCTCCCTCGCTCGTTAACTATATCAAATCGATCAACTCGTGATCTACGGAGTACTCTCTGTGATATCAACAGCCATGCTATGAAAACCCTCATATTCTCCACAGCTTAGAATATAGATCTCCTGGATAGCCACTTGCTAGAAGAATCAGACCTTCGTTGACCTCATAAGCCTCCGTACAAAACCTCCCTGCCGGACTCCAGCCGATTTTGGGACGAAGTGGTCAAACCTGAAACTATCACCGCGGATGAGAAGAAAAAAAAATTCAAATACACGTAGCGCGACTGGCCGGGTCAGTTGTTTGAAACACCCTCCAATTCTGCACAAGCGTCCTTGAATGGCCTGCGCTCTCGCGTATACTGGACTCTAACTGCCCAAATGCTGTCCAACGCTTGCAGAGACGGGGCGTCGCGAACCATAAGTCGACGACACGTCCTTTATGGAGCTGCTAAACCGCGACTGGATAGTAATCTTTGTTCTGCATCTACTAACTGTGATTAAATCAGTAATACTTTAATATACAGGTCTAAATTCGGAGCTGGTTTGTTCGCAGTGATGATGTGCTGTCAGGTTACCTTTTATTTGGCAGGAAGATTGTGAAGTATGGCAGGGAGAAAATTCTGGTCCCTATACCATATATGATCTACATGTATATGGCAAAGCTTGTGTTAGGCTATGTTAACCTAAGATTATTCTTAGTGCTTTATTTATATTACCTGAGCAACTTAAGGGTGTTCAATAATTGAATAACAGAGCAGCTAGGGGCGAACTATGTTTAGACGCAATACTATCACTAGCCCATATGTACCAGCTATATAGTGGTATGTAAAAGCTTTAAGAAATGTGGCATATGAGGTCACTCTATTTCATATAAATTATATATGATTATCACCAGTTAACAAACAGCCTATGGATTAGTAAAGATTCTACGAGAATGCTTCTTCTCTAATCACTAAACCCTGATAGCAAAAAGTGTTATAGAAACACAGCTAGTCATCCTCTGTGCTCTCTTTTTTGTAATACACAACGCTATTCGCCTCTTGACGACAAAGCCGAGAAGACGATTCCACCACCACGGTCAATGGCCAGTTCGCTGCACACTCTACCGGGGTTCGCATTCCGAGCAACACTTCTTCAATCCCGTTTACCTTTTTTTGGCGCTGCTGTATTGCGCGATACACTTGTGGACTACCCTTCGACCGAGTGCCGCTGTTCAGGCGGTAGATATCAGCGGCACGATCGGCGGCCGCACGCGTCGATGTCAGCACCAATGTCTCAAGAGGTATTTCTAAGCTGCAGAGCACAAGAGCCTGTCATCGATTAGACCAGATGCGAAGCGGATACAATAAAATTAAATCGGGGAGAATGCCGGTCTTTAGAAAAGGGGAGGGGTTTTGGGGAGAACCTACTCCACAATTCACGGGAGAGCCATGAGGGTCGTCTAGGCGAGAAAATTCGACTCTCCTATCGTTGCGAGCCTGAGAGAATGTTTCAGCTGCCCAGGGCGTACTGACCGTGCCTATTGATAAAGTCACGTCTTTAAGCAACAAGCATTGCAATAATGCAGCCGCAGCAGAGGGCCCGTAGCACAAATCCCCCTCATATCTCGTTGTAATAGTGAGGGTGGCTAGGGTTGCTCGGACGTGGGGGACAATTTTATCCCAGAACGTTTCCGCTAATTTGTCTTCCTCATGATGATGGTCCATTTGCAGATGCATGATCTCTAGCTTTTGCAGTCCGTTGTAGCTGAGCAAATACTGGAACATGTCATCCATTGCTCGTTCCGAACCGGACACTTTGAGCGCGGATAACTCTGTGCGTGTTTCCTGCAGGCTAGACCATAATGCTTTCCAGGCGAAATCCACGCCACGAGACGCTGGAGGGGTTGAGACGCTCAGCTGGCGCAGTGTAGATGACAGCGTTGCTTTTAGCCCAGGGCTGGGAAGAGGAACACGCACTAGCTCTAGTGTCTGCAAGTCAGGCTTAGCTGGGTGGAAGAAACGCTGTAATGAGACGCATTCCTGAACGAGACACTTATTCGCTGGTCTAGCAAAGTTCTGCACGGAGAATTCGATCAATGCCGGTGATGCTTCGATCAGCGGTCTGATTTCTCGCTCGCAGTATGGTCGGGGTATATCACCAGAGCAAGTCACGGCGAATCTGAGCAGATCTTTGAAGCCGTTGAGGGGCGGCAATGGCTGTTCTCCCACGCGGTGAGGTTCGCCCTTGATAGATACTGTCAGAGCTTGAAGTGAAGATAGGGACGAAAGCGCTTTGGCCACTGGTTCAAGCGTGGTTGAAGAATCCAGGTCAAGATCGTAGGTCCAGCTGTGGAGAAGGTCATTAGTATTAATTACATATCTTCATGGACTTGGAGTACAATAGAAGTAGAAGAGTGCTTTTCTGGACAAAAAGAACATGTGCGAGGAGTACCGAACAGTCTCCAGATTGCATAGCTTTGATACTGATGGTCCCAAGTGCTCTGAGAGGATATCCTGGAGGGGACCCTCATCTACGAACAGATCGCCGCTGTCATGGGGGCCGTGATATTCCACATGCAAGGCGGCGATATGAAGAATTCTGACGTTAGGAGCGAAGGTACATAAGGGATTTATAATGGATTTGATGAGCCGAAGCTGGCGGCTGGGGTGACGATAAGATAGATCAAAAGAAATCTCCGAGAAGAGCCGCGGGGTAATTGGAAGTAATAAAGCCTTACAGACGCTTCGCAGGCAAAGCAGGGACGGTAGTGGGAGACAGTCGAAGATCATGCCAATAATCTCCGGGGGCAAATCTACTAACATCATGAGCGGGTATGGCAGGCAGCGGCTTTGTGGTTAATGATGTGATGTTTTCTGTGTTGTTGTTGTTGAGCATACTTGGAAGTTGACTCTTGTTGAATAATCTCCAGCGTGGACTCGATTAAACTCTACAGGACCCTAATATAAACGCACCCCGTATTAATGGTACAACCCCTTGATGTAAATCATGTAATTAGTTAGAAATTACAATTAACACCATGCAACTCACACAACCATGATTTTCGCGGCTGATTTGTACTATCAAAGATGATAGGAAGGATGGGGCTTCGTCTGATTCTAACCAATTGCATAACGAGCAGATTTGGATACTCAATAAAGGCATGGCATGATGATAGCCAATGGCAACTCTAGGCTATTAATGCATATTTTCTAGGCAACTGATATCCTTGTCTCCTCTCTCATTAAGAACCCCGGCTTTCCATTGCGTTTCTGACATCCAGTTACTATCTTCTTTGCCTCGTTTTTGGCCTTTCTTTTTTATCAGGGGGGTGAAGTGGGAGGGAAGGAGATCCCTAATATTTCGTTCTCTCATTCCTTGCGTTTGAATCACGGCTCTGAGTGCTGCTTCTTACGGAGATCATACTGTTGATAGATGTAAACCCGTAGGGATGGTTTTCAAAGAGCTCTTTAGCGTGAATTGGTGGCTGCATCAGTTCACATCTTGGTTGCTGGCGTCCTCCCTGGGAGTGGGTGCTACGAGTCTCATCACATGGGCCTCCGGTTGTCCTTCACTGAGAGAAACTGGTGGTCCGCCTTGAGTAGGCCCTGAACCGACAGCCCTTACTATAAACGATAGCACCAGATAGGGGCTGCTACAAAGAACAACAAGAACCGAATGGCAATTGGGATAGGGAAAGAACAAGGAATAACAAGAAAGTTAAAGATCCCGAGCCAATGAGGGGACGGATGGTAATGATAATCACAGCTTGAAGATTACACTAAGACTCAGACTCTTGAGAGCGACAGAGTCCCATGTGAAGGCCGATGGCTCGATGTTATTATACATTAAATACTAAGGGAACTTCACTAACGGACCCTGCCTCTGAATTTGCATCATCTACTGCAATCGTAGTAGGAGCAATTGCGGCTACTGATAGGTGCAGGGCGAGTCACTACAGAGCAAGGCATGAATCTGCTCGGACGCTGTCTCCTGCATGGCTCATAAAGCACATACTGCAGCTGACGGCCTAAGTAAAGCAATTACCAAGGGCATAGGATTTTGCTATCGCAGCCTCTACGATGCAGCACAGCCCTCATTCTCTCCGCTTGGTCGGCTTATTGTGTAGTGCTTATTGTAGAGATAGTGCTTACTCTATTAATAGTGCTTATGCTGTAATTAGTGTTTATTATGCAGTGCTTATTGCGCAGCAGATTCCGTACTCTGTAGTGCTTACTGGGTAACGCTTAGTGCCTTAGCACCCCAATAGAGATATTCCGCGGAGTAAGCAGAGGAAGGTCCACAATTACAAATAATATATAACGGGCCGTAAGCTAGATGATGGATTTAAAGCTACTAGGCCCCGGAAAATTTTTCTAAGTAACCGCCCTCGATCAAACCTCAGGATAAAGATTTCCTTTCCCCGCCGTCCGCTTCCCCTACTTTGGACGTTTTTCAAGGTCTCCCAGAAGGTTAGCTTCAGAAGAATGAATTCGGAATGTTTCTGTGTGCTTAACAGATGCGCTAACTGAGCTAAGCTAGACATATAAAGTGCAAGATATATTGCAAGCGATCCACTCACTCCAACCACTATATTCAACGGTTACATGCACTTGATACAGCTTAATCAAGGTTTCATACGCCTGGTGGGCCAGATTGTTGATCTTGCAAGTATTGAACGTTATCCGCTGCACATACGGTTTTACGACAAACGTTTTCGGAAACAGTTGGAAATCATTGTCAAGAACCAAGTTCCGGGCAACCGTGTAGAAGAGGAACTGCGAAATAGGGCTCGAACATGCGCAGAAGATGGCACATACTCGTCGGAGATCCTGGATGTGGTTCGGGTTGTTGATGACAATCCGGCTGGCAACAGCATGGACTTTCACGATTTACCCTGACTCGGAGTGCGAATCAAGCGTTACTGCGTCGTACAACGGGGATGGCGAAATGGGTTGCACGGAGCTTACTGCATCCCGGAGAGGATTCGAAATACATGATTTTGGAAGCTGCGTCTTAGAGCTGTACAGTGATGCGGGCTGCTCCAATTCCGAGAATACGTACGATGCAAATGACCAGGATGATTGCATCCGGCCTGACTACACCTGGAGTAGTTTTGCCATTTTTGGATGTTGAAGGATAGTTGGCAAGGGTGCCTTCTCAGAGAGGTTGACATAAATGGATCAGGTATTTCTGAATCGGATAGTATGACTTTTGGGCAGATCTAGGCTTCACTTTACACTGGAATTGGAAGGATCAAATACTGAATGACCGTGCGCATCTTCGGGTATCTTAAATGATAATTAGAATAGCTGCTGCACAACATCTCAGATAAAGAGACTATAGACACACAAGGTGCTTATGTTCATGATTGGAGTAAGGAGGATGGATCTGACCATAATCAGTGTATCCCTTGAATCCCAAGATCGAGATTCGCCAGGGATGCCCAGCGGACTCTCAATAGCTGACCATGAATACTAAGGCTTACCGAGAGGTAGGCCGTAAGGTAGTACGGGTCGGTTAATCGGTTAATTATATTTCTTGCGAACTTCTTCTAGCTTCCACCAGTTGGCGACCCCGCGCACTGCAAGAAGTCTTGATTTCATAACATTTCTGGCACCAATTCAGATAATCATTCTTGAGGAAGAAATGAAGTAACTCAAGACCCTCCTTTCTGATATTCGACCATGAGATCGGTCTGGTTCATTAACAGGAATAATCTTACCTCCTTAAACCGCAAAGTCATCATCACATCATTCATCACACACACGCCGACTGGCAGGCTCCACGGAGCACAGAGTACGCCGACACTCAACCACCAACTCTATTTGACATCAGGCAAAGGCACAGGATGTCTCTCTTATTGGCCCCAGTCCTTGGCCATTTCATGACACAAGGCGCGAAATCCAATGATGAAGTCTCCAGAATCTGGTCATCCGTTCCGTGGACGTATGCCGATAGTGTGGGTGGAGGATGCTCTTCTGCCGTTAGACTCCAGACAACAGCAAGGACACGTAGTTAATTCCAAGACGCCTGAAGTGACCGCAAGGGTTGTGTTTAACACAGATGCCTGCACTCCTGCAGGTAATAGGCTGCATAAACCATACATAGAGCAAAGAGGGCACACAACATTATTTTGTTTTGGGAATCGATGACAGTGTCAGAATTAATATACTAATTAACTCTATTATATAATCTATAGCTAGTATCTAGTTTAGATATAACTTCTAAGGACTATATAGTTTAGCTAGATAGCCTAAGTTAGGGTTGTTATTTTCGCGGGTTGGGCCGCGTTCCCCTATCTTTAGAACCTAACCCACAAACCCAACCTATAACCTGGCAGGTTCTAGATATTTAACCCATTGGGTTCTATTCTGCTGAAAAATTAACTCTCTATCTACCTAATCTAGTTAGTATATATATAATTTTTCAATACTATACTAGCACCTAATATATATATATATATATTTACCTTGAGGAGTCGGAACAAGCTCCCTCCACGCTGAGGGGGAGTGACAGCCAGAATATTCGTCGGAATTAGCCCTTACTAAGAAGGGTTGAGCCTTTTTAGTGCAGCGGCAAAAATTCTCACAGGTACAGAGGTGCAAGTAGTGTGGAATTATGCTCAGGTGACTCCGTTCAAGCATTGCTCTAAATTAGAGATATTGAAGGGGTTGAACTCCTAACTATGCTCTATCTAGCGGTTTTATAGCTATTCTACAGCTTCATCTCCAATTCAAAAGGGTAAGAGACCTCGCTAATCCCCCTGGATCGTCACTTTCTCGCAGAGGTCTCAGTGGGAGGTGGCTAAGCGAGGTGGTAGTCAATTATGAGTCAGTTGCACCTCCACCGGGGAATCCTTCCTCCAGGCGTCACAACGGGCGTAGACACGTGATGTGCTTCGCAGAGGCTCGTATTTAACTCTGCACAGGACAACACCTCATCCATCTATTTCTTCACGGTGGGAATGGCTGCATCAAGAGAACAACACACGTCGTTGCAGCTGACCCTCCTGCGCCCGCTGGACGGAGAAGAGAAAGTTTCCCATTTACTGCGCCTGCCAAACGAGGTTCTGTTGCTGATCTTCCGTCAGCTCACCCTGATCAAAGATGCTTCCCATCTAGCTCAATCGTGTCATCAGCTTTACACACTGTTTAGTGATCGCAGAAATAAAGTCGATATTCTTCGATCGGCTGCCGCTGTCCCGCAGCAACCCAGCTATGGCCTGGACAAGGCCTTCTCTGGTAACCACAGCTCCCATTGGAACACGATGAGTGAAGCCCCAAGCAACTAACTCAAGAGAGGCAGTTGTCACTCGAATACCACCCATACAATGGCGAATCCAGGGCGCTACCCCGCGTTCGAACCTGCTGATATACTTCGACTACGGTGAGGTTTCTAACGAAATGGCTGCATCCTCAATGTGGGATCTGTCAGCCATCCGGCGCCGGAATAAGACCATGCGGTTTCCAGAATTACTACACGAATTCCTTTCTCAGTTTCAAGACATCAACCCGCGCTGGGGGAAGTGGTATGAGAGGGGCACTGAACGTCTGCTCTCAAGCGCCGCCCGGCTGCAAGCCGACTTGTTACGTGAGTCGCCCAACTTCACCGATCTGTCTGGTGAAAATACGGTCATTGCGCTAGCACTTCATTGCCTTCTCCTTGTTCGAGACTTTGAGTATATGGCCACCGAAATTTTGGATCTCACAGAAGAAGGATTATTCGCCGATGGCTCCCCTGTCGTCGTTCCAGAACCGAGTTATGACGCCGACAGGCTTCTCCCCATTGTAGAAGTCCACCGAGCCATCTTGCCAGAGCGGGCTCTTCGAGAATCTCCAACACCTTTGCCCTGGGCACCACCAAATACAGAGGGCGTTAATGTTTCGAAGCCGGGCTACCACATCGAGAGTGGCCTCGATGCCACGTTAACTCATATCTCGGATTGTCTGTTCCGGCTTCTCGACTCCCGAGATCCAAGGCACTGGCCGACTGTCCTGTATGGGCTCGTGATTCTTATTCTGATCCGTTGGTGCCTGTTGCCTATGGGACGCTGGTTGAAAAGTCTACGGTATGCTGGGAGCTCGCTGACGCCGCTGAGCCGCGATCTTGCTCGGTATTATTATATTTGCACGGATGGGGGTAGCATAATCAGCGACCGATGGGATGAGGGGGACTATGCGGCGCAAGTTGGGCAGTATCGAGTTGCCCTGGACCATGCTCGTATTTTGCATGAGTTATGGGTCAATGCAGGTATGCGTTATTCACTTGTAAGTGTTTTTACCACTTGCTGACTTGGACAGACCACGGACAATGGAAGGAAATAGAAGGGGGTGGGGGTATAGACGGGTTTCCGGGGAAGTTAGAGTTTTTTGCGCATGGGTGCGTAGATGCCATGCTGCATCATGAAGGTATTTGAAGCATGTCGTCGTAATCAAATAAATGTGGTGTGGTTGCTGAATTGATTACAGAGAGTGTTAAGCATCAGAGGTGTAACACTTCTAGGCCGGCCAGCACGAACTAGAGGCGGGCTGGCACTGCTAAACAGCTGTAGGTTTTTATAGCTATGTGTACTAGACTCTGAGGACAGGCCCTGGCTAGGGGGGAGATAGTTGTCATGGGGGCTGCGGCCTAGGGGGTAGGTGGTATATAAGCAGGTTCTAGGCTGATGATTCCAAGGGGAATCATCATTGTGACCTTTTTGGCATTGTGGATAGTAGATGCATAGGACCCTACTCTCTGACACTATATACTATCTTAAAAGATAGAATTAGATTTAGAGAATCCTGGCCTAAGAATTAATTCCATACCGAATATACTAGTTATGCTGAAGAAGATGAAGCTCTTAATTCAGGGGCTGAATTTGGCTACTTCTTTAAGTAGGACTGGCATTCTAAGGATATTCATTGAGATTGAGTCCTTGCTCTCATAGTTACAGATATGTGGCTTGTGTAACAGTACAGCATAGAGGATGTGCTTGATGGGTGGAGAGCTGAAAATAGAGGTGATGAAAGCTCAGACTATAATGGATCCTACACGTGCGTTGGTGGTGGAAGGGGTGATATTAATGCCGCAATGCCAAAAGGTCTGAAACCCAGTGAAGGAAGGAAGAGCCTGCTGACTGGTGACCAGGACATCATATGCGGACATTTTGAGATTCTCATAATGTGTTGGTTTGACTTATATGTGTCCAAATGCAGGTCCAATTGCCGTCTTCTGTTCTGCAGTGCAGCGTCGACAAATGCAGAGTTAACAAGATTGCAGGAAGAAATGTGACTGAAATGTTGTCTTGGAAGAAATTCCATGTCGACCCTATGGGTCTGAGTCATTTCTTGGCTCCACTGAGGGAATCGTCCGCTGCGCCTTCCTCAGTCTTGGCATGTCTCCGTGACTCAATACTTCTGCTGCTTCCGCTCAATTGCTTATTAGTCATTGCATACTGTAAACTATCTTTGTCACAAAGAACTTGTATAGACTATGAGGATATCAGTTAGGGATATCGGTAGATCATAGGGTCAGGTTATTATGAGGTATAAAGGCGTCTGTTCACTGTCCATATGGCTATGTCTTTTGCACAGGAGTTCCAGCACATTCCTTGCGCCAATGGGTTGTTGATAGTCTGAATAGCAGTGGTGTGGTTTATCCCTGGATTTGGCACTATTTTTATATACCTTTTCGGTTCCATACTTCGCCGAGAGATGCTATCCAGATTACTACAAGGATACTGATCCTTCACTTTGTTTTACGAATCGAGCTAGGATATTACAGTATTGTCTTGACGAAGTTCCCTTATTAATTCCTCTATAATCCTCGCTAGTGGTGATGGATGTGGCACCCCAGATAATCCCCAGCAGACGCTTCTCCGTCCCGTCTCCTTTTGAGGGACGACCGTCAAGCAAGGCCAATAAGAGCACCGGTCACCTTTGCTGTCTTTTGATGTAAGCGATGGACAGGGGCAAACAAAGGAGGTGTCATTGAGACGACTAAGTATTCTCTTGTGACAGATTTTCCCCCTCTCCTAGTCAATGACGTTTACCAAGAGATTTCCAAGACACCGCCCAACGGAACATGGGCAAAAATATCAAGGAGAAGGGTACAAATGTCTTAGATCCACATTAAATGACGCACGCCTGATCTAAACTAGCCTCTCAGAATCTCATAACTACAGTATTTGTTAAGAAGGATAATATTCGGACGGATAGTGCTCGTTGGTCCAAGTGGACCGTCCGGTCAGTGGAATTGGATTGGTGACTAAATTGAAGTTGGAGATCAGTTGATTGAGTCTCCAGGAGCCATATACGTGTGTTGCGACAGTACTTTGGATATTGGTCGATTAACCATACAAAATCATAGGAAAATGCGGGCGTACGCTGAGTTGGTTTTCGCGGGGAGAAAAGTGTTAATATCACTCTTCTTTCAGTCGACACTATTCATATGAAGCCTCGATATTGTTCCCGACTGGATCGAAGACGAAGGCAGCGTAATAGGATGGCTGGTTGTATTCGGGTCGTGGCCCTGGAGGCCCATTGCAAGTGCCACCTGCTGTAATACCGGCGGAATAAAAGGCATCAACGGTCGCGTGGTCTGAGACTCTCATTAGAAGACAGTTATAGGGCAGAAGAACGTACACAGAGACGAAAACTACTACTTACTTTCGGCTTTGAAAGCGAGATGTATCTTTTGGTTCGCATGGACTTCGGTGTCGGCAGTTATAAAGAATTCAGGACGGTCGATACCGAGACCAACGCAATTTTCGATCGGCCTCATCATCTCTTTGTAGCCAAGCGGCTTGAGGGCAGAAAGATAAAAAGTGAGGGTAGCAGAAAACATCATGGGCGGGACCCGAATGCCAAGATGGTCAATGGCCATATCGAAAGAAAGCAGTGCAATTGAGGAGATAAAGCGTATCAGGTTTTGGAGATCACTTGGGGATAGATAAGGGTTATCACCTCGCTGCTCTTCTGGGTAGATAGTTGACCAAAGGGATCATGAAAGCTTACGAAGGGTGTGACGGAGGTATATATAAGTGGGAGTATATACCTCTAGTAAACTTGGGGAAAATGTTAGATGGACTGACCAAGATAAAGTCCGTATGGCATGACCTAAATTAAAACCTACATAAGGTTATTAACAGGAGTTAGCTCGGTCCAACCGAACCTACATACCCACTACCGATCCACAAGAGGGAACAACGGAAGACTTCACGTCCTATATATAGCCCCTGTATGCCAACAGAATTGAAAATCAACCTTCCTCTGATTAATATAGGGGCTGGGCACGCGCGCTCACGGAGATGAGCTGAGGTTTTGATAAGACTCTCCGTAACCGGGTCGTTTGCGGGATTGAATCTGGCCTCCATCCTCATCAATAAAATCAAAGAATATCACCTCCTTTAGATCGAGATCCATAGGAGAACTAGAGCGAGTGGACTCGCTTCGATTTTGAATGGGTGACTCTTGCTCACTTCGCGCGATTTCATTTCGGTCCCTTTCGAGACCAATCAAGTCCTCACCCGGGATAGAATGGAGTTGAAGCCGCACAGATTGAGGTATGAGGGCCTTAACTCTTGCTAGGTCTTCAACAGAAAAGGTGGACCCTTTACCCTGCGCTTCTACGGCTGACCTCAATCTGTCAAATGTTGGAGACAGGTGATGCTTGGAGCAAAAAAATGTATAGGCAATATTGAGGGCTCGATAGGTCCGCGAGAGGCGTTTGAAACACTGGAGACTGGTCCCAATTTTCCCAATATTCCTGGGAGAGAGGCTGATCTCAAGGTGACTGCCAGCTCCATGTTGAAAGGAAGAATGTTGGTTTCGACGGGTGTGTTGAGTGTCTCAGGAAGGTGAGTGGGGGAACGTGTCTGGTGGATTAGAGTGTCAAATCCGGCAGATATGGGGGAGAAAGGGGTGAAAGCTCCGTGTTCGATAACTTAGATCCGCGTTCTCTTTCCCGTGAGGTTGTGGGATCCATGATAGGGAGAGAAGGTTCGTGGTGAGTCACAAGAAGAAAGGTGAAAAGCAGACAGCTGTATTTCTACGCGAGTGGGGGGTCGTGTTAATAATGTGTTAACGAAGAAAAAGTGTTACTGGGGATATTCTAGCGACTTAAAGTACCTATCTCGCGCACCTATACCTAGATACTTTATAGAAGCTGTTGTACTCAAAAAGAGGCGAGATTTGATTGGTCCGGACGAGAGACGGACTCTCGGATTCCATGGAAGCCGGAGAACACCGAGCGATCGGAACCAATTAACATAGATCAATTTCCGCCGCGGAGGCCGACCAACTAATATCATTTTATATAGATTTGGATCACAGCCTTCTCTCTCCATCATACTTCAACATATTTAAGTGAGCGTCCGCTTTGCAGTCGTTTTGAAATTATTAAGCCTCGTTGAAACTTTCCTATTGCCCAATCTATCCCGAATTCAAGGAATTTCTCTATCCGGCGTAAACATCTACATGCAAACGCCAATGTCCCAAGAAATCGAAAGACCTAATTCTTCACCGAAAGAGACGTTCGAGCCAAAATCACCAAATAATAATGAAGAGKATGTGGGAAACGATAAATATCCTACCGGAGTTCGACTCACTGTCATTGCGACATCGCTCTGTCTTGCAATATTGCTTGTCGCACTAGTTCGTTCTTCTCATTCATTTTGAAGATTTGAAGACTTCTTCTAATTCTTCTTGCTTTCTCCAGGATAATACAATAATTGCCACAGCTATTCCCAAGATTACTGACCACTTCAAAGCCCTTGGTGACATTGGTTGGTATGGTTCAGCCTACCTCTTGCCGACATGTTCCTTTCAACTCGTATTTGGCAAGTTCTATACATTTTTCCCAATCAAATGGGTGTTCCTTCTTGCTGTGGGACTTTTCGAAATCGGGTCAGCTGTGTGTGGTGCAGCGCCTACTTCGCAGTCGTTGATCGTTGGTCGAGCCATTGCTGGTTTGGGTTCAGCTGGCATATTTTCCGGCGCGTTCGTCATCATTTCTCTCACCGTCCCTCTTCATAAGCGTCCAATTTGTAAGTCATATTCCAAATCCCTTCCTTCCTTTTCAACAACATCCTTTTCATTCTCCCAGTAATGTATTGTGTTCCTTTACTGACACTCCAGTAGACAACGGCCTCATGGGATCGATGTATGGGATTGCTTCTGTTGCAGGTCCTCTTCTGGGGGGTGTATTTACAGACCATGTGTCGTGGAGATGGTGTTTTTATATCAATCTACCACTAGGAGCTCTTGTTATAGCTTCAATTGCCTTACTACTAGAGGCACCACAGTCGAATTCCGGTCGTCCATCCACTTTGAAGGGCAAGATGAACCAACTCGATATCCCTGGGATGATTATATTTATATCCGCCGTCGTCTGTCTCCTGTTAGCTCTCCAGTGGGGTGGAACACAGTATTCGTGGGCGAATGCACGCATAATTGCTCTATTCGTCATTTCTGGCGTCCTTACATCCATCTTTGTAGGGATACAAATTTGGAAAGGAGATTATGCCACAGTCCCACCTCGACTTATCCGCCAACGTTCAGTCGCGTTCGCTGCCGCCTATTCTTTCCTTCTCGGAGGATCCTTTTTCATAATCGTCTATTATATTCCGATTTGGTTCCAAGCCATTAAGGAAGTCTCTGCTACAAAGTCAGGTATTATGGCAATCCCATTGGTGCTATCCCTCGTGGTGTTCTCCTTTCTCTCCGGTGGCGCCACCACCGCTTTCGGTTACTATGTGCCGTTTATGTACTTCGGGCCAATTCTTTCTGCCATCGGCGCTGGACTATTGACTACATTTACCACATCCACCGGCCATCCCCAATGGATTGGCTACCAAGTCATTTATGGTGTGGGAATTGGAGCCGGTATGCAGATGCCCATGATTGCGTCCCAGACAGTCCTTAATGTGGATGACATCCCAGTGGGTACTTCCGTTATCATTTTTGCCCAGACTTTGGGAGGTGCATTGTTTGTATCGGTCGCACAAAATGTCTTCGGGAACTCTCTCGTGAAAGGTGTTCTGCAAGGATCGCCAGGTCTCGATCCCGGTTACGTGATGCAAGCGGGGGCCACCGACCTGGGGTGGATAATCCCTTCCCAGCATCTCCTGGCTGTCCAAAAAGCATATAATCATGCGTTGGCACAAACGTTCTATGTCTCTGTCGCTTTGAGCGCGCTCTCCATTGTTGGAGCGGCCGGAATGGAATGGAGGAGCGTTAAAGGGAAAAAGGAGGTGGCTCCGCCATGAACGTCATGCACGAGGAATCAACCAGTGTCGACTATATTAACCTCTCCAAAATGGTACACGGTCTACCTAGCGATTTATACATCGCTCGATTCGAACATAGGTTTTCATCTGTGATGAGGAGATGGACGGAACGGGCAATGCAGGAAGTCAAAAACTGAGCGTTATTGTCGGAGATAAGGAATTTGGATAACCCCTAAATAGAAGGATAATTATACCTTTCATCAAAACGGCTATTTTTGATACGAAAAGTTTGTTATGACACTGTTACTGGCCTCCCAACAATACCTCAATGTACCAGATCATTACGGTGTTTTGCTAGAGCCCTCAGCCGTAGAACAGGGCCGATTCCTCAGTGACCTAAATGCTCAAATAGTTGCCAGTTTTGCCTTCTCACTCCTGCGCCATCTTTTTTTTTAAGTTATATGCTGGTCAGAAAAGGTGAGAGAATTCGACTGTAGAAGCTTCTTAGGTAGAAATAGGGTAGACGGATACTCTTGGCAAGTTTCGTCGGAGCTATCGGCATCCGCGGAGACGAGATACATTTTCTCCGATCCCCTTCTGACAGAGAAGAGACATCCCCTATTCTGATGTAACTCACCCTCACCTCTTTGATTTCGCAAATTTGGCGATTTTCAGTCATAAAACACTAAAACTGAAGATGGAAGCCGAGAATCCCGCAAGTGCACAAGCTGCCATTGTCGCTCGATGGGCGGTAAAGTGGACCCTCTGCGTATACACAATTAATGGATAAAGCTAACTAGGAGCAGTGTGATCAATGCCATGTTAGAAAGGTAATATGATCTCAAATGGAAGGGGTTTCTTTCGTTGCCGCCATCCTCCTCCCGTAATATACTACAGTCTGATCCCATCTCATAGGTTCGCTGTGACAAGCTCTCTCCATGCTCGAACTGTCGCACATCAAGCATCCCCTGCCATTTCTCGCGTGTGAGGAGAAAGCGCAACGAACCCCGTCGACGCGCCTTAATCTCCGACGAATAGTATGGACCAATCATTTTCCGACTGGAGACTCGAATGAATGCCCTGTATACGATGTCATCTGACTTTCTACAGCGAGAAAAAGATCGATCTGCTCCAGGAGCGTCTTGGGGAAATAGAACATGTTCTCCACGGTCTCCGATCCAGTTCAAATCCGCCATCGCAATTACGTCAAACAACCTCCGTTTCAGAGCCGGAAACACCGTTCGCTACTAGGTATACCCACATTTCTCCACTCAATTCACGTGATGCAGATCCCTTGTTTGAAGGCGACTCGTCCATAACTGCACAGTCGGCCTCTGCGGCCGAGTTTGTGGATACGGCTCTTTCTACAAACCCAATACAGGCCCTCGGCCCAGAATTCAAGACAGCCCTCAAAACGCTCAAGGCAATCTGTAACATCCATGACAACCGATCAGTCTCACGAGATGTTCAATTCCCAAATCGACAACCTATGCCAGAGGCTGGCCTAAAGGGTCTACGACTACCCCCACTAGAGGTCGTGTTATCGGTTCTGCGCAGGATAAAAGGTGAGCTGCAGAAATCGTGCTCCTCTCATTTTCAAGCTAATGTCTGTAAAGTGAGAGCTCCATCATGTTTTTGGAGTGCTACTCCTCATGTATCTGTCGATTATTTCACCGATCTGTGCCGTGAAGTCTATTTCTGCACTGAAGACTACTCGAATGCAACTTTTATCCTTGTGAACGGAAAGCTTTACCATATTTTCCTTGAATACTCGTGTACGGTCGAGACTTTTCCTGACAAAGACGACTATAAGGAGTATTCTGAAATCTGCCGTAATAATTTGGAGACTGCCCTATCCAACCTCCCTTTGCTGATGCCCACAAAGAAAGAATCTATTGAGGCACTTATATTAGGAGTAACCGTGTCCCGTCCCCGTCTTTCTCTCGTTTCTCTACTAACATCTGGTTCAGGCTGTTCATGCTATTGAGGTATCGAAACCATCATTAGCCTGGACACTCACGTCAACAGCGGCACGGTTATGTCAATCTACAGGCTATCATCGTTCATCAACTATGCGATACGACAGTCCTGATTCGCGAGAAAGCAAGCTGCACCTTTTCTGGTCAATCTATATCCTCGATAAAGCCTTGTCTTTACGCCTTGGCCGGACATCAGCAATGCCCGACCACGACATATCCTTGCCTCATAAACCAAGTACAGGTCACGTTCCTGATCCATGGATAAGCATCTTCTTGAGGTGGATTGATGTTGCAAAGATCCAAGGCGAGGTTTATGATCGCCTCTTCAGCCCTGCTGCCCTATCTGAACCCGCGAGGGAACGAGCATCACATGCTGGTCGGCTGGCATCTAAAATGCAGCAGATTATCGCTGAATCATCCAAGGCATGCTTCCTCGTAAACACTGCGGTACTAACGTGTTAACTGAGGATCTAGACCGGGTTCGAATTTGATGAAAAGTCACCTTTCCTTTACATCATTCGGAAGTCTGATGAAGTCAATAACCTCGCTATCTTGACCCTAATATACCGAGCAACGCCTACTTCGGAAACTTGGCCCTTCGCATTTGTCGCGGAGTGCGTGGATTCTGCTCGAGCGGCTATGGACTCACATCATGAGTGCATGGCCCGATTGAAGCTAGTCAGCGACACACTTAAGTGTTCCTATGCTCATTGGTATTATTATTTCGCACGTGAATGGTAGTCTTATGCTTACATGTTTTGCAGGACAGTTCTTCAGACCCCATTTGTCCCTTTTATCGTCATATTTTGCCACGTCATTGACGCGTCCGACTTTGGCGATCTTCGGAGGTTAGAGGATTTCGTCCGGTCAATAGAATGCCTGTGTCCTTTGTCCCAGGCTGTTGCCAAACTGCACTATCTGTGCCAGACTCTTGTACTTCTCGCCCAGCTATATATCAAAGCAAAGGTGCAGGGCCAAGAAGACCAAACACTCCCCTTCGCCGGCCAGGAAGTTGGCAGATATCTGGCTTCCATTGGATTAGCACCACACTCACCCTACAAGGACTGCAATTCGCAACAGCAAATGGTAGATGCAGAAACGTCAACGATGGGACTTCCACGGGAAGGCTCCGACTACGATGACTCCGGAGCAATGTCTGAGAGAATGCAATTGGATACATGGTTCTCTGGAAATCTCTCCCTGATGGCGTTACTGGAGGACGATTTAGTGCAGCTTGATCCTGAGATACGGACATCATGGTAAGAGTAAGTCACCCATCCTCGATATCATACCGCCCGCGGCGAAGCTGCATTGGTCCCAACGTCGATCGCTTAGGAGTAGGCATTAAGGATAAGTACTAAGGTGATAGATAGTATTTCTCCTGGAAACAGACCCAGAACAGCTTGGATTTTTGGTTATTCATGCTTTAAGCCAAAGCACGTTGGGAACACAAGGGGTAAAAATGATGACATACACTGGGGCTTGAATGTGGTCTAGTCCTCAATTCATGTAGAATACATGCCAATCAAATATATGCATTAAGTCCATCTCTTCAGAGTAGACATTTTATCATTGGCTTCCTCCTAGCTCAAGTGCGACCGACATTCGCTCGATCGCGTTGTTCCAACACGTCACTGTCGAAGCCAGTTTGCTGAAGTGTCGAACACAAAAGAGAGGCGGGAAAAGTCACCCAAAACACGAAAAGCAAACCAATAAAACCTTAGGTGATGATGATTCCTTGGATTAATTCTCCTATATTCCAGCTGTTTTCATGAGTCAAGTAATGATATAAACGGCCTGCTATAATACATCCTCAGATGGTATCCTTGGTCTACCAAATATCGTAATACTCGTTACACACTCAATGCGACCAGAGAATCTCTGATTCTGCATTCTCCTGTCGCTCGAAAGTAGGTAGTTCACCCCGAAAGTACGCCGTTGTCTCGGCCTTCAGCTGACTCTCTTTGCTCCAAGGATACAGTCCTCCTTGACGATTCTGTTATCGTCAATGCCACCAGCCTGTCTGATGGCTGCTCCGCCAGCATGTCGTTACTGAGGCCTCTCAGGATTTGGCTCAGTTCAGTCTTATCGGGGGATAATGGTACACCCCAGCGTTTGAACAGAGTGCCGTTCGCTAGCTTTAAAATAATAAGCAATATAAACAAGACAACATGCTAAGCAATACCGAGTCAGTGATAATGCTGGATATTTTCCAGAGGAGGAGCTTACTGCTGCATACGCCGTAGCCACCTTGTCAAATGTGACTTTGCTAACCCACCAGGTGGCACTTGAGAAGCCGAATATAAGGATACATCCGATCAGACCCAGCCAGGCGGGAAAAGGCTGTATGGATTCAAAATTCATCCGAGAGCGAGTCCCTCGTACAAATCCTGGTTCATGTTGACTCAGGCCTGAGCCGCATTTTTCTACCCTGTGGTTGTTAGTAGAGGGCCCATTTGCGGAAGTTGAAAAGTCACTTGCCAATAGTAATAGCGCAAATAAGATAGACAAAGTGCTGCCCAGACAATCAAGCAGGATGTGCTCGTAGAGATAGACATGATTTGAATGACCTGGAGATGTGTCAGATATCCGCAGCTAGACGGGAAGATGAAGTGCAGCACACCTCAATTTGGGAATGGTGTAGGAATGGAACCCAATAAAAAGCCACCCATGAGAAGAGCAACGCAGCAGCAGGGACATGCGTTGTCTTGGTGAGACCACCTAGACATTCGATCCTTTCCTTTAACCACCATTTACCTGGCAGAGAGCTCACGATGCCGTACAGTGTGCGCGAGCTAGCGTAGAGCGATGTGTTCGCAGCGGAAAGCCCGCTCAGTATCAAACAACCGTTTATGAAGCCGGCTAGCTTTTTATGTCCTGCGTTCCAAGCCGCGATGACAGGTACGCTGTTCGAAGCTGGGGGTCGCTCGTCGATTGTGCGGGGATTGACCTGCGGTGCGCCAGGGATCGGCGATAGATGATCGTTCGTCCAATTCACCGTTAGGACTTCCCCAACTGTGCACATGATATAAACGAGGACGACGACATAGACTGTCCAGCGGGCTGGCCACCGCAGGGCACGATCATCTCGAGCCTCGAAGGCGGTCATGGAGACCAGCTCGATGCCTTGGAAACTGTATGCGACGAGTGGGATTGCGTAACTGAATTCGTCTCAGCTATATGGTAACCGGAGCTCGTTAATGACTTTTCTCTTACCAGACGGCCTGTGCATGGGTTAGAAACATAGGTGATTTGTTCTGGAATCCATCGGATATTGCTAGATGACGGTTACGATGATGAACAGAAGAGGGGAAATAGTACTCACATCCATCGCTGCCTCCGAGGTGCTCTGATTCCTAGTTAGTCAACCGATCTCCGATCCAGTGATACCTTCTACAATCCATCGAAGAATGACTCACCTTGGCCGGACAAGGCATAAAAGTAGATTGATACACCAAGGATAAAGCACAGCTTCAATACCCCACCTACCGTCTCAACGATGCCATAATACTGGAGAGTTCGTATCAGCCTATGCTGAGACTTCAAGCGGACAACTTACAAAAACTCCCGTCATATTCAGCCAAAAGAACAGCACAGGAGCGAGAAAATAAAATGCCAGTATCTGCCAAGTCAGACTTAACTCCCAGTATGTCGCCAGTTCGGCTACAGCGGCATTCTGCACCGCGAAGGCAGCCGCATACGCATACCAGTAGGCGAGGCCTATTACCCAGCCGAAATCAGGGTCCACAAACGTCCCTACATATGTGACGATAGCATTGGAGACGGGGAATTCTTGGGTTAGTTCGCCGATAGATTCGCTTACGGCAATAGAGATCAGACTCATGATCAGGATGGACAGGAGGAGACCCCAGGGACCCGCAATCGCCATAGCGGCGCCATTATTGCTGAAGACACCGGTTCCAATAACGGCGCTGAGAACGATGAACTGTTGATGGTCACAAAGTGATGCGCGGCGGTTAGCGGATTGACCACGTCAGCGTTGGGCGAGGATCTTCCTTACGAAGATTTGATAGCCGTGCAGGGTTTGTCTAAGAGGTCAGATTGGATGATTTGTCATTTGGCAGGCAGGAGAGGAAAACGCCTACTTGAGCTTTATTTGTTGATTGTGACCACTCATTGTGAGATCAAAGGTGCGTTTTGTCAACGTATGCAAGTAGATATGAAGGTGTCGAGCTCGTGAGACTGAAAATTGTAGTTATGATCGTTGACTGATGATGACAGGGCGAATCAGGTAAAAAGTCCTCCCGATTAAGTAGTCTCCTTTTTATTAGTATTATCTATGGTGGATTAGGAAGGGCCAATATGGCCCAACAATCCCATCGACCAGGGTTGTTGCGGCGCAGCCTTGCTACTGAGAGTCCCCATCCTAATGGGCCCGAAAATTAGAAAATGACATTCGACTGGTGTATTTCGGTGTGCGAACTGCATGATGCATCACTTCGGGAAGTCAAGCAATTATGCAGTGGTTGTTGTTTGCTATCAACATGTGCTGGATTCAGTCCAGGCTGCGATACTCCCTGCGATACTCCATATAAGTGGGGACTCTGAGCCTCGGCGTCTCGCACTCCTCACAATTGAGCTGATCAAGTCTACTCTTCTTGCTTTGATAATTTACAGAATTCTTTATAAGATGTCGGTTATTGAGAAGACGTATACTCTGCCACCAGCACCAACTGGTTACGTGGAGCGCAGCACCGACATTGAAGACTACATCAGGGAGCACTATGGGCCAGCCTTTCGCGTCAGTATTACAGTGAGTTATCTGAGCATGGTTTTGGTTTCTCCCGCTTCACTATAATGATGAGAATTGATCCAGCTGAGCCAAGATCGTTGGAAAATCACTACAGACATCGACCTGGACCAGGTAAGTAATGTCCTTACTATGATCTGTAGATATACAAAGAACAAGCTGAGTGGGAAGTGCAAACAGGTAGACTTGCGGTAGGCATCTTATTCAACCCTTTCAAGCATTTCACAAGGCAATTAAGATCAAGGAGTGACACATGGACAGGGACTTGACGAGAAAAATCATAGCACATGCCAAAGCGAGAAGAGCGACAGCTGGACGCCCTAAGGATGCTTGATTTGAGTTTGACGGGGCTGACACGATGACTGGTTGCCTCGCTTGGACTGTTGCCCTGTTGCCCTGTTGCCCTGTTGCCTGCCAACAAAGCAGTGCCGCCGCCAGTTGTCGTAGGACGAAACAGTCCTCGTATTTAAGCTTTCACGAGTCACATGTAAGAGGAAGGCGAAATAACGAAATCCTATCATTTTCCCCTTCTTGCTGGAAACCCAGATTCTCTAGCTCAGCTAAGACTGAAAGCGATCTTAGATCTCACAACTTGTCAGGGCCACCCGGATTATCTGAGAATCAAGTCAGGAGCGGCCACTTACCCGAAATAGGATGGCTCTCGGTATAATTGGCTTGTAATACCCATTTCCCTCATCCCAAGATTGGCACAGGCTGAGACAAAACATGTGTATATCAAGCAAAATACATGTCTTCTAGTCCATCGACGCCGTCGAGCTATTTACACAACAATGGCTACAGGTCCATGGGCTGAGTACTTTGCGTCTTTGACCCAAAATCAAAGGAAGAATGAAAATGTGCGAGACATGATGAAGCGGTTACGAGACCGGTCGAAAAGCGTCTTTGTCAGTAATGATGCTATCTCTGTTCGAATAACAGATGTCTATCAGGATGGTGAGCCGGTCGCAGACTTTATGACATGTGAGCGAGTAGTAAATCCAAGTCGCCAGGAGAGTGGGCACAAACCACATTGTACAAGAAGTCTGAAGAGATCACTCTTGTTCTACAGAATGATATCCCGGTCAAGTCGGATACCAGGATAATGTGAGTAATTTCTGCGTTTAGTGCGATTGGGGAACTGTCTAATTCCGATGGATGCACCAGATCAATATACTCAGAGAACTCGATCATGCCTTTGATGATCAGCGAGGATCTAATGGGAATCGTGATGTTGAAACACCATGTCCATCCCAGTTTTCTATCTGTTCTTCTCTCATTCGGGGAAGACATCCATATCTCAGAGGCTGCAAGCACCCATGCAATGGTTTCGCACATGGATACAGATGCATCCTTTTGTCAGTCGCCCTCATACGCGATCTCGGTGTCATAGCTTGAAGATCTACTGACAGAGGGCAGATGTCTCCTACCAACTGCACTATGTCGAGGAAAACCACCGGGAGGGACCTAATCCCTGGTCGTTTCGGCGCACTGGAATCTACCATCATCACATGCCTAAAAGGGACGTAATTATCTTGCTCCACCCTAACGAAACTAGCGTGCTTGATGTTCGATTGTTAGAGCTCCTTGGTCTCAAATCATCAATCAACTCGCGATCATCAGATCAAAGTAACCATTCTGTCAATTCCCTCTTGCGAAACCCAGCATCTCTCCACTCGTTGGTTATGTCCACGTTCTCTGGGAATTGGCGATGGTTTCTCCGCCACCTTGGTTATAGATTCGAACCTTATGTATGTAATTCAGCCAAAGGATCCCATACTGGTTATCCATCGGAAGACTACTTATTGAAACCAGTATAGAACGATCGGGCGTTCGGGATGACACCGGAGAAATTGACCCCTCAAGAGAGCTTCAATCATCTCGTCACCCTCCACAACCTGAATGACTGGGTCAACAAGGCACGGGCATCCTGCGAAGGTACTCTTGATCTCGTTTTGCGATTGAAGGATAGTTTCCACGAATGCAATGAGCACGAACCCAAAATAAGGTCATATATTCAAAGCTGCGATGGATTGACCCCCAGGATCAGGAACACTACCGATCTGGTAAATTCACCCCGGAAGCGTCGCACAGCTACAAATACTAACTGCCCAGCTTGGATTTACCCTCAACCTGCACAACCAACTGGAAACAGCGAAGATTGATCGGGAATTACGCGATATAACCGAGCAACTCCAGCTCGTTACGAGCGAGCTGAAAGACCTCCAGCGAGATAACATTGACGATAGTGCAGCAGTCAAGATAATAACGTTTATTTCGGCTGTTTATCTGCCCGGCTCGTTTATAGTCGTGCGTCTCCCATTGTCCTTGAACGCGCTGAACGTTGGGACTGACAGCGGGGGTAGGGCCTTTATGGCATGAACTTCTTCGTCTTTGATTCGGGAAAACAACAAATTGTAGTTGCTAAGGACTTTTGGGTCTTCGTAGCCACATGGCTACCCTTGACAGTCATCACGTGGCTCATGTATATTTTAATCATGTATCTTGATGCTTGGTGGAAACGGAGGCCGTTTTACCTGCTGAGGAGACCGCCAGGTCCTCCGGGGACCAGGAATTGACCCAGACGGTGGATGCGAAAAGGTACTGATAGAAAGAACAGATTACATGCTTCAAATGCAGTGTTTCAAGGTTGGGTGTAGAGTGAGGGTCATTTAGACTCCATGCTTTCAGGGCGCAGTAAAGGTAGGGATGTGGAAATTATTATTATTATTGTTATTTTTATTAAATATGGATGATTCTCATGACATAAAAATGACTCATACAAATTATAGTATCTACCTACACGCTGTTTGGTTACTCTTGATGTATGTGTGTAAGATGGTACAGAGCACCGCATAGCATCATGCATCGCATGACTTCGCCTCTGAAAGTGATGATTATGAGCGTGGCTGCACAGTTGTCAATAATATAATTATTATTTATGATTAATGTAGCTGTTCATCACGTGTACTACGGAGACATGGGCGCGCATGGAAATTTCAGCCTTACTGCCTAGATATGATGGAAGCTGGATGCCTTGTCTCTATTTTGCCCATTTGGGATCCCAGAAGCAATCCTGAATGTACTGGTCTTATACGACTCTTCCTATCACCAGCAAGTCGAGATATTTTTGGAGGCTCCTTGTCTAGAATCCTCCATGCGCCGCGTTCCTTTTTGTCCTTACCTGTCACGCGGGGTAACCATGAAGTACCTAGCTTACTGCCTGTGTAGGTCCCTTTAAACATGTTCTACCTTCTACAACTCTCCCAGAGTCAAGCCTTGTCGCGTCCTGCGCAGTCCTTGAAAACGGATTAAGCAAATTCTTTCCCTTCCCATTACTCACCGTCCCATATGCGATGCCCGATGAACGTTGCGACTTTATTTCGCCAACTACCACACATTCTGAATTATCAGAGTTGATAACACTATAGACAATGTTGATCAACAATGCCCAAGCAGGAATCCAAGAGGACCTCTATTTTTCAGCGTACGGCAGCAGAAATAATCCACGATCTCAACTCTATCACCAAGCGTCCCGATGACTTAAATCGTTGTTTCATCTGCAAACATGATCTCGAGAAGCTGTGGCAGGACAAGGAACGTATTCGAAGGCTCTTACCAGATTCGACAAAATCCGCTGTCATAGCTCTAGTGCAGAGGGAGCTGTTCGTGATTCTGTCCATACTTGTCCTGATTGGAGCAATATCGCAGGATTCCGATATCATGAAGAAATTGCTCAAGGACGGCAACACACTGCGCTACAAAGATGATGACATTCCCTTGTCGCTAGACCAAATCGCCGAGTTCCTCGACCCCCCACACGAAAGCCTGTTCCACGAGAAGCAATTCCGTTTCTGTCCATTTATCATCGACTGCCACCAGACTCAACAAGTGCATGATGTGCCCCAAAACTGGCGTCTGCCTTTTGATAAGGAAGAGGAGCTTGGATTAGGTTCGTTTGGTCAAGTCGACCTTATAAAAATAGCGCCGCGATGCTTCAAGGAAGTTGGGGGAGCTGAGTATCCCGAGGTAAGAACTATTTTCAATCTGAGTCAAAAGGTTGGTTGATACATGAGGTCTAAAGCACTGCAGTACCATCTTGTAGCTTGCAAGAAGTTTCACGTGCCACGAAAATCCCGCTCCGAATTGAAGAATCTGCAGATTCTTAAGGAGAGCTTGACAAAGCAGGACCGTATTATGCAACATCTTGCGACATTGCGCCACGGCGACGATTTCTACATCCTTTTCCCGTACGCTGAGCACCGTGACCTCTCTCTGTTTCTCCATGCCGGATTCTCCGCCAACAATGAGAAGATATACGATTTTAAGGAAGAATTCCCAGGTCTCGATCTCGTGAGCGCCGATCCTGCCGAGGTTTCCAAGCTGCTCCTTCGGCAATGCTGGGCTCTGTCGAACGCGATCAAATGGCTTCACAGCGGCATTGCCATCGAATCCACTACCAATGAGGTGTACTGTGCACACATGGACCTCAAACCCGAGAACATCTTAATTAGGCACGACAGAAACTCCAAAGTCGGCAAATGGATGATCTCTGATTTCGGGATCTCGATGACCCCAGAACAAGAACAGAAAAATACTAACTTTCTCACAGTCGGTGACTGGTATGATCATTTAACAGATCGTTCACGTCTACCAGGTAGTTCCCGCCCGGGGCGGGCGGAAGGGTCATACCAAGCGCCTGAAGCCACATCCAAAAGACGAGACGAAGTTGGACGCCAGGGCGACATCTGGTCTTTCGGCTGCATCTTCACTGAGGTCCTGGCCTGGGCCATTGGTAGGGACGCTGCTGTTGATGACTTAGCCAGTCTTCGCTCTCAGACGGGAGGCAATGATTGTTTCTTTCACGACGAGCATAGGGGCTTGGGGCGCAATCCAGCAACCTTTTGCGTGAAAAGTTCAGTGAACCGGTGGCTAGACGAGAAAATAAAGACTGGAGCCCAGCAAAACATTGTTGCGCCCTGCTGGGCAAGGGCCATCAGAATGATCATGATTGTGGACCCGAATCAAAGACCAGGCGCGTCAAAACTAGAAGCTATCATCAAACATGTGAAGGATCATAGTGAGAACCCCCAAAATCATATTGACAATGATTGCCCCCAGCCTCGCAATCCAAATTCCCTAATATTCTCATCATCACCATCTTTGCAAGCACTAACTCCTCCAACACCATTGCTCCTGACTCCTCCGTCATCCCCACCATCTCCATCTCCCACAAAATCAACCCTAGATCCTATCTCAGCTTCAGTGGAACATTCAAAGCTTCACAAGCTTAACGAATTGAAAGGGATTTCTGTTGCGGTGTCACAAGCTGAGACAAATGGTAAAACACTTGCAGCATACCTGAGTGAGAAGGATCTGCGCATATTTGAACTGGATGTCAGGACTTTTGACTGCAAACTCAAGCATGGTCCAATCTCTCTCAGATCAAGGAAATGGAAATTGGAGAATACAGGGGTGGCAATTAATGGATCCCACATTGCTTTCTGGGGATACTCTCCGCCCCAAGGCAGGAAACTGGTATGAGTCGAGCCCATCGCCCATTCGAGTGAAGCACTGACAATCTAGATGTTTCTTCGAACGTTGACCGATGCGCAACTGCATCTTTCAGACCCTGAGTATGATGATTTTCTCCTCAGCATTGCAGTCTCAACGGACGGCGTCTTCGCACTTGTTCACGTAAAAGACATTATCCTGCGACAAAGGGGGTAGGTGAATTTCATGGTTTTACGATTAGGCGTGACAAGAAGTAACAGTCATAATACTTCCAGTGCGAATCCCATCAAGCTCACCTTGCCGCAAGGAATTGACCAAACATTTACACACGCCACCTTCAACGACAACGGCAAGCTTTTATTTGCTTGGGCTTGTGGGAGAAAGGGCGAGTCGGTCTACGCATGGCGGTCAAACCCGGGGGAACCCTCAGGCGAGCCTCATTTTGCCAATCATTACCTGGTAGGTGGAGTGGCCATCAATTGCCCAAGAGAGCTCGGGCTGATTGAGTGAAGAAGCAGAGAAGCGGGGGTAGACCGCCCCATATTAGCATCATCCCGTATAACAGCGAGAATAAGTGTATCATCGCCAACCTTGACGACCGAGAATGGACTGCAACTGCAGTTTCTGCGAGCGACAATCCCTCAGTGGCCCCTGCTCACCTCCTTCGCAGTCAACAATTTAGGCTTCTTGTCACCGGTTGCGTCTCCCAAGACCGGTACTTTGTCGGTGTTTGGACCAGCAGGTTCCCGTTCCAAAATGACGCGATAGTCAGGTATCAGATCGTCGGTGATAGTACATCCGGTCTTCAGCTGAGCAATCGAGAATTCCTATCTCATGTCAGCATGTCCTGTACGTCATCTTCCCGGATCCGCATCTTCAGACCTGATCATAATGATGGCGCCACTGTGGTTATCTGCCATGAGAGTGGCAAAATAGAATTTGTCAAGTTCTCAGTGCCTCTGTGATTATAAATGAAGGGGCTGGAGCACCCAAAGATCGCCATGGAAAGTTTCTACCCCACTGAGCCTCACGTGTACATCATCTTCTGTTTACCCTTTTGTTCTCTTGCGTACATTTTGACTGCCATGGTACACTCATCATAATGCATTCATTTGTTGCTGCAGGAGTAGCCATCTATGTGATATGATCAGAATGAATTGCTCATCCTGTTTTATTCTTATTGTCGTAGAGGGTATCTAGTTGTCCCTGGGAGCTCCTAGGAGCGCTGAGGAAAAGGACACCCCCCAACCATGCATATCAGGCTTCACCTATAATGAGGCCACTCATCGCTATGGAAATGAGACGTTTTGCCCATTTGATCAGTACTGGGACGGTACTCAATGCGTCATATCTCAGAAGTGCAGTCCATGCGCGAACGGCTTCACTTACAATGAAGTCTCAAAACGGTGTGACAAAGCTACGAGCTGCCAGCCTGACCACTAGTGGGACGGTGTCCAGTGTGCCGAATACAAGACTTGCAGGCCATATGCACCTGGTCTCGTCTACAATGACGCCGCAGGACGCTGTGAGAAGCTCCATGCCGCTTGTCCCACCTGGCCAATACTGGGATGGTGCGGAATGTATTGTCGACGTGGCAAGACAGCGATGTGCCCCTGGATTTACCTACGATGAGGGTACTGGAGCCTGCGAGTAGCCTCCTACTCCTTGCCAGCAAGCTCGGACGGCTCCGCAGCAACTGGCATTGGAATCTGCTCTGAATTCAAAATCGGAAGGGGCGTTTTCCGTGCCAGAGGGTTACAGGGGTTGTGATATGAAGTAGGCTGACGGTCGAGCGTGGACGGAAGAAGATTAGAAATCTCGTTCAAGGAAAATAAGGGTCGTTTAGTCCAACTAAACGCGGTTTCTCCTGCACATCTACTATCAAAAGCCAAGTAGTCGACCAGAAATTATCAAACTTTCCCTAAGATGATCACTCGGAGCTCTGATAGAGGCTGATAATCCTGCAAACCCGTTCTTAGTACCTAACCACCCGCGTTATGGATGTGCAATGAAAATGCAACCTACCTTGACAAGCCCTCCTTCAGGCTCTCCTCATCCAGCGAGAAGATGACTCGGAACCAGCCTGGGACCTCATTTTGATAGGCATACCCCGTCGACATCTCCACTCCAATCTCTTTTAGCCGACGGGACAGATCCAACTCGGCAGCCCACCCGCCTTGACTAGCGACAATCGCCTTATCCAAGCACTTGGACAAGTCAATCCAGAGGAAAAAGCCCGCGATACTTCAGACATTAGCTTCATGCAATTTCCGTCTTGTGAGCCTGTAACAGGGGCGCTGCAGAATACCTACCCGCCTTGCGCATAAGGAATCCCTACCTCCTCCAATGCTCGTGCCGCCAAATCCCGCTGTGAACGAAGCAATCGGCGGCTTTTCTGAAGAAAACTCTCCACAAAGTCTCGATCCTCGAGAACGGCAGTGGCAATACTGCAGGATATATTCGAAGGCCAATAGAATCGACTAGAACGCAGAGTAAGACGGTCTCCATATAACGAGAATGAATAAATAGCCAGTCCAAGTGTGTCCACTTACCTCATCGATAAAACCGCCTGCAAGAACCTCTCATTCCGGCTGATTAAACATCCCAGCCGCAAACCCGCCGCCGCGAAATCCTTCGACATCCCGTACAGCACATGGATCAAGGACGGATCCACCCCGAGCGGGGCGGGGTCAATCGACAGAATGGAAACAAAGCCATCTGTGGAACCATCATCCCCGTACACCGACAGCGCGTACACCTCGTCGCTGATGAGATGGATCCGGTACTTCTGGCAGAACCGCAGTAGCGCCTCCAGCGTCTCGCGCGGGTAGCATCTGCCGAGCGGATTGTGCGGGTTGCAGATCAGGAGGGCCCGGATTGCCACTCCAGTTTTATCTCGCGCTTGCAGAAAGGTTTCCTCGTAGCGAGCTACGGCATCGGGGCTGAACTGGTCGACCCCGTGGAAGGGTGTGTAGATCAGTTGGCAGCTGGAGGGCACGCGGAGATCTCCGTTGAAGGAGCCGTAGATGGGTTGACCCAGGAGAATGCCGTCGCCGGGGTCGGTTAGACTGAGAGCACACAGCGCGTTTAGGCCCGTCACTCCATTTGTGAAAACGAGATGATCAGGTGAGATCGGCGAGGCGGGGCGGAAGTACGTAGTAATGTGATTCGCCATAGCTGCTCGGAGACGTCTTGGGCCAAAGGGGCCTTCATGGTAGGTGAGACATGTGTGGTCGAGGTCTGATGCTACCTGTTTACACTTGCTTAGCCATAACTCTGTTCTCTACACGGTGTAGTTCAGTGCTCACCTGCGTGCGGATGTATTCAAGCATTACGTCGCGCATCAGGAACTACCATCTCATCAGTTAATATATATATGTCCATGTTTAGACCTAGGAGTAGGGATTCAGTGACTGGATACATTCTCTGCATTGCCGAAAGACACAACACCCTGCTTGTTATCTCTATCGAAGGCAGTCTTGGGAGGGCCGAGATAGCTATTAGCCAAGCCGGCCTTGGCATATGTTTCTCCGCGGGTAGAAAGCATGTTGCAATGATCGATGAGATGAGTTCTAGATTAGTTACGGAATTGCAATCCCAGTCATGACGGGTCAGGAGTGGAAGATGCAAGCAATGGGGTAAATTTGTCAGCAGAGTGGATTTGCGTCGTTCGACACAGCCACAAGGTCCCCGCATCAAGCTGGCGCCGATGATGCGGGGTAATATTAGGGCTATATTCTTGAACTCGGGATCTACTCCGTAGCCAAGTCCGCGTGGATCTGCAATTACAAGATCCATGATGGACTTCAGCCCGCTCCAACCCCCTGGTTGGTGTTGCTCCAGTCCTCATGCCGCATTTTGATTTAGTCTGCAGTATACCGGGTGAAGTGCGTCCATCTTATTAGCGAAAAGGGCCAAAAGATGGATTTGAGACCTGGGAGAGAATCTTGCGTTGCCTTTTATTGGCCTTGCCATGTTATATAGCTCGAAACACACACTTAATAGCTTTTCACGGTACGCGACCGTATAAGACTTGATCAAGCACCCGAAGAAGGCCTACTATATCCCTATTCCTTGACCACGGATCTCAAATTGGACATAATGTACTTCCCGATGCCATCTGAGTAGCCAGTTCAAGATCGGCCGAAACAAGAACATCATCGTTACATTGCGAAAAGACCCCCGAAGTCTCCACCGTGGTTTGCAGCACACGACAGATCTCTCTATGTCTCTCCTTCGCAGCATAGTACAAAGGCGTGAGAAACCCATTACATTGCGTATTGACATCCTCCTGTGCACCCCCTTACCGCAGTAGCCATTCACAAATCTCGACATGGCCTCGCTGCGCTGCCCAATGGAGAGGAGTGTGTTCCCGATTATCCTTCACCCTCACAGTTGCCCGCAGCTCCGCCAGCAACTGCGCATTAGTCAGATTGCCATCCTCTAACTAGTACCCAATGCACGATGCTAGCACCGGTGTCATTGACAGCATGTATATCAGCCCCGTACACAGCCAATAACTTGATGAGCTCGGTAATGTTGGACCGCACAGCCATGCGTAGTGGTGTCCCTCCACCTTTTGTGACTGCTCCCAGATCCCCGCCATGGTTGAGGAGTAGCTCGACTATTTCCCACTTGCCTTCTCTCGCCGCTAATGCAAACAGGCCCAGCCATGACTAGGACCAGCGACATTGACATCGGCCCCACACCCAAATAGCACAAGGCAGAGATCCCTTTCGCGCGCCTTTGCGGCCATAAGAAGCGGGGTTGCTCCCTGCCCGTTGAGCTGTTCAAAAGTCGCTGGGTCGGCGGCTGCTATCCAACGACAGATGTCCCTATGTTTTCAGACAACAGCGTAGTGGAGCGGACTTCGGCCGATGTCGTCGAGTGTCTGGAGGTTACCCTCTCGCTCAACGAGGCGCTGTAGGAGGGACATGTGGTCCTCATGCGCTGCAAATGCAGACAGGTGCCATTGTGACAGCTGGAACCGGGCTGGAGGAGTCGCTTGTACAGGGGGTCTTGTAATATGTTGCACAGCGCTTTGTTGACGAGGCTGAGTCGGTAGATGTCGCCAGGCCAGTCTAGCTAACCATTATAAATATTGTGGAAGGACAGGAGGCAATTGACTTGTAGCACTCACGTAGTCCACGTTTAGGAAGAGTGCTAATTGCATTGAATTCGTCTTTGAAGCTAGACACATCGTCTCGACCATTATGATAGGGATGTCAAGGAAGTTAGGAGGACAAAAGCGGATCTGGACGGGAATGATCTTCACTTTATTTTGGGCTGACAAACGCTTACCTTGTATTTGTTCTAGGATTTTTATGTATAGTTGGCCCATTTGTGATCAATGCAAGCTGCGGACTCCTTGGGCCCTTGGACACGAGGCCAACGTCAGAAACTATACTACAGCTTTCGAGCTCCGAGTGCAAATGTACTTACAGAAATGTAACTGAAAAGCTTTTTCCGCTCTATATTTGAACAGAAGCGAGTATGACGCGACTAGTCGTGCCCGCGGAGAGATTCGGAGAGGAAATATATATTCCACCTGTGAAGAAGCGGCGGCAGAATTGACCCATCCCGAGTAAGACCAGTTGGAGAGAGATCTCAGGTCCTTGTCAGAGATCAATTCCTGCTTTTCTTCCATACTAAGGACTAGCATTCGTGGGTAGATTCTGCCTTATTTATTAAGCACGAGCCCTTTGCGGGATATTTGAATATAAGGAGATAAGCATCATCACTAGCTAAGGGAACAGAGACCTGATGCGATTTCTTCAACGACAGCTTTCTTTTGCAGGCCCGCAATCCACTCAGCTGGTATCTCTTCGATCCCATAATATGCCCCAGCTAGCCCTCCATATACCGCCCCCACAGTATCTGCATCTTCGCCCAGGTTGACGACCTTGAAAGCTCCGCTGGCGAAGGTGCTTGTGGTAAAGAAAGCCCAGAGAGCAGCCTCGAGCGTGGAGAGAACATATCCAGATGACTTGATATCATCTACATCCGTGTTCTCCCAATCGGAAAGCCTTGAATAACGACCAAGACGTTGCTTCACTTTAACATCTACAAGAGTTGTGCTAGCAAACTCTTTGGCAAGATCTTCCTTGCTAGCGCCATTCGTAGCGCGCACCATGAGTCTGGTGTAGATCTGGCAGCACTCGACACATGTGGGGTAAGGATGAGTGGCATTTGAGGAAAGAGCAGCGTTGGACAATGCCCTGTCCATGTCCCGGAAATACACAAGCCCAATGGGTGCAACGCGCATAAGGGAGCCGTTTCCACAAAACATCTACCACCATCAGTATTGTATCTTTTGTCTCTTGGAGACCATGCACTTACTTCGCGCTTCAAGGCTTTGTCGATTTCAGGTTGTCCGCCCTCGTGACCGTTCGGGTCATCTTCGCGAATATGAGGCGACCTGTCAAAGTAGTGTTTCCAGATCATTAATGCTTTTCTGGTCCCACCTCCAATATCGAAGCATTCATCAGTAGCTGATAAGTAGCCATTCTCGTACCACTTGATATAGTTACGAATTGCAGCCTGAGGGTTGAAATTCCCTTTTGAGGCGATGAGCGACTGAGCAAGACATAAGGTCATGGATGTGTCGTCAGTCCATGTGCTGTGTTGAGTCTTGATTAGTTTGAGTGCGAATGGTAAGGACATATGATAAATCTCACCCCGGTGGAACATCGAAGTTATCATTGTGCATGAAGTGCGTTACTGGGGGGAAACTGCCCCGTCGTTGGAACTCTACCGGCCCGCCTAGGGCATCAACAACTGCCACGCCAAATACAGAACCTTTGATTCTAGACTGTATTGTCGGGGTTCCCATGTTTTCAGGGCAAATATGGATTATGTCGGAGCATCCAAGTGATAACCAGATGTTTATTGCTAACCAAACAGAACTGATCCTGATCTGGGGGAGAAAAGTGTCAACCTGCGGGGTAAGGTCAGGCAGGTGAGAAAGATAGGGGGCCGCAGCCGCATTTATACGAGGATTTTACAAGTGAAGGAAGGCTGTGGCTATGCAATGATGGCGGGATGGCTGAGCATCCCTGGTCGTGTGAACTAACAGAATAACAAGTGCAACTCATATTTACGATGAATATATTTCTAAGAAATTCGACTGACCTGAACATGGTGTCTGAGGAGACTCGATTGATAAATTGAAAGGCCGAGCCCATTGGTCCAAGCGCCTGCTCACGTATTTGGTACAACAAGGTAATACACAATCACATGATTTACCCATCCCCAAAAGAGCATCATCCATCCACAACCCCATTGACCAATCAAAGCCTAGTGGCCTAGAGCATATGAGACCAGGTTGGTAGGATCCGGGAAATGGTAGCCTCCAGAGTCGTACCAGGTCCAGTAGGGACAAAACAAACGGGACTATTTCCTGGAAGTAGGGCAGAAACAGCAGAGGTAGAGCACTTTCTACCCAGCTCCGACTCTAGTAACCGATCATGATTTCAAGAAGGCTGGGGAAAATACAAGTCAATATGATGCAACAGGAATTCAAGCACTAAATGCCAGACTGTGTGTATGTCTACTGTGCTGTACTATTTCTCATGGAGGATATTAGGAAATGACTTGTATCTTTGTAGTCCTGAAAGATTTATGTCCTCTATATACAAGGGTACTGTAGATCTAGAGCTCCTATTTTGTATGTATTCAGGTGGTATAAACAAGCATTTAATACAGACCCACTTGCGGTGAGGATCTTTCAGGAACCATGGGAATCAATCAGTCAGGAAATGGCCGCTCAGCACAAGATGTGAAAGTCATTTTATATCCCGTTTTCTATTAATTATTTATATTTGTATTAAAAAACTCTGAGATTAACAAATAAGGAGGATATCGATATTAAAGTAAATCTCTATATTAAATTTCCACAGATATTAATAAGAATAAATATTATTTTATAAGAATCATTATCTTATTCTTTAATATTAAAAATACATCGTAGATTTGAATCCACCGCGGTTTATGTGGGTACTTGTATGACCTGGAATAACCCCTTACTTTGATTTATCATTTGCTCCATGACTCATTACAAAACGATATTAAGCCGCTGAAGTACCCGAATACGCGTGAAACTACTGAGTCTACAATTGCCCACCCTTTCGAAGTTTTCATCCGTACACTTGAGCCAGCCGACCAACACCATGACAGCAAAATGGCGAGCCACACGTCTCCTCCACGGAGTCCGAGCCATAGTTGGCGGTCAAGGTCCCCCTTTGATTCTCGTTCCAGGCTGGCCACAAACAGCAGAGGCGTTTAGCGGTATCTTTGAGCCCCTTTCAAAACGTTATCAATTTTTGGCGCTCGACCCCCCGGGCTTGGGTGATTCGCCTCCTCCCCTCAATGGCTATGATACTGCGAACGTGAGCAAAGTCATGGCCGAAGCTATTCACGATTTCCTGGAAGAAAGACCGTACCATCTAGTTGGTCATGATGTGGGTGGATGGATTGCCTATCCTTGGGCCGCTCAATTTCAATCGAGAATCAAAACGCTCAGTATCCTGGACGCGTCAGTGCCGGGTTTCGTGCCACAGTTTCAGTTTCCGTTGCCTCATGCGACCAACATGCGTCTTTGGCAATTCTCATTCAACGCGCTTCCTGAATTACCTGAAATTCTGACTCGCGGTCGTGAGCGGGAGCTACTGACCTGGTTCTTTAAGTTGAAGACGGTTCGTGCAGATGCTCTGTCTAATGGTCATTTTGAACGCTATATCCAAGCCTATTCTAGACCGGGAGCAATGAGTCGGGGGTTCGAGTATTATCGAGCTTTTGGAACAAGTGCGAAACAGAATCTGGAATATGCAAAGACACCGCTCGATATCCCTGTCTTAGCTTTAGGGGGGGCCAGTTCCGTCGGTTCGGGTATGGTTGATTTGGTCCGAAATTTCGCAACCAAAGTTTCCGGGGGCGCTATTCATGATTGTGGGCACTTTCTCCCCGAAGAGCAACCATCTGCTGTCGCGCGCAAACTGCTGGAGTTCCTCGAGGCAAATGAAACCGAGTGATATTCCTTTGGACCCACTCCCAACCTACGGTGATTGCCGGATTTTCTCTGGCCGTTATTTGCCCGACGGGAAGACATTGTGATTGCTATTACTGCGATATAAAATTACTGTGTTGTAAACCGAGCGTGAATTAACCCTGGTCGATGGCGATCTATCTGCAGGAGGGCCTGAGCCCCAACAGAGCCAGCACGTCCTCTAGGAATAGAACAATAAAATGGGGTTTTAGTAGAGAGTGCCGTCTTGGATGCCCTCTCCTTTAATGTAATCATGACCTTCAAAAAAAAGAATAAGGAGGTAGACAAGGTGACCTTGATAGCTATCGCGGATATATTTGTCAGGCACTGCATGTATATAAAATCTGGGAGCCGGGCTTCTCCATCACCATGATACACTCCAAGACGGAACTGTGATCTTCCACGAGACTTAATCCCCTGAGACTGATGTCTGCGTCCCAGAATCTCTTTTGGGGCGTCAATACTGACAAGATTACGCCTAACTCGTGGCTCTTTCAACCGAATGCCTGGAATAGTCTATTGTCTCTAGAGTCAACCTCCCAAGACCAAGCCTATCGATCGATATCACCGACCGGCTTATCTTTTGATAAGAAGACTCTGCTGCGCTGTCAAGCAACACGAAAAGCGTACAGACTATTCGACCAGTCCCTTCTTTCCGCCGGTCAACTTCCTCTTGCCACCATATCCATCATGTGAGGAGAGACCACAAAAGCACTTTTCCTAAATTCTATGTAAAGTCTAACTTTTGTAAATTTTCAGTATTCAGCCAATCAATCGATCAATCAATATTTCTATTAATGTGTTGGAGCTCAACTGTGTGAGTGTCTAGGTATGGAAGCGCTTCGGCTGTCCGAAGCAAGAATATGAGCCCTCCAGAACGCCGTAGTAAATACAGAAAACATAAACTGCACTTGCCATCGCCTTTATGGTTAGGTCACCGAAAAGTGAAATAAAAACCTTATCCTGCATTCCCACTGCCTTTCCCATGATCATTTCCTGCTCCGTTATCAATTAGGTTGTGATGCGTGGCCGCGAAGCCTTTTTTTGCTGTATTGGCCAGGCTCCTCTTTCCGGGTGTAGGCGGTTCCTCTTTAGCAATCGTCTTCCACATCTACTCCATGGCCTCTAGGCCTATGCAATTCCCGGTCCGGGTCGGGGACATCCTCCGGCTCAACATGCCCTAATTGCCGGAGCAGGGCCTGTTTTGTACACAAATCCGACGACGTAGCGGATCGTCACAATTTTCAGTATTTCCATGTTCCATGAGCCGCAGCCAGGACATTCCGAGAAACCAAGAGGAATACGGAACCAAGAAACATGGTCACAATGGCGAATACTTGCATGCCCATATAGGTTGAATTATGCTGCCTTCCCAAGATAGCTCCCATGATCGGCAGGCCGGTAAGAGTGCTGCTGGGTATCAGTACAGTAGAAAAGAAATGGGGCCAACGAAGACCTACGAGATAGCTATAACACCCTGATAAGTACCTATCTGTCTCCCCAGGGTCTCTAGGCTGCCGGACTTTGCGCAACATGGCATCATGATGCTAACGAAGGCGCCGCTGAAAAAGCCGTAAGCCACAGCGAAAACGATGAGGCCGGCATTTGAAGAATGGTAATCGAAAGGCAGCCATAAACAGAGGATCGTAATGCAACTTAGGAAGGCGGAAGCAACTATGATGTTAAAGTATCCCACCTTGTCGCCGATGTGCCCGGGGATAATTCGACCGAAAAGTGAAGCAGCACTGTCCCTCAGGTCAGCTCTGCTAGGGACAACAAGATTGAACAAAACTTACTTCACAATTGCGAGCAGGTAGAGGGCCAGCGAATCCGACATTCCGGACAATTGGGCCATGCTAGGAAGATAATCGAAAGGTGCCCATAATCCCCACATCACAAAATATGAGCCAAGGCAATAGAAAGCAAAGCCTCGGTTTTTGAACACCTTGAAGTCAATCCATGCCATTTCCGAGTCCCATTTCTTAGGAGGCAGGCGCGCACTGACAAGAAAGAAGGCGCCAACTAAAACGATACCGATGAACAGCGCCGTGTAGCGTACCATGCCATTGAATCCCACGTCTTGCATAACCAGTTTCAGAAAGAATGGGAATATCACGCCCCCTGGTCACACATCAAATCAGCACGTCATAGACACTGATAGGATAGTCTTCTCCTCACCAATACTACTACCCGCAACAGTTACTCCCAGAGCAAGGCCTCGCTGCTTGACGAACCACTGGCTCACGCAGACCAGGCAGGTGGTGAAAATACCTCCAGCTCCGAGTCCATAACCAATTCCCTGCGCCAAGATGATCTGATAGTATTCGGTGGCCAGACTCGTCATGCACAGTGAGAAGAGGCAAAGAAAGGTACATGGGAGCATGACCGGGCGCGGTCCGTAGGTATCTACAATGCGGCCGAATAGGGAACCTGGAGCCCATATGAGAGCGAGCTGGATTGTAAAGATCCATGAGATGTCGGAAGAGCTGTAGTCCTTCAAGAGAGTCTCTTGATAGGTGGTTTGGAAGATACCAATGCTGTCMAGGTCAGCAAAAGAACCGGGTCATAAAGCTTTTTCGCGGATGGAAGGACTCAACGCGTTCAGGAAGCCCAACGTAGCGAACAGACCTAGGGAACCGCCAGCGCAACATAGCCAACCTCGAAGGCCGCCCTCTGGTGGGAGAGCTGAGTCCTGAGCAGGGCTCTCAGAGACGACGGGGGGTTGTATGGCCTTCTCTTCATCTTGCTGGGAGCCGATGGTCGACGGGACGGTGGAGTCAGACATTCTGGTGACTGTGCTTAACGGTCTACAGCGACTAGGCTGCGGTTAAAGCAGAAGTCCAGCTCGCAGTTTATAAGCAGAATACTAAATTATTAATAGCGCCATAGCTATGGCGGCGGACTGCGGTCCGCGCGTTCCGTTCGGCGCGTCCCGKGCAGCACTGTGTAATTACTGACTCAACGTGCCACCAGAACTCGCTAGTGTAGCGCACTGGGCATTATCTTTACAGAGTACGGGCGATTACAGCGGCGATCGAAAGGGGCGGGTCGGAGTTGCATCCTTTTTAGGCGGTGGATCCCTATTACTACGGTAGGTAATTCGTTGCTTATGTCGGAATTCTCTTATATTGGATTCTATAGCAACGAACACTAGAATATATATTTTCCAACCTAAAAAATCGACGAATCACCCTGACGACGGTTTTCAGCCTTCCTCCTTAAAATCATCCTTTCAAACCGCATAAGATGCTGTATAAGGCCCTGATCTGCATCAATTTGCTGCTCCTCATAGAAGTGTAGCTTGTATAGGCTTTCTGATGCTTCCGCGGCGGGGACTTAGGGAAAGGCTCCCAGCCAGTATCATCATATTCCTCCTCATCTTGATCTGTTGTATATTGAGTAAGAATCACATTATTAAGATCTCAGAAGTTATCTTCTACTGCCTCTTCCGCAAGGTTTATGAATTGGTGATATCCATAGCCTCCTTGATACGATGAGAAAGCTGCATTTGCTGCACGCCTTGTGCAATCCCATTGATAACCTCATTCTCTTGAATCTCTGCAATAGTCCCAATATGGGAAGCCCTTTGGAAACACTGTTGGATTCTAGTATCTTTTAGATCAAGCTCCTAAGTTGGAATCGCCATTGAATAGCTTGGACAATTGTCATAGTAACTGGATCTAATCCATAATCAAATTGGGTCATCTAATAGAGCATCCACTGCCATTTCCAATACGCCTTCCATGTATGGATAATTCCTTGATTAAGAGATTGGTATTAAGTTGTTGAATTGCTTGGGCTCCACACGTATAGCAGTTTAGTGGCCGGAACTTCTTCGTGTCGATATGGAAAGTCCAACCCGAAGGAGCCTAGCCGTAGTGATTAACCGGCCCCACGTAGTTTTTTTACAAAACTAGGCGCTCACCTGTATCGTAGACAGATTCGCTTGATAAGGCTAATTCCCAGACGTCCAATCGGAGCTGGCCAAAATCTGTATCCTTTTGGGATACGATTCCGGCAGGAGTTAGATTCCGTCTTCTCCTTGTAGAGATAGAAAGCCATGAGCATCAGCTATGCTCACTCAATCTTACGGTTGAAAGGTCTGTTCAAACTCACAGGTGCTAGAGATATTAGGCGCGTATTCTAGAGATATCAATCTGTAAATGATTCTGTATACTACTTCCTTCGTCTTGATCCCAATCACTCCACTATGGGCTCCATCCAGCCAGAAGATACAATTTTTTCCCCAGGCCCTCTCATAGTAGGAGGGGGCCCGGTTGGAATGTTGACAGCTCTCAGGCTGGCACAGCTGGGGGTACCATGCACGTTATGCGAAATGAACACCGAGACGACACGCTGGCCCAAGATGGACAACAACAGCTGCCATACTATGGAGATTTTTCGTATAATGGGGTTTGTTGAGGAATATCGACAGCAACCCGGGGCTGTACCACAGCATAGCGATTGGGATACCATTTTTTTCAACACTTGCGGGCAGCAGAAGAAGCTTGTTAGCCGATGGGTATGTCTGTCACATTAGAAGGATAACCGTTTGAGAAGTAGTCTTGTTTAAGTGATTTCGGACTTGCAGAAAAGAAGTTTTAGCTTTCACACATGGTTGCGCTAACCTCTTCTGCTAGCATATCCCAAGCAACAACGAATATCGCGCCAAGATTCACGCAAATAATGATGGCTCACAGCCTGCCGAGCCGGGTCAGCGTTGCTCGCAGATAGTGCTTGAAGCATTCTTAAAGAAAAAATGCCTTGCTGAACCCCTGATTGCAACTCACTTTGGTTACAAATTTATATCGCTTGAGGAACATGATGAGGGGGTCAGTGCTACTTTCAGAGATATKGACAATCAGGAAAAGACGATTAGAGCACCTTACTTGGTTGGCGCAGATGGTGCCCGCAGTAGAGTAAGGAAGAGCGTCGGGATTGAACTTCAGGGGAGGCCTCTGTGAGTGTTCCTTCCACCCCCCGGCCTCAAGTGTCACCAGCTAACATGGCGGTGATTTCTCTCTACCAAGGCCAGGTGCCTTTTTCATGGTCCATTTCCGGTCCAAAGAACTCACCAAATTATCCCCATTCGGCAAGTGGTGGCATGCCTTTGGCCTCCACGGCGGCTTTATGATTGACCAAGACGACGTCGACACCTATACCTGTCACGAACCTTGCTCTACTGATGCCGCCGCCATCAGAGAGCTCCAAGAAAATCCCGAAGAAATCCCTTATCGTGTCCTTGGCAGTCTCGGCAAGCCTTACAAATTTAAAATCGACGAAATCAAGCTGGCGAATGGATGGCGCCCGAACTTCGCTCTTGCAGATTCCTACGTCAGTCGTGATGGACACGGCCGGGTGTTCCTCTGCGGTGACGCCGCCCATCAGAACCCGCCCCATGGCGGCTATGGCATGAACAGCGGCGTGGAAGACGCTATCTCGCTCGCGTGGCGTCTTTCAGCTTTACACAAAGGCATCGGCGGAGGCAACCTCGTTACTTCATATACGAATGAGCGCAGACCGAACATGATGCTGCGTCTCGAACGTTGTGCTGCCCATATCGGCAAATTCACGCCGATGATCGTGCGTACTATGACGGCCCCGAACACAGACATTTTCCTCGAGGAGAGCGAGGAAGGAGAGAAGGCGCGAGCCGAGGTAGCAAAACACCTGGACAGTGTGGGACCTGAAAATATCGACCGTGGAGTGGAACTGGACCTGAGATATTTGAATAGCGAAATTATTGTGAGCGACGGGACGAGGGAGCCGAGATTCGATAACATGCGCTACACGCCAAGTACAAGGCCCGGGCATAGGGCGCCACATGTATTCTTGAGGGATGATCAGACAAGTATCGTGGATCTCTATGGACGAGAGTGGTCATTGATGGACTTCTCAAAGGTCGAAAGGGACTATCAAACGACCAATGGTTTCGTCAACTTGGATGACGAAGCGACCTCCCCGGTGGCGACATTCAAAGCTGTTGCCAATGCAATGAGAATGCCGCTGACGCACGTCCAACTGGATGCCGGAGAGAAGCACGTTAAGAACGTGTGGGAAAATTACGATTATGTTTTAGTCCGACCGGACGGGTACGTCGCCTGGCGTGGAGGCAAAGAAGGGGCGAGGGATGAATGTTGTGAGCTGAATGAAGGACGGATCAGGAACATCTTGCGCATTGCGCTGGGCTGGAAGACAGACCCTGGGTTTGTGGCGGGGGAGAAGAAGGAGCTGAATGTGAAAGTCAATTTGACAAGCATTCATGGCCTGGAAGAGGAGCTAGGGATGGGCAAGGGCCACGGGGATGCCTTTGTGGGAATTTTCACTGAAGACAAGAGAAAGTAGCTGCCTATCTGGATCTATTGACATCGCTGTATTGAGCGTGTCATTCTGAAGGACGTACCTTCGTTAGGGATGTGACAAGAAATGTCAGTTTCGAAATTCCGACGCGAAGTTCAAAGTCTTGGAGGCTTTCTATTCACCATACAAATTAGTTTAAGGGATGGCGCTCGTGAAGTGAATGACTCGACTCATTCATGGCGGACGAGATGCATCTGACTGATCCTAGCAAATAGCTCGACCACGGTAACTTATTAACAGCATCTCAATTAAAGGAGAATGCGAAGTTAATTTGTGATTCGCCTTACGCAGATACGTATAATTAGGATAACGTCTGGTTTAATCGCACTCTCCCTGGGTACTTCTAAACAAAAAATATTCTTGCGGATTTGGCTGGCTGATATAAAGCTTAACTGCGTATTCTGGAATTCCTCCTAACCACTTCGACTTGGGGCAGGGGTTCTTCTTCAATGTTGGGGAATCCTTTGCCTTTGAGCACTTTTTCGGCTTCGGCTATTGCATCATACCCATATATCCATGGTTGGACAACGGGGCACGTCCTGTTTGTAATTAGAAATGAATGCCTGTTGGGCTACTTAGGGTGACACAAACCATCGGCTGGGAAAAGCACCAGTGATTTCTTTGCCGAGCTGTGATGCGAATATTTCGTCACGTGCTTCTTGCTCAAGGCCATCCAGCATGTGAAAATCATTCCTCTACGGCCAATAGCCTCCGAAGTCAGTCCGTGTACCTGTTCTATAGCATATAAAGTCAGGAGCTCGACAGTGTAGGTAGTGCATACCTGCTTAAATGTTTCCCTAGCTATAGCCTCACTCCTTAATTTTCGAAGCTTTTCAAACGCATGCAAAGCATTCGGGAGTTGCTCCTTCTTTGTGACGGACCTTAGGATCGTCCCTAGTGCCGCTCCGTCCTCCATGGACGAATTAGCGCCCTGTGCAAGATACGGAAGCATGGGATGGCAGGAATCGCCTCTGCCAGATGTTACTTGATGGCTCGAGATACTGGGTTTTAGAAACATAATATCAGTAGACTTACATTAAGACAAAATTATTGGCTTCGTTAATCCAGGATGGTAGCTCCTCTCCTGTAATACAACACAGTCAGTCTACTGTAATAGCAGTGAATTCTTGACTCTCTTACTATGCATAAGTTTCCACTTGTCAACTCTGTCAACGTAGCCTAGAAGTTGAGTGAGACTTGAATCGAGTTAGCCATTAATTTCGGAATGCAAAGTGGCCGGTCAAAACCTGCATACATGGGATCCCAGCCGTCGAACAGCTGTTTCATTTCTTCGATATTTCCAGGTTGCTTCGTGACACCTGGAGGTAGATCATCTGGTACAAGCAACACAAGATTATACATTTTGCCCGCCTTTAAGGAGTATCCAACAGCGTGGGATCTAGGACCAATCCAAAAATGGACTTCGGGATGGCTAACCCAGTCTCGTAAAGCTGGCTCTTTGATTTGATCCGAAGACAGAACAATTCGATATGCCAAGTCTCCTGTCGGCTTGGGCGGATCAGCAGTCCCTAGGAAGCATTCTCGAGTTCGTGACCACAAGCCATCAGCTCCAACTATTAGGTCAGCCTGGTATTTGTGCCCCGAAACGGTAGTTAGCGACGGCGCTGCGGGATCAACGTTTTGTACGCGTTCGTTCAGATAGAACTTCACTCCCAACTGCTGAGCCCGTCGATACAAAGCTTGCTGTAAGTCCACTCGATGTAGATCAACGAAAGGCACACCGTATTTCCTTCGGATATTCTTATCAAAGTCTACTTCACTGGCCAGCACTGCCCCAGAATATCGATGGACAGTCAACTTTGTTGGCTCAGCTGCCTTGTCCCATATTGTTTGAGGAAGATCCCAGATTTTGAGAAGGCGCGAGCCATTAGGGGTGATTTGAAGGCCTGCACCAACCTAAGCAAGGCGACGTCATTATTTGATCCTAAGTCGGTGACGAAGGAAATACTTCTGCAAGTTCTTTTGCTGCCTCTAGGACGATGACGGAATGGCCCGCTAACGCGCACGATATTGCAGCAGAAATACCAGCGAGGCCTGCGCCGACAATGATGATATGTAACCCGGTTTTCTCAACAGCCTTGAGAGCACCGGCGTCAACGCCTTGGACAATAATTAGGGTAAGAACACGTACCATTTTCCCCACCTTCTGAATGTTTAAAACTGTAGTCGCAGACGATATTTGCCCCAGTAGCAGATTTCTGGCGTAAATAATGCTGCCGGGGACCGGACTTCTGGCCTCAATCACCGTCAGCACCTCGCGATGTATTTTAATCGGGTAGACATTCAAACAATATTTCTTCTCGGGATATCTGCCGTCCACGGATCACCCACGGCCGGGAGGTGGAGATTTCGGTCTCGAACGAGTTCGGGAGACCTGGAGAGAAGCCCCAATTAAGTATGCCGAGAGACTTCCACAATAGGCATCGAATAGTGTGATGGCCCCACATACCACGTTGGGAACGGGACCAGTAGGAACAGACTTATGGGATTGAATGTACTACCAAGTGGTGTTTTAGTCCCTTTAAGTAGAGGGCAAAATATACTGCGATAATAAATAATTATGATGGTGAGTTGGCGATGTAAATGCGGCAATCCAGCAGACAGTTTTCTATTTCGTTGCCACTGTACAAATCCTCAGCTGTGATCTCCAATCAGTCACGAACCTGTTGTTTTCGAAATCCCACAATTTGACTTATCCAATTCACAAGATGGGTCTCCTTACCCCATTTGTGCCCTACCACACATCTGCTGGGTCGAATACCATTCGAAAGTGAGTGTAACGTGTATTGTGCCGTTATTTTGAACCCTAACACCCCTCCAAACTAGAAAGTTAGGAACTACCTGTATCACTCCTTGATGCTAATAACAGCACATTGCAGATTTGGTGGTCTACTAACTGTTGAGTTCCTGGAGCCGCCCCCGGGTCGAAGTTTTATGATGCGTCAGACCTACAGACTGGACGTGGAAGGACCTGTCTCGCCCGCGCTGCGGAAGCTCATCGATAGTCCCCAGCGGCCCGACGGCCCTGCAATGCACTTCCACCGGTACCAGTCCGAGTTCTTCCACGTCGAGCATGGCATCTGTGTGGCTGAGGTTGACGGCGTGTCGCGCAACCTTACTCCAGAAGACGGGGAGGTCTCTCTTCCCGCGAACCGTATCCATCGTTTCTCCATCCATCCAGATTCGGGCGAATATATGACAGTGCTACTGAGTGGTTCGGATGCGGGGATTGATAACCAGCTTGATAGAGTCTTCTTCGAGAATTGGTACGGATACTGGCACGATGCACTGCTCTACGATGGGGGTCTTGATTTCATTCAAAAATTACAAGTCCGTTTTCTTTTACTCGTAATATATAACACGAGACTAATTGATCACAGATGCTCGATGCAGGTGGACATTATACTCCAGCGCCGGCATGGATGCCCTTCCGGCTTTTCTTTGGCTACTGGACCAGTGTAATCATTGGCCGGTGGCTTGGGGGTCTGCTAGGCTACAAGCCATTCTTCAAAGAATATACGACGGATTGGGAGTTTGCCGTAAACAAAATGAAAAGTTCGTTCTGGACTCGGCGCTCAGTTGACGGTTTTTGGGGCGCGAAGGAGCGCTGGAATAGAGAAGCGGAGCTGTCTGCTGGACCTAAACCGACCAATGCGGAACTCCAGTATCTACTCGAGGATGTCACAGCAGCTACAAGAGCTGCTAAGGCCAAAGCCGCGGAGAACGGCTTTACTAATGGATGTGCCGAAACCGGTGAGGTATCTAGAGGATACGAGGAGACTGTTGGCATTTCTTCTGGGTTAAAATCCGAAAATGCTCAGGTTCGGAAGCGCTGAAGTTCAATTTAAGAGTTGGTTACTGCCCTGGGCCCCCGGTAACCAAAGGTGTTGTCGAAGCCTGAATAGGTTACCTCTTCAGAAGCCTCAGATATGCTATATAATCTCCCACTTGCACATAGCTTAATCGTGGTCTCTTTTCTTTCTCTAGCTGTAAATCGTTCGTTAAAATGGATCTCAGCAAAATCCTCTAAGTATCGGAACGAACGACCGTGCTATAGCATAAAACATTATCTGCTAAACTGAGGATTGATGGATTGACTAACCCCTAACCGCAACCGGCATTTGATTATTTTGACAGTGGTCATCCATAAGTGCATCCAATAATGTGCGGTTCATCTTCAAAATGGGCATCTGCTTTACTATGCCAAGCCAGTGTTGTAAATCTGGTGTACCATGGTGTGTGGTAGTAAGCACATCTCGGCCGGTCGGCAAGGGCACGGCATCAAGCCAGCTTCAAGCCAGATGCAGTATGCAAAAAAGTTTCTTCTTGCGCCGCTTTATGAGGTTTAACTGTAATTATGATGTCTCTGGTGTTCTAGCCTCTGCTGTTGGCGGATTGTAAAGACAGACTGAACAGCAGCGACGGCTACAGGACCCTCACTCATAAATTCAATAAACAATGGATCCGGTTCTCGCGTAGGTGTTTTGATAACCACACAATCCAATCTTCTTTCTTATACGTCTTCTCCTGGTAGGGGAGAGGGGGAAAGGGAATATACATTACATAAGCCTCTTCTTTGTCTGGGTTAGGTATAATCCTACCAACTTGGGAGTTTGGCTTCACCACCCCTCCACCTTGGTTAACCGGAAGGGCACGCTCTCGAGTGGCTTCATGGTAATAAAACTAGGCGGCTGGTAGGGTATTTCTTCATCTACCAGTTCAACGTTAAAGCGACCAAAAATCGCCGCTAAAGCGCATCGAACCTGGATAAATGCTATCGGCTTACCGATACATGATCGGTTACCGTGGGAAAATGTGATATGGGCATATTTGGTAGGCGCGCCACCAAGACCATTCAGAGTTCTCTCCCCAGATTCATCAGTGTCGATCCAGCGATCAGGTACAAATTTGTCAGCATCCTCTCCCCAGAATTCGGGAAGCCTATTGAGCGCACGGGGACAGATCACAACGCGAGTCCCTTTGGGAATCGGGTAGTTCAAAATAGAAGTGTCCTTGATTGCCTCACGGGTGAACATGGGAACGGAGGGGTGGAGGCGTAAGACTTCATGGATGATAGCGTTGAGGAGTGGCATCGACTCCAATGTCTTCCAGGATGCTGCATCTGTGTCGAGCAAGGAGGGAATAGCACCACGGATTTCAGTACGAAGTTGCTGCTGGATGTCGGGCCTTCGACACAGTTCGTAGCAGCACCACACGAGGGTACTGGCAGAAGTGTCATGCTGCCAAAAGAGACCCTTTAGCATCAGGACGCCCTACTATGTAGTGCTAAAATGGAACTATACGTACCCCTGCCCCCAGAATCGTCACGAGCTGATCAGCGAGTTCTTCATCCGAAAAGATGCCCTGTCCAATCAAGACATCCAGCAGATTACCTCTGCTAGCCTGAGGATTCAGCGCCAGCAACGCCTTTCGTTCCTTTACCATCCTCTCACCGAATGTCCGGAGGGCTCTTTTCGCCGTCAGCCTAGATGGGTCTAGAGCCCAACGAAATGGGTCCGTCATCCACTCAGGAACCTTCACTGATAGTACAAGGAAGACCATCTGTAATAGACTCGGGTCGGTGAGTTCGGAGAAGTTATCGACTACCTTATCCGGATTGTCTTCGAACGACTTTAAGTCGTGTCCCATAGTGCTGAGGCCGATAAAGTCCATAGTAATATCTCTATGCCACCACTCGTCAGTCATGTATTCAGTTATGCAGGTGAACAGGTAAAAAGTTCGGAATGATAAATACCTTGACAATTCGCTCAGTAAAAAGTTGCCTGCATTCCCCATAGACTTTGTCTGCTTGCTTTGTTCTTCGATACCCTGCTCTAGGCTCCGCACCATCTCTTTGGCCTTCTCCCAGAGCACAGGATATGTTAACCGAAGCACCTGTGGCTTGAAGAACCCTTGCGACGCTCTCCGTTGAACTTTATGAACATCTCCCTCCGATAGAAGCAGACCGAATCCTAGGATTCTGGCAACGAAATTTCGAAGACCATCCGGCTTCACATAATCATTCGCGCGCGTGCTCAGCACCTCAACGAGTGCTTCGGGAGAGGTAACAATCAAATTTGGTCGACTGCTAAACTCTTTGAACCTAATGAGACCCGGGTTCGGCATAGTTTTCATCCATTTCAAAGCCGTTTTGCCTCGAGGTTGTTCAAGGCCAAGCCTGCAGAACCTAAACCACCCCTACAAACCAACTATTAACAGACCATAATCAAATTCATCGATTGGAGAGGTCTCACCGGGCCGCAGGGAAGACTTTTGAGGGCGTTATTTTTAAAGGTATGCCGCAGTACATATAAAAAGGGTACAAGATAAACAGGAAACTTTGTCTGAAGTTTTCTGGTTTCTTCCAAAGCGAATGTTGAGTCCAAGATGATGAAGGAAAGATAGCTGAATAAGAGTGCCATCGCAAACCATGGTAAGGCATCTGCGAAAGGCCTCAGCGGCGAAGATGGTGCCTGCTGGCTCTTCATGGTGTTTGTGTCCACGCCCTCAATAGGAAGTTGCAATGAGTATACTTTGTAGGAGGAAAGGGTTGAGGCGAATTTTCATTGAGGTCAGAGAGAAATAACATTCCTTTGCGTAAGCCTTTGGCGCAGCATCGGTTCATATTATTATCAACAATAACTACCATAGGTGCTTGGCCAATAAGCCTTTGACCATCCATGAGCAGATACGGAGTACAGCCAAGCCGTAATATACTGTAATAGTTGCTTTTCTCTCACTCTAATCATTGTACAATTAATGCCATACCAACCGATAATGGTGTTTTATCATTGAGGTCAGTGTCATACTATCGAAATATCTGTCAGCCTAGCTGCTTGTGGTCGCACACAAAGTTAGCTCTCCCAACTCTAAGTTTTGGGTGAATATCTTCATCGTGTCAGGACCAAGGATTTGCTCTGTAGACTGTACATCCACCCAAAGGATGCCTAGCGTAGGGTAGATCTACATGGCGAAACGGGAAGTTCAAAGTGGGGACACAGGATATACCCATGAGAATATTGCATGTAGACTGCTGAACTGTCAAGCCCCCGATGTGGTCAGAATAAGGACGCCTTCAGAGTCCCTCTTTCTGTGGATTGAACTAAATGGGTGACCTTGGAGAACTGAGATTGGGAAATTACAGCTGACAAAGTGGCCACATGTCATACGATGATAAAGGTTTGATCGGTGTGATAGATCATGCAGGTACGGAGTACAGCACACCGTAATTGATCAACCATCCTTATCTCCCTACTGAGGAATCGATCGACAAGTGACACAGGGAAAGTTGATAGTCAGAATGAGTTACACAGGTAGTTAGTTATCCAATGACTGAGGTGTTATAGTAAGGTGCATTCATTTAGATTCTCAGCTGAACTGATATAATAAAGCTAAAAAGGGTGATCAACATACCTATAGTAGGTCATCTGTCTAACACGCACACAGATCACAGTTAATTACAGAGCAGGTAATGCCCTGTGATGAAAGAATCATAATGAACTCTGATTATAATTGGAAATAAAGTTCAATAATTGAAATTTAGCTGGCTAGGTAGATTACTCTAGAATCTGGACCCTGGAGTTGCCGAGAAAGTTAAGTTTGCAACTTGCTGTAAATGATCTCTACATCGTCTCACCGCTGAATTGGGGATGGTGTCTTTCAGTCCACTATTCACTTCCAACCACATTCTTTTTGAGGCAAAACAAGATTAGTTCCTCTGAATCTGTATGTGAAATGGTATACCACTATCTCAGCCGGTTCATCCTTGGAGCCACATTTCTCTTTATAATCTATTCTTTTTACCATGCTGTGGAGCGTCGGTTAGCAAAGCGCCGCTTCATGCGCTTGTATGGCTGCCAGCCTGCTCCAAGAGGCCCCTCCAGGGGCTTGTTTGGGAGTTTAAAGTCAATGAAGAGCAACATCCAGGCCGCAAAAAACCACCAGTCGCTCAATCGAATCCACAGTATATTCCATTATGGTAATACAGTGGCCGGACAGCGACTCAATCAGCCCATGATACTCACCCGCGAGCCACAAAACATCAAAACCATCCTCTCTCTCAAGTTCAACGACTACAAGGTTGGAGATCGTATTAAGTCTCAGGGAAAACTTCTCGGTCATGGTATCTTCACCGCTGACGGAGACCACTGGGCCCAGTCTCGCGCCCTAATCAGGCCCAATTTCGTCCGTGAGCAGGTGGCCGATCTGTCATTGTTCGAGGATATGATGGGCGATCTATTAGCCTTGTTACCGACAGATGGGCAGACGGTTGATCTGCAGGAACTCTTCTTCTCGTATTCCATAGATTCTGCGACGGAGTTCCTATTCGGTCATTCGGCGCATAGCTTGAGGAAAAGATCCCAACCGACAACGGAGAAGGACTCGGATGACGACTTTGCTGAAGCGTTTAACTATGCGCTGAAGGCTGTCGCAATGCGGTCTAGACTGGGGTTCCTGCGCACATTCTATTGGGATCGCAAAGAAGAGCAGAGTAATCGGATTTGCCACCGGTTCGTGGATAAGTATGTTGATCGAGTTGTCAAGTTGCAGGAGACGATGGATCCTAGCGACGATCATAATGAGGAGAAGAGGAAGAATGAAAAGTATCTCGTCATTCACGAACTCGCGCGCCAGACAACGGACCGTCGCCGTATCCGGAACGAGCTGATCAACATCCTCCTGGCCGGCCGAGACACCACTGCTGGCTTGCTGAGCAATCTCTTTTTCATGTTGGCCAAGCATCCAGATATCTGGAGTAAGTTGCGGGATGAGGTCACGACGACGTTGAATGGCCGTCTGCCAACGTATGATGAGCTTCGGAATATGAAGTATCTCAAGTATTGCCTGAACGAATGTATGTTTCTCTCTCTCTCTCTCTCTCGCTCTCTCTATACTGTCTATGATGCACCCAACCAACACCGCATAATAATAACAACGCTAATGCTTCTTTTTAGCCCTCCGTCTACACCCCGTTGTCCCAACGAATGGTAGGGTTGCCAAAAACGACACATTTCTCCCTGTTGGAGGTGGGCCAGATGGCCAGTCTCCGGTATTTGTATCAAAGGGAACCTTTGTGGTGTACTGCGTGTACTCGATGCATCGACGAGTAGACATCTGGGGTCCCGATGCAAACGAGTTCCGTCCTGAACGTTGGGAGTCCATGCGACCCAGTTGGGAGTATCTTCCGTTTAATGGCGGACCACGCATCTGTCTGGGCCAGCAGTACGCCTTAACTGAAGCAGGGTATGTGACTGTCCGTCTAGCACAGCAGTTCCAAAAGTTGGAGAGTCGAGATCCGGGTCCCTGGGAAGAGCATCTGGCGTTGACTCTGAGATCGCGAAATGGCACTAAAGTGGGCTTGGTGCCTGCTTGAGATTGTAGGCCAAAAGAGTAAACTCTGCTAATTCAACGCTAGCAAAGCTAAGGTTTCCTAATTATACAAGCCATAGTATGCTTTTTAAAGACCTTTTCTAAATATACAACTCTAAGATCGCAGTCGTCCCATTATCACTAAGGCTGATTAGCTGGTTGGTGTTTAATACTACTAAGACTAGTGGGCCTTACTGAGAAGATGATCAGATGATCATAGGGGAAAGATGCTATCTAGAGGCATTAACGTATTTACTAATAGTGACCCATTGTGGTTCCCTGGCTGTATGGCTTGTACATTGCTGTTTATTGATGGGATATTTTGATGACCTTTGCTACATGGACTACACCTATTTAAAAGCAAGTCTCATCAAAATTATGGATATCCTGTTATCCCTCAGCACTAATAGAAGAATACCTTATTTTACTATGATATTCTTAACAAGATTACACCATTGCTTGGTGACTTCTGGGTCCTCGCATTTTGCACGCTGATAATCATCAAAGATCATTATGCCGTTTAATAAAGTTGCTGACCTAGTTCTTTCCAGTAGATAGGCCTAGATGTTGATGAGATAGGAGTATCCTGAGTTGATGGTAGGCCGCGCATCCATATCCAGAATCTATTTCTTTACAGAACCCTCATCTATGCTGCTAAGCGTCTGGCAGTTGGCTGGTATATTAAGCCACGCTTTACGGCCGCTAAGGTTAATGGGATTCCATATACTAGTGGGTACGAAGTTCTGAAAATGTGACCTAGCCAGAATCTGACTAGGCAGAGGTGAATCAGGTGATCTAGATGGCCTGGGTAATACAGCAGCAGAAGTAGTGCAGACTTTCTGGGGCGCAGTGCCCTCCAGCACAACTGGTTGGTAGAGCTGATTCTGATGGGCGCATTGGGGTTCCTGGTCGCCCTGCTTGGCCTGTAATCCATCACTGGGATGATTGGATGCAGCACAATAAGGCGAACTGAATGAGATCCCAACCGTCTGGGTTTGACGTCGGGGCCCGAGGGGAGGGCGAGCGGAAGTGGCGGGAACGAGGGGTGCGGGGCACGGTACTGGGAGGGCCGGGGAGGGCCGAGATTCCGTTCTGGTAGTGTGAATAATGGATGTGGGCTCCTTGAGTGGACGTCAAAAGTGTAGTCACTGGGGGTTGTGGGCAACTGTATTCAGTATGTGGTGACGTGCACTCCATGCATGACACTGTTACTAGCTATGCTTCCGTCCATGGTAAATTGCAAACGGCGTTCTTGTTATTTCAGGATAGTCGACCAGAGCGCCTGTGATTAGGCGATCAAGGTTCTCAAGCACTATAGGAATGGGTGGGACCGGTTATTCACTTTCTTATTGCATAGCCCTCAAGTTGGCCCTCTATTGGCCCATATACACCAGAAAGTGGGTAAATGTAGTCTCTTGAAGTCTCAGTGGGCAAGAGAGTGGTTACTAAAACTTGATGCTATTTGCTTGAAAAACAAAATGGTGATATCAGCCAGTCCTAATATGTTTAGAGTACTAGTACAGTACCGTTTTCAGACATCCTCGCACCACTACGACATAAGTTTTGTCCTCTACTTCCTTCCATCCAATAGTCCGGCCCACCGGCGACAGCGACAGCCGAAACAGGATTTACAATGTTGAAACCGCAAAGGGATGTGCTCTGTATGAAGCAGTAATGACGCGGTCAGAGCTAGGGAACAGCGGTAAATCAACGACTCATAAATCGCTCTCAAGTGTACGAGCATCGAACTCGAGAAGAACCGCCAGCATGAGCTGTTCGTTAGACGAACAAGTCCTCATCAAACAACGAGAGTTATCCCGATTCCAGACCTCAGCAGCAACGCTTGCAGTAGTTGCTCGAACTGCTGCCACGACCAGCATCCGATACGACTGATGTTTAGGACAGGCTTATCGATCCTACGCCGCATAGTGTGCCCAGAAAGAACGAAAAGGGGCTCATAGCCGGCTCCTGATAACAAACCGAGCATCACAGTCGGCTCTTTGTCAGGCCTCTTTAGAGTGACAAAAAGTACTGAAAACCCCACCATCTCCCACTCGATTAGGTAAGTGATACTGGTTAGTTAATTACTTACGCTCTTCTTGATACAGATACGAATATACATAAGTCGGCTCTGCAGGACCTGACGGCGCGCCTTGAGCACAGACCTGATAGGAAGGGATCATCCGGCCCGTACCGCGTGCGTGTTTACTCGGCGCTCCATTTCCCCTTCTGGAATTCCCCCTTCTGGACCTTCCCCTTCTGGAATTCTCCCTTCTGGAATTTCTCCTCTTGAATATCCCCTTCTGGAATATCTGCTTCTAGCTTTTGCTTGTTCTTTCTTGGTATCTTGGAAGGAAAGCGATGATGTACAGTATCTCCTACAACTATACGCAGCTTCGTGAAGGCACAGCAAAATACACTGAATTATGCATTCGCCCTCCGATACCTTTGTATTACATCTTTTCGAATGTAAGGAGATTCCCGAATTGGTCACATACGGCCTCCAGACGGACAGATCTGCATGTACGCAGTGAATGCTTGCCGGTCCGCTAATTGGAAAGGCGTTACAAAGTACTTCTATCACGATGTGCTATTAAGAGATGAGACTTCTTGCGTTTCTCTACCTAACCAAGTTTTTGGAAAGCCGTACAGAAACTGAAAGTAACTTCACCATGGAAAGCCTGATCACGAAGATACAGCAGGAGGCTGCTTCAGCCAGTTATGTGGAGCGCAAAAAGCTTCTAGACACCTTGCGCGACTTGCAATACAGCATCGAGACCCCCGAAGACGCTATGCAGAGAGTGATACACATGGTATGGTTCCCAAGCCTAAGAAATTATCCTGAACTATTGCACTTGCAGAGTGCCTCAACTTCTCTTGCAGACTCTCGAGTCTGTCCCTTATTCTCCTAGGTATTGTCCTCAAAGCTAAATCAGACCGCTTAGAATCTTCATTTTGCTGCAATCCGGACGGCTCTTGACTTGAACCTTTTCAATGATATCCTTGACAGCGCAGAGCCCTCGACTGTCGATCACTTAGCAGCCAAGCACTCTGCAGACCCTTTGCTTCTCGGCAAGTACCGAAGCTCCAGTCAATCAAGATGGGATGCGCCAGAAATTCTAACTTTGATATAGGCCGTATTCTACGGTATCTGGTCACGGTTGGAATGATTAAAGAAGTTGGCAGAGACACCTTTGCTTCGACGCCATATACATCCAATCTCGCAAGACCCGAGATTCAGGCCGGATTGTACGTCTACTTCGACATGGTCAATCCAACTTATCAAGAAATGCCTCGTTACCTTGCGGAAACTGGTTACAAGAACCCTACCAGTTTCACAGACGGCATTTTTCAAAGGGCCCACAAAACCGACTTGCACACCTTTGCCTTCGTTCATGGCGATCCGGTGAGAAGTGCTCGCTTCAATCACTTCATGAAAGCACAACGAGGGTCCCAACCCAAATGCTTCGACCTTTACCCATTTGACGATGAGAGTAAGGGCTGGCCATCAGATAAGCCCCTGTTTGTGGATGTTGGTGGCGGCGCCGGCTATCAAACTGCTGCCTTCCTGGAGCGATTTCCCAGTCTACCTGGTCATGTGGTTTTGCAGGACCTGCCGGAGCCGGTCGAGGACGCAAAATCGGTGGTTCCTAAGGACGTCGAGCGAATGGTTCATAACTTCTTCGAACCACAGCCTGTCATAGGTAATAAACAACAAACCTAGTACTTTATTGGTTGAGACTAACTGGAAGACAGGCGCCAAGTACTACTATTTGCGAATGATATTGCATGACCATACCGACGAGAATAGCAAAAAGATTCTGAGTAATCTAGTGCCGGCTCTGGGGGAAGATTCTCTTATTTTGCTCGATGAAATGGTTTTGCCCTCTGAGCACGTGGATGAGGCGTCCACACAACATGATCTGACTATGATGACGTTTCATAGCTCGATGGAGCGATCGGAGGAACAATGGGCGAAGCTTGTAGGAGCGGTAGGGCTGAAGATCAAGAAAGTGGTAATGTATGCACCGGGTTACAATTTGGGAGTTGTTGCATGTGGGCTCTGAGCGATCATAGTCACATTAAGAACTTGTTCGAGAGAATCGGCAGAGCGAATAATCTCAGCTATGCTCATGAATGGAATTTTTCCTGGGGTCTTTTGCGCTCCGTAAGTTGCCAGGTAGGACAAACATCGAAGAGTGAAAGATATTATACCAAAAGAGATACTGGCACGGTCAACCACTTGCCATTATCCTCCGCGTTCCTCATCCCATTCCAATCCACCATGCTACCCAGGCACCGCTTCCTACATCACACCCTTCAATTTTGTTTTTCAGTATTATACTCTATCATTTCTCTTCGCCCTCACATTATGAAAATATCCATCTCTCGACCTCTTCACTATCCAAGTCAACACCAATAGCGGAGTTTGCAGGAATCCGGCTACGGCTAGGAAATGGTTGGGATATATTTCTACGTCTTGATAGCACAGATTCACTATAACTTTCTAACTTATCATACGATATATAACTACCGGGAGATAAACCAAATCACAAAGTTCTCTTAAAATAAAGAAGCCTCTTAAGATCTTAAATGCCATAAGATAGAAATGCTAAGAAACTTAGGCACATTATAGCAGTAATGTATGAGTAACGTCCGCTATTGACAGCTCATAAATCATTTTGCCCTCGAATGCACATAGCCTCATCATCTGATTCCCATGCCATCTCTGAAGTCTCATAATAAATGGGGCTCCGCGTTGAGGTGATAAAGAAAGCTCTCCTGCTTATGCGCAATATTATTGCATATGGGAAATAACTTGACCTTATGCAAGCGATCCATTTATGAAGAACACCCCGCCCCGTTACATAGGAGCTTCTTCAACTTGAAGAGGTGCTTGTTAATTCATTGCATGCATGAGCGACGGCTTTTGATACAGCTTGTATCTGTCCGCACGGAATGAAAATTAGTATGTTCCCTTGTCTCCAGATATACATAAGAAACCCCCAACTTACATTCGCAACGTCGAAGACCTGGAAATGGTCGCCGGGAATATCCATATAAGGCATCTTTGCCTTTGTAAGAATCTCCCATCCCTCAATGGAAGTCCTGGGATCGGAGCGATCCTGCAACCAAGCGTTCTCCACCTCCCGACTACCATTGCTCGTATTTATAAGAAAGCCATCCCTTGATCGGAGCAAGAAAGTCCGTGGAATTGGTCGACTAGTACTTGTCACAGCCTCTGGTTTGAAAGCTCCAAGCATACCCGCGCAGGCTGTGAAGCTTTCCCTGACAAGGTTGCGAATAGTTTCACCGACCAAGCCACCTCTATTTTTATCGCCTTTTGTAACGGCGTCTATGATGTTCGCAGAGAGCGGCTTGTGATTGAGTGGCGGCGGTGAATCAATAAGAACTACACCAGTGACAGGGTAGCCTCCTGCCATTAGCACTCTAGCAGCCTCGAATGCAACAACACCACCAAACGACCAGCCACCGAGGATGTAAGGGCCGGAAGTTGTCCTTGCAATAAGTCGTGCGTAAGATTGTGCCATGGCAGGAATTCCTGACCAGGAATCTGAATCCAGAAATTTGGGGTCGTGGATCGCATAAACCGTGCGATTGAAGGGTCTCAGTCGGTGATATTGAACACAGATGCCGCTGCCGTCGTGGATGAGGAACAATGGGGCGTTTTTAGGAGCCTTGTCCTCGGCGAGATGCACTATTTCGGGTTGCTCTTGCAACCTGAGCATGGCCGCAATCTTCATCTTCATGGGCGCGGATACTTCTGTCTTTTCGGCTTTTGGTACTGGAGATTGTCTTTCACCACGGCTTCGGGGAGATAAAGGAGGAGAAATTTCAACTTCAAGTTGGGCTGGTCCTGCATCATCTATATTTGCCTGTAACATGTCAGGGACTGACTGTACACCTCTAAACAGCTGCCATTGCCTAGTTCGCTATATATGGACCTACTAATCTCTCGATATCCCTCACTGTCCTGCATTCGGATAGCTCCGAAGATGAAACTTTCTTGGGGTTCGATTGACTTTGCAGACGGGCCTCCAGTTCAATCATCATCAGTGAATCGATCCCAAGAGCCTCGAGCTCTACATCTGGCTTGACCGAGGTAATATGGGCACCACATGTTTCGGCGATTATGGATGCAATAAGTAGCTTATCTGAAGGCGTTGCCGGCGTTGCCGGTGTTACTGGCATAGTGACGGAGTCAACAGTCTCTGCTTCCGACACGGGTGTGGGTCCTGATTCGCCCACATCGCTGCACAGCTGCTCGATGTCCTCAACGGTCTCACACTCCTCCAGAGCTGATATATCAATTGGGGTATGAAGCATAGAGGACAGGTTGGAAGCAAGTTCAATCATCATGAGCGAGTCAAAACCGATGGCGTGAAGACTGGTCTCCGCAGTTAAGTTCGATGCTTCTAGATTGCAAGTTCTCGCAATGATCTCCCTGATAGCTGGTTGCTTGTCAACGGGCATGTCAGTAAGCTGTGAGTCAGGAGCCGGAGGTTTCGGAGCTACCACTGTGGCTCTCTTTACTGGAACAGCTTGATGTGAATGACCAGATCTCGCAGCCGTCAACCGGAGAGCTTGAGCCATTCTCGTTAGTTTCACTCGCTGAAAGGCCATGCCCTTGAAGACAGCAATGACGCCTCGTGAATCCACAGCATATGCGTCTGCTATGACCACATTGGTGGCTGCGATTTCGAGATTGCTGCAATAGACTTCGAACGTCGTATCTGACAAGGGGAATCCTCGAGTCATGGTAGCAGATTTGACCTCCTTGCAGATGCAGACTTCATCATTCTCAATATTGAGATTGGCGACGAAACCAGCAACATGAAGGAGGACGTCCATCAGGACCGTGTTCGCCCCCGATGGATCTCCTTGTGAATTGGGAAAACGACAAACTGCGAGTGCTTCATCTTGGTCGATGCGTACCGACTGAACCATCTGATACAATTCGGAATATTGGACGACCCGTGTGAAAATCTTTTCGTACATGGCTTTTCGGAGGAACACCTGTGTGTTCGATTGTTCGATGCGCAGAAACCGTTCCTTTTGCCGTTCCATGAGCGGCACTAGTTTTGCATACTTTTCAGCATGAGCAGTAGACCGTATCTTCAGCTGCCCTTGACAGTGAATCATTTGTTGCTGCGAATCCGAACCTGCGTTATATGAGGCTACAGTGAACGAATAGCCTGCCTTATGGTCACCGCTAGGCTTTATGGAAACCCTAACGATTACAGAAGAGTCTTCTGAGTATAGCAAAGGTGCCGGATATTGCACGTTCGAAAGTGTCCTGATGACTTCTTCACCTTGATCGAGCTGCGTCCACTTGGAAGCAGCTAGAACAATCTCGTGGTATACTGATGCAGGACAGAGAGCATATTCACAGACACGGTGCCCGAGAATATATTCCTTCAAGACCGCAATCGGCGTCTCAAAGATGGCCTCCCTGTTCGTCTCCGATGGGCGTTGAACAATCGTGGACAGGAAGGTGTACCCAGTTTGAGAATCAGCATTTTGATCACACTCACCCGAGCCTCTCTGAGCACTTTCATGTGGATAGTAGATACCAAATTCCTGCTCTGAGAATGGCATGGCCGGAAGGGTGGTTAAGGTTGCTCGCTCATCGAAGGCTTTTCGCCAATTCAACGCGGTAGTTGTTTGGTAAAAATGGGATAGGAGTCGAGCAACTGCCGTAGATGCTGGAGTTCCTTTTCGTAATGAGGGTAGAAGATCCGTAGCGTCTCTATCCAATCTAGTGCTAACCATTGGCAGCAAAGACGAATGAGGTCCGATTTCTACCCATCGGGAGATTTCAGCCCCCATTCCACTACGGGAGAGCTCATCAATGCCTGCGTTGAAAGCAACAGTCTGGCGACAATGCATGGCGAAATACTCAAAAGTGAAAGCTTTTTCGCCAGGTTGGATAAGGCGGCCAAACACGTTAGATAGGACAGGGATTCTCGGAGATGAGATTTCGAGTGTCTTGGCGACTTCTGTCAATTGACCCAATATTGGGTCCATTGCGTTTGTATGATAAGCCATTGGGACGTCGAGGATTTTCGACTTCGTCTTCATCGTACTGAGCCTTGCTTTCAGCGATTGGAGCTGACCGATTGGGCCCCCAACAACGCAATCAGAATGACTGTTATCACAAGATATAGCCAAATCTTGAAATTCTGGGCTGTTGTCAATGTGCTGTCTCACAGTCTCTGCACCGAGGTTAACCGCGAGCATTGACGTTGTTTCAAGCTGACACAGCTCCATCATAAGTTTTGCTCGATGGGCTACCAGTTTCAGACTGCTTTGCAAATCAATCACACCAGCAATGACGAGGGCAGCGTACTCTCCCAGGCTAGTAACCAGGTTAGCTATAGAATTGTAGAAGAGAGATCTGGTGTGTGAGCATACCTGTGACCGAGCACGATAGTTGGCATGACACCAAGAGAGATAAGCAGGCGTGCTAGTGCTACCTCCAAGACAAAGACTGCTGTCTGAAGGGATTGTTGTAGTAGCGAAGATGAGTGAGATTGCTGTTCTTGGTTGTCTTTGCATGCGATTACATCGAGACATCCCGGATATCCATTGCTCAATAACCATCGTTCGCAGTCCAGGACCACTTTTTTAAATTCAGGGTAAGCAGTTAAAAGCTCATGGCCCATTCCTAGGTACTACAATGTTTGTCAGATCTTCAAATCCAGATATATTGTAATGGAGCTTCACCTGTGATCCTTGACCAGAGAATGCGAATACCGCACGTGGCTGTGGATTTGCCGACTCGCGAATGTTGTAAATCTCTGCATTTCTCAAGTTATCGACTATTTCCTGTATAGTCGAACCGGTAACAGAGATACGGTAATCAAGGATCTGGCGGCGAGCCGTGCTGGTATAAGCAACATCACGAAGAGAACTCGGTACCGAAGGAGCCTCCAGATAAGAGAGCAGCACATCTTTATAGGCAAGGAGGCTTGTGGTGCTTCTTGCCGAAAACCCAAACATATAGCTGTGAGCCTCGCACTGCTCCTCATGTTGAGGGGGAGCTTTGGGACTGGAATACTCTTGCAGTATCAAGGCACCGTTGGAACCCGCTGCACCAAAGTTGTTAAGTAGAGCAAGCCGCGGGTGTCTCGAAGGTCGAGGCCAAGTAGCACCGTCACGGTCAATGACGGATCCGTCCGTGCCAAGGTCTTTGATCTTACGGTTGAGTGTCTTGAGGGATATCTGCGGGGGTATTTGCCCATGCCTCATCATCAGAAGTAATTTCGCCAATGCTGCACCGCCGGAAGCGGCCTCGCAGTGGCCGATGTTGGCTTTGATAGAGGTAAAATGGAGAAGGTTCCCTGGATCTCGACCGTTGCACAATGCACCGCGAATACTAACAAGCTCATTTGGGTCCCCAGCTTGTGTGCCCGTGCCATGTGTTTCCACCACAGTAATCTGTAAACATGTTAGTAATGCGCCAGCATCTGATGGTAGCAATCGAGCGGAAGATGCCTGGTGCCTGGCGGAGAACAGAAATTCCTGTGGCTGGTATAAGTTACCCGCTTGGAATTACGCACCTGATGAGGATGGATTTGGGTTTTCTTTAGTAACGTCTGAAATAAGTCTTCCTGCGTTGGTGAATGAGGATGCGTTATGGAATGCGCATTGCCACTTTGGTTAATCTCAATGCCTCGAATAACCCCGAGAATTCGGTCACCTTCCGATAGTGCATCACCAAGTTTCTTAACCACGAAAGCCGCACAGCCTTCAGACCGGCAATAGCCATCTGCTGAATCATCAAATGGCTTGCATTGGCCAGTTGGACTTAGGAAATGTGCTCGATCGAGACCAAGATACATCTAATGCGCTGTCAGTTCATAATAATTTCAGAAAGTGGCTCCATAGGCTTGGAGAATATCATCCTTGTGGAAAGATTTACTCACGTCAGGACTAGTGATGACATTTACGCCCCCAACCAATGCCGACCGACAGTCTCCAGCCTGGATAGCTCGTGCTGCTTGATGAATGGCTACCATCGATGAGGAACAAGCCGTATCCAAAGTGATAGATGGCCCACTCCATTTAAAGACGTAGCTTATCCGTCCACTCTGAAAAGCGCGTAACGTTCCTTAAGGAGAAGAGGTTAGCATGCCACGGTATCGATGAGTCAAGCATGAAATGAATTACCGGGGCTGTAGTAGACATCAATGTGGTCTCTAAGATTGTCGGTATAGTCCAATGTAGCGTTTCCAATAAAACAACCGAACGTCTTCCTGGAGAATGACGGGGTTGAATCAGGCACATATCCAGCATCTTCGAGTGCTCGGTAGGCAGTTTGGAGCATGACTCGTTGTTGTGGGTCCATTGACTGGGCTTCTCGACGGGAAATACCAAACAGTTCGTTGTCGAATATGAATGGGTTTTCCAGGAAGTTGCCGTACTTCGTTCGCAGAGTACGGCCATCTTCCTTCTGATAAAAGTCCTCCACATGGAACCTTGAAGACGGAATCTATAGAACTCGAGTCAGTTGGGAAGCGGCCGGGGTAATGTTTGAGATCGTTGGGCTTCACCTCAGTGCAAGAATTAACGCCGTCGACCAAGTTTTGCCAAAGAGCATCGGTATTGGGAGCACCTGGAAGGTCCACACCCATTCCCACGATAGCAATATCATCAGGTGACAGCAACCCGGAAGCGTCTTGTGGCGAGGGCCGTTGTTCGACGATTGAAGCAGGTACAATTTTCACGTTATCTGGGAGGTTATGTCTGGCTCCCGACATGCCGTATCCAGGACCGAAATTCAGAATTTCATAACAAGCATCCGCAGCGGTGGCTGATTGCTTGATAGTAGCAAGAATGTTATGCTCAACCGCTGCCCAGTCCGCCGGCTCTAAAAGCATCATCTCGAGGAGCTTCTCGCAGAATTCTTCAACCGTTGCCAGCTGGCCTGAGTCGATCGGCTTCCCATCAACATTAGAAAACAGTGGGACAATAAGATGTAAGGGTGCTGGGGATAAGAGCATGTTGTTTCGGAGGTCTTGAAGGACATCCATTCGGACTCCCTCGAGCTGACGACGGTTATGATACAAAGAAAAAATAGTCGTTGGCCGTATCTTGCATTGGGAGGGCAAGCTGCTTTGACTGAACTGCCGAAGATGATCACCTCTACCGCTCAGGGTGACACAAGTATCGGAGTTGATGGCACTCAAGTAAACGTAAGAAGAAGGATACTATAGCTTTAAAATCAGCAATTGGGTCTTTCTGATCTCTCTGATCATGTACAAGTCATACCCGTCTATTGTGTTCTTCAAGCAGCTCTCGGGTGTGCTGGGGCGTAATCCCATCAACGACCAAACTCCAGGGCAGATCTGGTGGGCAGCCTTCTTTGGCCACCATAACCTGCCTGTAGGTTTCAATCCGGATGCCTAAATGCAGAGCTACGTAGAAGAAATCTTGGCCCCGAGAGAGCAGTTCGATTGTATTCTTGGACGTGGCCAGAGCTGCACAAGGCAATAATCCGGCACAAAATCCAGCCACACCAAGAAGGAAACCAGGCTTCTCCTTCGAGTGTCGTAGATATCGTAGAAGCTGAATTGTGTACATGGATACATGTTGAATAATGCTATTCCGTTGATAACACGCCCGAGGTCGTATGAGGCTTTCCGGCTCCGCGAAGTCTTCCAGGTTGATGTCCGAAGGTAGACGCTGGCTCTGGATGACGGAGGTGATCTCTTTCACAAAGATGCCATGGCACGCTCGTAATATAATCTGGCCCTCTGGCGTTCTAGCGTCCTCGGCCGCAGTCGCCAGAGTTCGTTCTGAGAAAAGCGCTTCCGAACCCAAGCCTGCGAAAATAGGAATTTGATTCATCTTGATACGGTGTGTTGAAAACCGCGGGGGATGCCCGAGAATCAAGACGAGTTGATTGATCGTGCTGGGAAGCAAAGAGGAAAGCAAAGAGGGAGAGGATGGTGCTAAACACGGATGACATTTGTATATCTATATCCCGTTATCCTTCTCTGAATGCGTGAGATGCGTGCTTACTACAGCTAACTGGACATGACTACTGGAAGAACAGGGTTAAGGAGTAGGAAACTGACAAATCGACGCCCTGACACAACCCAATTCCTCATCAGAGCACCGGCACTTGGCCGACTGAACGCTACCGGCTGACGCCAAACAAGATCTTCATGAGGCGTTTCTAGACCAGCATACCCACCGATACGAGTATATCGGAATTCCCACCAATTCGGCGGCGCGGATAGAACCATCAGTCTTCAGGGTTTCAAAGATTCCATACGAAACAGGAATGATCCTGAGGACTCGATACAAACACCCTGGGCGATTATTACGGCACATCCCCGAGACAAGCCAGCAGTTCCCACCCTCTACTGAAACATGCACATGTTACAACAACATGAAGAAAATCGGGTCCTCGATCCACACTCCCTAAACGGTCTGAAGGATTCCGGACTCCTTCGGGAACGGAACAGGCAGAATCCACATCCTTAGTGGCCGCTTCCCGCCTCGGTCTTCCGTGGATCATCCGTATAGGGTCCACTGGGTAATTCGAACAACGCAGCGTGTGCTCACGTCTCATGCCTTTATCGCGGGAGGGCAGTGTAAGAAGGTGATCCCTAAAAGGATATCTTACGGCGGCTACTGGAGGACACCCTGATAAACCGAGTCAGGAAGGACACGCGGGCCGGGAACCAGTGGTGAGAATCTGTATATGTAAGAAAAGCGCCCGATCACTCGATCAGAAAGGATGAACGAGAATTTTGATGTGAATAGTGGCAGAAACTACCTCGGTGGCCACCGAGGCATTAAATGTACCCCTTCCCGTCTACATACAAAATTGGCTCATATAGCATAAAGGAAAAAGGTGTAAAACAGTTAGATTTGGAAGTTAGATAACGAGTGTTCTCTGACCAACCAGAAATCAGGATTTGGTTATCTGTTTGGAGCAGCCACGCCTCGCTGCCTGCCTCTGCAGTAGCCGTTCCCTTGCAGTCTACCCGTCTGACCACCCAGGCGTTAAATACATCTCTTTTGATTTACATATAAAATTGGCCTATATAGTTTCAAAGTCCATTGAATTTGTGCCTCTATAACAGTCTATACTCACCAGAATCTATTGTTCTCTGTTTATATTTCTTAATCAAGTATGGCCCGTGGGAAGGGATCCTGCCGTAGCCGCCCACTGGGAATCCTTTTAGGGAATCGCCAGGGAAGGAATGGCGTCAGCCGCACCAGGTGTCCAGGCCCACTCGTACGCGTAGATGTACCTAAATCGTCAAGTTAAGGGGCCGGAATAGCAAAACTTTAGGTAGCTTTGACTCCCGGTTTGGTCCCCACTGCAGTCCTCTTGCAGAAATCATCTGTTCTAACCAGACGGAAGGTCAAGGTGGGACAGTTGTTTACTCCACCTGAGCATATGCAATGTTATCAAGTAGTGTTATTTTGTATCGACGGAGCGAATAGGGGCAGGAAGATGATGATGCATTATCTGACTGACTCTACGTGATTATCTACGTGAAGGTACCCTGGTGACTAGATCGCGTGTGGCTGGCAAATCAGACTCGCAGATTCTGGCCACGTTGCTATACGGAACGACAGGTGCAACCTCGAAGCTCCTGAGATCCATGTTAATGTATAGCCGGACACACCGACCAGAGCCCCATTCCTTCTTTCTTTATCTCTTTTGGGGGTCAGGTACCGCCTGTATCTAGGTTATGCCCACGCATTTTCCTACGGCCGGAAAGTCTGCAGAGGGTCCAAACCAAAACCAGGGATTACTGCATCGGACTATAATTGAAGTCCTATGAATCTATATCTATCTATTCTTCTCTCTTTCTCTCTCTCAGGTGTTGACTCCACTCTATTCACCTGCCCTAGCCAGTAGGACGGCAAGGCCTAGCCGTAACAAGTAGCCGTACTATATACTCCTTTATCTATGCACACCTCACCCCCCAAAAACCAAAAAATAAAAATAAAAAAATAAAAAATAAAAATAAAAATAAAGCCTCTCGAGGTTCAAAAACGTAGAGCCGATCGTCTAACCCTTATCTCAAGGAGAGTTGCCTATCAGTGCATACGTTGCGTCAAGAGCTCCATCTGAGTGGCTGCCATTCCATATGTCAAGATGTTCTTGATAGGCTGTCCACGTGTTAATTTCAACTGCTCCAATCGACGAGCAAAGGCTATCGTCCGTGAAAAATGTATTATCAAAAGTGTGCTCCGCGAGAGGCCCTGTCAGTACATCAAGCGGGTTCGCGGATGATGGCGTAGTTGAGGTTGTAGTATCGGGTGATTGCTGCAGTGTCAATCCCGGGGCGATTCTGTCGCGGTTGTTCGTCTGCTCCGACTTTTCATCCAGGTTGGTCAGTACGTCATTCAGTTTCGCCACAAGTGATCTCGTGAGGTTTTCAGCTCGAGCAGCGAAAGGTTCGGTTGCTGCGAAGGCCTCAAATACAGCCAAGGCTTTGAAGATCCACATGATTGCCCTACGTGATCGCGAAGAGGATGGGTTCGCTACAACAAATCCAAGAATGGTCACCGTGGCATTCCACAACGGGTGAAGGATTGCGGGCAAGCCAAAAAAAAGGTCGGAAGAAGAGCAGAGGTCGTGCACGATAATCGTCATGGTTATGGCGTGCTGGAGCGAGCTGCGAGCATGCTGGTCTGTTTGGGGCTGATGGACAGTGGAGGAATTGGAAGGTCGTGGAAAACAGATGAATGGCCGCTGAAGCATGATATATGCATTATGATAGTATACTTCAAGTAGAACCCGCTGGTGGTGGAGCCAGCTGGGTGCTCCGAGCTCTAACACTATCGGACTCTCTGCAGTGGACATAGATTCTCTGTGGCCCGTGTTCTTCCTGGGGCTAAGGAGGTCCTCCGGTAGTTCATTGCTCCATTTCTCTAGACAAGCAAGCGATGTGGCTAGCAGGTTCGCTCGCTGTTCTAGCGCTGCGACGTTGCTGGCATCCTCGTATAATTTCGACGTGGAAATCAGTCGTTGGATCTCGGCAAGAGACACTGAGAACTTCACCGCATGAACGAAATAGGTCGAGACGTGCAAATTCTTCCAAACCGTCGTGTTTCCCGGCATCGTAGTTAGTTCATCAGCTGACGGCAAAGCACACGTTATCGTAGCGGTCTGTACACCGACTGGCTTCCCAAGCTGCTGGGAGCATTTTATATCGAGCATGAAGAGTAACCACCAAATCCGTCTCTGGGCTATTTTCTCTTTTGGCTGAAGACGCTCGCTAGGCTCCTCATGTAGATTGACACTATGGCTGTCGCGAATGGCGGTGCCAAGCAGGCTGTAGGCCTCCCTGAAATGGCTTGCATTCATGAGGTACAAAGACATCAGAGCGTAACATTGCATCGATAGGAGCGTGGGCTCGGTCAGAAGGGCAATATAATCGCGGCAGCGACAGAAATATCCGTACCCTATCCACGAGATGTTGACCGCACAACGGCGCAAAGTCAGGATGCGGGAAGTCAGGCCGGCTCCATGGCCATACTGGATTCCTAACGCCGTCATACAATTTACCAAAGCCTTGGTCAATTTCCCAACCTCGGAATCTTGTCGCCGATCCAGAGCCAACAGTGATTGAAATTCCGCCTCATCCGAAGCTTGCAAGAGGGGATGATAGGCTTCCCAGAACAATCTCAGAAAATATGTTTGTTGGTCCTCGGTCAAGTGCTCATTGCAAGGGGGTTGGCTGTCCGCCGACGCTGCGATCTGCGGCAGATCAGGAAATGGACCCGGATAGGCAGTTTTGAGATCCGTCATTGCTCCGTCGGCCGAGGTGCGCAACGTGGTCCTGGAATCGGCAAAGAAGGCATCGATTTTGGCGAAGACATACGCCGGACGGTTGAGCAGCTCCATGTGCTCGTCCAGCTTCACGCGGCCATGACTGGGGATAATTATCTCGGTGGCACTGCCGGCAGAGGCTGAGGGCATTTGCGGTCGGCCGACGGTGGCCGGCGCCAGGGAGATTTCTGGTTTCTCCGGAGACGCATCGCGTCGAACTCGGTCCCTGGGACAGGGCTCGGGGTGGTGCTCTTTTCTTCAACAGCAAGGAATAATCAGCAATCATCCCACTCCAACTGCCAGATCTCCTTACCCGGTTGAGACGAGGATCTTAGACTTTTGCTTGGCGGCTGGACCAGAGGTCCACGTACATCTGACTTTATCAAGCACACAGCGCGGACACGGTTTCTCCCCGCACTTGATGCGGAAGGTACGACATCGATCGCATGCCCGTGATACTTTCTGTCGTTGTCTGGATGGCAATACCGAGCTCGAAGCGCGTTGATCAGGACCATGTCGCGCTGGCGCAGCTAGATTGAACGTGTGAAACATTGAAKGCAAAGCCCGTGGACGTATTGTGGGGGTGGGTGGTCCCTACGCAGCGAAGAGAGAATAAATAGGAAGGATTGTAACATTGTTTGATGGAGTTCTGCTGATCAAGTCCAGCCTAGCACCTTCCCATCTTATAACGACGACCTGGCGGGGCGTTGGCCGCTTGCAGGGCGTCGAGACTGCAGACATGGTTGACATGGTTCGCAGACACGAATGCGATTCACTATTCTTGCAGATACTATTATTCTTGCAGATACTACTTTTCCTGCAGACGCGATTCCTGCAGACACTATTCCTGCAAGCTACCAGCAAGCGGTTCTCGGCCCGCTCATTCGACCAAATGACGGCCCGTCTCCGAGCATCGGACGGTCCCCTTGTCCATTTCTTCAGCAAGGTCGCATACCAGTGTAACACATGTCCGCGAAAATGTCACGGTTCGGCTAAAGGTAAGCACTAATCCCCATAGCGGATATTTTAGTGCCCTCCAATTTGCCTCACAGTGCGCACAGGTGCACACACTAGATTAGTATATGAGTTGTGAGAGGGGGAAGCTTTGGCCCCCACGCAGATCTTCAGTGCTTGTTGAGCCTTCGGTGTGTTGCGATGTCGCAGACTGCCGCAGTTTGAAAGTGAGCTTTGGCAGGGCGGCAGAAAAAGGTTTGAACTTTGAAAGGCGGTCAGAGATACGCCATATATAGATAGTCGCTCACCGAGAGGAGTTCTCTAGGACTGAACCGCCTTGAGCATTAATGAAAAGCTATCGCCATTATGAGCGCAACGCTTCATAACTGACTCTCATTAACTGTACGTAATTGGTTTGCAATAGCTGCCTTATCTAGGTATATGATGATACAATCGGGTGAAAAGTCTGTGATAGGTGGCCCACTTATCACCCTGTCAACCACGGAGTAGAGGGGTCGGAAATAGTACCTAGGATTCCCCCATTACAAGCAGCGATTCCGAAATCTACCTGATTTCGAAACCTACGTCCACAAATCAGAGGACGGGAGAGATACACGACCGATCCAGACTCACACCTCATGACCCACCACTACGGCAGCCTCACGACTGAGGAAACTCACTTCATAGGCAATTCTAGACATAGGGCCAGAACCAGCCTCCTATTGACCATCACAATGAATACTCCCTTAATTTAGTGATCCCATGAAGTATGTGCAGCCGTGAGGTGGTGCTCACAATGTACAGATGAGGTCGGGACAAGAGATAAGGATCAAACGTAATACCGAATACGAGGCGCCACGATTGCTTCGCTACGCCAAAGTGGAGAGAGGAGTAGCCTTCATGCAGTGAGATGCTCGGCAGTGCTACCAGTGGTAGGCCACAGAGCCAGATATCACTTCTTTTCTTTATCAATGCGCAACTTTGCTCCCAGATCACGATAATTGAGATTCATCAAGGGAAACGGTGAATCGAATTGCGAGCCGCCGCTTTCTGTGATTCAGGTGATGTGAGACGTGCCAGAGCAAAGGAAATATGCCAATGGTATTACTTCTTCCCATCAAACTTCTACAGGGGCTACTTTCCGCGTGCTGCAGAAGGCCACTTGTAAAGGTGAATGGCCCTGTGCAAGGTGGACATTGGAAATCGAGGTGAGAACCATATAAGGAATAGCTTTCTTCTTGGCAACATTCAAATGCTAGCTATATTGACTTCTCAGAATCCATTCCAGAGACACATGCTCCAGCTTCAAGGTGCAACGACATTTCGGGATGTCTGGAAAGGGGTGAAGGGCCCCCTAGGTAGAGAATATTTTCCCAACGTGGATTATCACGTGCTTGTTTTTGTTTCTCAGACACATCTACATATTAGAGAGATCATGAAGTAGGAAAGACTAACACTGTCACGATTTGCCAGGCTAGTAAAGTACTGCTGACATTTCATACTCATCTAGATTATCCTCTGTCGCGTAATCAGGACCAGATGAGCAAATATGGCAAGTATTGTGGTTAAGGGAGTCTCTCAGAAGCTGCTGCTTGGCTGAAGCAAATAACAAGCTTTTTTTTCGCGTCGTGAGCAGTAAGGCGATATCTTGTTTGTGTAACTTGAGTGATGTTATTCGCATTCCAAATTCAAGGCACTCTCTTCTGCGGCGCATTGATCACGGGCTAGGCGGGGCATAGCTGGACCGGCCCGGGACCCGCGAGCTTAAGGTCAAAATTGGACCTACCGCTTCGTGGCCAAACGGCCAAGCCATGCCCGGACCGGGTGAAAATATAATCCGGAATGGCTCTGCGGAGCATTCCTTTTCATTTCAGGGGATGTACCGCCTCTCTCCCACTACGTGGGCACACTGTCCGGGTAGTAATTCGACCGTCCGGCCAGCTGGAACGCTGATAAGTAGGACCTTCTTTCCTCACACACAAAGAGCGCATTCTTGACAAGTGATCATACAGGTAAGTCCTTCAATTTCTGATATTCACTGATGGCCAACGCCTTATCTTTAATGCCTGGGGCATATACAACTGAATACACTGAACTAACGTGGTTTTGCGTGGGTAGCTCAGATAATCCACTGGAAACTGTACTAACAAACTCTCTTCCCCTCCCGCGTACCCCCCAACTGGGGGGCGGGGGCCCAGATGTTTAGAGGCAAGGAAACGTGAACAACTTTATCTGTAAGACTATTGATGGTCTGGTTGATGGCGTCACGATTCATTCTTTCACTTGGCTGTCAAATACATATCCAGGAGTAACATGAATAAGTAAAGGTGAAGCTGTGACGACGTCCCTTGTGTCAAGTGTTACCAAGCAACCTTAGGAAGAGATGAAGAGCACCCATGAAAAGCAACTGCTCTTAGCCAAAGGTGTGCGCGCGGCGCCTGTCCGATTACGCGGGCCGGCTAAAGTTGACCATTCGAAACGTGCTTATTCAAATCGATTCCGGCGAGGTGGTACCGTGGCTTTTACAGGTTGGTCGGGGCTGTGATACTCTCTATAAAGTCAGGAGAACCATTTTCATTAATTCGAGGTTGTTACCTGTCTATCTTCATTCTCTTGGGCACGGTCGCAATCATGTCCGTCCTAGCTTTGCATGCTCTACTGATCTTTCTTTGCATGATTAGCGCATGTTCTGGAATGATTATCTATATCAAGCTGTTTTCTAGACAAATAGTACTGAGTGATTAAACCTTCCTTGTTCCCGATATTCCTGTTGCCAATGCGTACTTCTCGATGTTGCACCTTCAATCCCCACAGTATACGATTTAATATTGCGCAAGTACTGATGGAGTTGAAGACCATTTCGGGACTTTTGATTTTCAATTACAATGGTGCAGAGAGTTACATGACTAATTTGCTTCTCGTTAAATGTGTAGGGATAACGATTGAGTGCGGCTTGCTGGCAGTTTTCGTTTTACCAATATCGACCACATCTTATAAGTGCAACCTTTCCTCAGATTTCCGATTCTTCTCGAATCCACACTTCCCGGCTAAAAGGAGGTTTATATGTCGACATTCGTGTGCAACAAATGCCACCGCATCATTACCAGACAAGACAACTTCGGACTGTAACGAGTTGTATTAACTCGATACTACCAGTGTCCTGATATCTCTATACCCCATTCAGCCTTACTCCTGGAGAGGACCTGGGGTATGGTGGGAGTCTCCTGACAGGGTGACGTGGCATGCATATGGGCGGCTAACAGGTGGCCAACGGGAGGCCGAGAAAGAGCCTCATTCGGATCATTGATAGAGCGTAAGAATGGTAGGAAAATGGCATCAATAGAAGCTCACAGATCAGGTGGGCTGGCTCTCATGAGCTCGAGAGGCATATATTTGTAGCCATGTCCAATCTGCGCCGCTTGGCTTCTGTGGTAGCTGGTTGCCAAGTGATCTCATTTCTACTCAAAATACTCTTCGAAGAGCAAGATTAATGGCCCCGAATAAACAGCCCAAGATTTGCCTGGATGTGGCAGTCGACCATCGGATCAGACGGCTTTTCAAGCCTGTTTCTGATGACCTGACAGAACCTTCCAATCATGTCTCCCACATTGAGGCACGAGGGCTGTCACTGAAGCGATCCCACAGCGAGATCCAAGTTACTAGTCAGCTTGCAGGCCCAGCAATGAAGGGCGGCATAGCCGTCGTTCTGCAGCAGCCCCGGCACAATCATCCATTCGAGGAGGGTCTCAGTGCCGTCATTGACAACTGCGAAACTCTCTATGCTCTTGATGATATATTTTCTGCCGTCTCCTGCGAGTCCCTAAGCATTCGGACTAACATCACCGTCGTCGACTTGCTGTCCTACATGTCCGAAGACATAGCAAGTATCGGCGATGAGATCCTGAGAGAATCATTTCGTGCGTCAGCACACATTATTCTTGATAAGGAGCCCTCTATCTTGCTCTGCGCGGGTAAGTTCTGGCTACCAAATGGGCGCGGATTTGATGGCCCAAAGGGGGATGCCTGGAAGTTTGAAAGCATCGGCGTTGGGAAGAAGTTTGGTATCTCTTCCAAAGCCCCCGTTCAATTGAGGATCCGTCATAGGGAGAGGGGGTTTGTTGCCATTCATAGGATAAACGGATTCCACCCAAGCTATGCAATGAACTATCACCCGCATGTCAGTATTTTGAGGCAGCTTCAGATCTTGATAGGTGCCGAGACTTGTGCGATGCTAAGAGGAGACTGGGAAGACGAAGAGTGGATGGATAAATTGAGGCGTCGCTGCCATGACTTTTCCAAAGAACAGGCAGGTAAGAGACAAATCCTCAATCCCAAGGTATTTCTCCTCTGCTTCACAGACCCTCCTATTGACTTCCTTTTCTCAATAAGAGTCGCCAAACCAATCGTCTCGGCCGCAGAGCCCGGGCGAAAGCACAATCAGACGCAATGGTGCCAAGTATTTGCCATGGTACCAAGAGCTCTACTCTGAGAAGCTGGACAGCATACATAACTGTGTCCAGTCCCTTATTTCAGAATCAACACTGGCAATAACGTCGTCCACGGAGCTTTACGAAGCCCTGCTCACCAGCGGTCTAAGCGAAATTTGTAATGATGCAACCCTTATCTTGCACCAAATGTCTCGTTTACAGCACGAAGGGTGGCCCGACTCCGTAGGCTGGAAAAACAAGGCCGCCCTAAAGGAAGCCGCAAGTGATACAGTACGATTCACCAAGGGGCTGCTTAAAGCCACTGAGTCTGGCAAAGCCACGCAGTTCGCGAAGATTATCCAAGAGGGAGCAAGCTATGTCCTCAGGAGCATATTAACGAGTGTGGGGGGCAGACGACTCCAGTATGAGCTGGACCTCGAACAAGCTTCCGCGGCATTTCTCAGGATCGCTATGAATATCGAACACTACTCATGGATCTCCTACTAGAAGGTGAGAAGGCCCTACATGCTTTGGGGCAAGAAGAGATGTTATCAAGTGAATTGGAGAAAATGACATTGGGCTCAGCGATTCAGCAAGCTGCGTAACCCTTGTCAAGCGCCAGCAGTACAGGGGTGGAAAGAGAACATAGGGCGGCGCGTTTATTTTTGGGTTAGTAACAAGCCTTTGTAATACTCCTTATTTCCATTTAATGGTATTCCATGCCCTAAAAGAAACGTAGTGAGAGATAGGGATAGTAGTAAAACGCCTGCACGCGTCCGCAGGAAAGGATTTGCCTTTGGTCGTGTAGGATGTTTTTTTCTCCACTTGCCTCTTAAGGTCAAGCCTTCCGTTCCATTAGGGTTCTAGGGCTCTGTATGCATGGTTTCTCTTTCATGATTGTTGATGACTATTTGTTTCTTATATCGTGACGGAATCCAATTCCAACATCACCTGACAAGTTACATGGGTATGTAGACCTCGCCAAACGCGGGTTTAGGGCGGGTTTAGGGCGGGTTTTGGTTTGAAGGACCCGCCCGTGGGTTATGCAGGCCAGCTGCAAATGGTACAGCTTCTCCTATCCAATGAGGTGGATATGAACTGCACAAACCGGCATCGCGAAACCCCACTTTTGCATGCTAAAGAGGGCCATGAAGCACTGGGGCGGTTGCTCCTCGTGCAGCCTGGAATTGAGCCCGATTTGGTCGATCGTCCCTGGCACGGGCATTCTTATTGGTGACACCCCTGGCCTGTGCAGTGATGAATGGCTATGCAAGTATTGTGCATCCGTTGCTAGAGACAGGCCGAGTGAATGCCAACTGCAGAGGCAGTCTAGACCCCGCTCTCCTATGCTGCGGCATTGGACATGTTATGGCGATGCGAATCCTGCTCATCACTCCTGGCATTGGCATTGAGCTGACAAACTTGATCAATCGGACAGTTCATCTATGCAGTGTGCGGGAGTCTGGAGGATGTGGTTCAATTGCTTCTGCATACGGAGGGAGTGCGCCCTGATCATGGTAATGTCACTAGGGATACGCCTCTGAGCCTGGCAGTTGAAGAGGTAATGAAGTGATCATCAGACCCCTCTTAGACGGAGAATGCAGTTCTGATTCCCGTGATCAAAGTTTACATGCGCCAATATATATAGCTGAAAGATTTGGGAATGATTGCATTACCCAAATGTTTGAAGGAGAGGAGCAAACCTTTTATTCCCCAAGGCCTCCGATGAGTAGGCGCACACGAAGAGAATATAATAAGCAAATACCAGGAGCAATAACTGACTTTTATTGTTCACCCTCCCCCAACGCATGTTCTCAAGATGGTGCTATCTAGAACCTTTGGTTCCTTCAATTCTTCTCCACTTGCTGTCGTCAGACCCTGCCAAGTCCATAATTCCTCGACGAATGGAAATGATGGAGTAATCTCACGACTATGCATACAGTGGCATCCTCATGTCCACTTAGTCCCTTTTAGGCTCGTCATAAATCGGAAGAGATACAGAGGTAAGAGCATGGCAAGGAAGATTGGGTTCCACGTCAGCCACTACGAATTAAAAGGGTGATCAACCAGCTTGCCAGCTTGGCAACGAATTCACTGTTACGGATATCCAATAGTATGAGCTTTGAACCAATTCTTGAGTTAAACTTATTTTGCCGAAACCCTCATAATCAAATCCTTTGACCCACATCCCGGAGTCAGCACTGCCGGAGTTACGGCTGTATCGGTTTTAAGAGCATACGGAGGCAGATAAGCTCAAACTTGTCAGCAATTAGTATCAGATGGCCATCAGCACTCTATATTTTCCCGAAGATTAGCCAGATGATTAGTCGAATAGTATCCATTGTATGAGTGACTACAGGTCAGCCGACCTTTAGGAAAAGTTCGGATATTCACAACTAAGGTCGGGTAACTCCGCTTCAGGTCAGAAACATTCACTGAGACATATTATGGTCACATGACATTCCCCACTATAAAGGTCGGCTGAGCTCAATACTGTAACTTACCTTCTTACATCTCTCTCATCTCTCTTCCCCCCCGCCCCCMTTTCGATTTTTTTCTTTKAACTAGTTGTCAACTAGTCTCTATCTACTCTGACTTCTCTTWTTCTCTACTTTTACCTCTCCCCTGAACACCATGTAGGTAGGTCTTCTCCTTTTTAATACTATTACCATCATCTCAGAATACTCTCACCTTCATCTCACAATTCCGGCTGCCCAACTAGTTAAGAACTAGTTAGGAAATCTACATTATTATCTTCTGGCTAACTAGTTCTTAACTAGTCCAATCATCCAGAATGGCGCTCGTGAAGAAAGCTGTAAGTGATTTCTTTAACTAGTTCAGAACTAGTTAAGGACTAGTTAAGGACTAGTTCATATGCTAACCTGATTATAGGAATCTTACAAGAGCTACCTTGAGTTGGGTCMTGACAAGCTGAACCTGCCTCCCTTTCAGTCAAATGTAAGTTAACATATACTAGTTATTGACTAGTTACTAACTAGTCCACAGGAAAAGGGCTATCTTGAGATCTTCCTTGGGGAGGTATTCTGTCGCCATCCTGGCTGCATCAAAGAGGTATGTAAAAGAAATCTCTGTTTAAAGTAAACTAGTTACTAACTAGTTCTATTCAGGGCCGCTTCCTTTCCCTCAATAACCTAAAGAAGCATGTTCAAACGGCACACAAGGGCAAATACAACATTTATGCCACTGAGGGAGGTGCGCCAAATCATGATGAGCAGGCTGCTGCCATTAGTAAGTACCAATCTAACTAGTTCTTGACTAGTTACTAACTAGTTATAGACTTCTACAATACTCTGTACGAGGAGTATGTGGCTACTCTGAAGCAGGATGCACCAGACCTCCCCGCACTCCCTAAAAGAAAGGATGGAAAGGTAAGTATCTTATATTTACTAGTTTTTAACTAGTTCCCAACTGGTTACTAACTAGTTTAGGTGCACGCAACGAACATGAAAAAAATGGTTAAAGAGATGGGGGGCGTGGTGCCGTGTTCTGCTTGCAAAGATAAAAAGAAGCCAAGAGGTAACTTATAAGATTCTAACTATATTCTTTTAACTAGTTACTAACTAGTTCTTTAGGTTGCTGCTCAGAGGCAGCACGCACCTTCTGCGACAACTTTGACCTTTTTGATGAAGATGGTGAAGAGGAGGAGTCGGATGATGAGGAGGAAGAGGAGACTGATGAAGAAGCCTAACTAGTTTAAAACTAGTTAGGTATGAACTGTTCCTTTGTTTTATGGAGGTTTGAAAGGCGTTTTAAACTAGTTAATCTAGTTAAAGGCGTTGGTGGTGTGAGCTTTTCATGAAATGTAAACTAGTTAATAACTGGTTATTAACTAGTTTTTGGCTGTTCCTGGCCTCTACTTAATATCTCATTTTCCTGTATCCGAACCTGAAGTAATCTTTCCTCAAGCTGAACACGTCTTGCAAGTTGTTCAAGTGCACGTTCTTCTATCTCATACTGTGCCTGCCGTATCTGTAAATTCTGAACTTGCAGATTTGCAGTAGCTGCACGTTGTAGTTGCCTGGGGTAAAGAATAACTAGTTAGTAACTAGTTACTAACTAGTTATTAATAGAAACTTACGGTGATTGTGCACTTCTAAGAGATGTTAGTATATACCTATTAATAATATCACTGGAGAACTTACCTTGCTGGACTTGGTGAGGGGATACCTAAGAAAGGAGCTGGAGATCTAGGAAAGGTTAGAAATTACTAGTACTGAACTAGTTTTTAACTAGTTAGAAACTAGTTAAGGGAACATACTCGGATGGAGACTCAGAATATAGCCTAGTATTATAAGTATTTAGAATTAGTACTTAATAAAATAGGAATAATCTATTTACGTACCTTCTTGGGGCTGCCCTAGGCATTAAGTATGGGGTTGAGGTTCTAGAAAGGTTAGAAAGAATATTATATAACTAGTTCACAACTAGTAAGGAACTAGTTCATACTAACCGTGATCTTGAGCGTGGGGTTGGTGTTCTACCACGAGAACTACCTCTTCTTCCTCTTCGAGATGGTATTCCACCAGAAGAGTTTGAATCAAAGAGAATACTATCAGAATCCCTAATATCCTCTTCATTCTGACGCTTCCGCCTCCGACTCTCTAGGGGAAGTTAGTAACTAGTTACTAACTAGTTGGGAACTAGTCCTTACTTTCCCGGGTGAGACTATTCCAGTATCGAGTCTCAAGGTTATCTGACCGATATGAATGATGAGTACCAAAGGCATTCCGTGCCTGATACTGATCAATATCACGTTGATCAATAATGCGGGATCTACTATAGTTAGCCTAACTAGTTAATAACTAGTTCAGAACTAGTCCATAACTTACCCTAATGCTGCCCCTAATAATGACTCATGAACACCCATAAAATAAGATTTATAGTGGCTTTGCTCAACAGCATTAGTAATATTCCTAACCTGTTCAAAGAAGTCAGGAGGCATTAATGAGCAGGCTTTATTTAAGCCTGCTGCAATAACTGGATGGCGCTTATGCTCAGCCCAAGCAGAAATCTGTGGTGATTCATGATCTATAACTAGTTAGTAACTAGTCCATAACTAGTTAATTATTATAAGTAAGAACTGGAATATAACTAGTTAATAACTAGTTCTTACCTTGAAGAAGTTGAATAAGTTGATAATATTCATCTTCTGTTTCACAATCAAGAAGGCTTCTCATTCTTACTAAGGTAGAATAAGAAGAATGCTCAAGGTCATTACTATCTGCTGCTATTCCAAGTAGTTTTGAAATAGTTCGTAGAAAGTGAACACGACAGAGAATCATAATATTTCTTAACTGCCATGTCCATGGCCGGTGAGTAGGGTCAAGAGCAGAGAGGTAATGACCAAGACCTATAATAGTTAGTAACTAGTTCCGAACTAGTTATAAACTAGTTATACATACCTGACATCTGTTTACCGCACATATCAACGATAATAGCCTTAAACCCAGTATTATGAAGATAGTGAAAGTTCACTGGCTTCTGGG